CAATTATAAAGTCGTACAGCAATTATCTGCGAAAGCTTGAAAACATATAATTTGTGTTACTGAGAACATGTGTATAGAATAATTCACCAGGATGAGCTTAACATATTTTATTATTAATTTTGATAAACTAGGCTTTATAAACGACAAATTATTTTTTCTTTCATCTCTATATTTCTCTACATCAATATTAATTTACAAGTGAACCATCTTTTTTTACGTCGTACGGTACTCCTCTTCCTATATTAATTTAATACATCACAGGAGCCAGAAAACAATTTATTTCATTCAAAAACCTAATTGTTTTCATTTAAACAAATCAATAAAATATTGTACTTTCATGTCAATATGTTTCAAAATTCATGAGATCAGGTTCTATAGTTTTAAATCCGAAATTAAAGTATTTTTGTGGGAAACTATATTAAAATATACATGGACAAAAAAAGGGGGGCAGACAAACTTTGCGCACATGTAGTAACATAGAAACGCTGAAATAAAATTTGAAAGAATTATGCTTATGCAGAAGGAAATCCAGTCAAAGCGCCCCCTAATAAAACCGTCCCGGTCAAAGCGTCCCATGATTTTGGTCAAAGCGTCCCCTTTATTTGGTCAAAGCGTCCCCTAATTTTGGTCAAAGCGCCCTTTATAGAATTTTACAGTAAAATGATGTTACAAAACCGCCCCAAAATATTGGTCAAAGCGTCCCCGGATTTTGGTCAAAGCGTCCCCGGATTTTGGTCAAAGCGCCCCGTACAGTAAAATGATGTTACAAAACCGCCCCCAAATATTGGTCAAAGCATCCCCTGATTTGGTCAAAGCGCCCCTTAACATTTTTTTCTTAAGAAAAATCGTCTGGGAAGCAATGGTCAAAACGTCCCCGATTTTGGTCAAAGCGTCCCCTGATTTTGGTTAAGGCACCCCCTAATATATTTTTACAAACATGTTACGGAATAAAACTGTTTTGTATTTATAATTTTATCATTGTTTCGCAGTTAATTCTATAGGAGGCGCTTTGACCAAAATCAGGGGACATTTTGACAATTACTTTGGGATCGACTCGAAACGCTTTTTTCCCTGTAAAAATATATAAGGGGGCGCTTTGACCAAAACCAGGGGACGCTTTGACCATTTCTTGGGGACAGTAAAGATTGTTTCTATAAATATATTTTTTTCTGTAAAAATATGTAATTGTTAGGGGGCGCTTTGACCAAAATCAGGGGACGTTTTGACTAAAATCAGGCGACGTTTTGACCATTATCATGATTATTTGGGGGCGATATTTTTTCTATAAAAATATGTTAGGGGGCGCCTTGACTAAAATCAGGGGACGCTTTGACCATTATTTGGGGGCGATATTTTTCTATATAAATATGTAAGGGGGCGCTTTGACCCAAATCAGGGGACGCTTTGACAAATATTTGGGGGCGGTATTTTTTCTATAAATTATGTTAGGGGGCGCTTTGACTTAAATTAGGGGACGCTTTGACCAACATCTGGGGGGAGGTATTTTTTATATAAAAGTATGTTAGGGGGCGCTTTGACCATAATCAGGGGGCGCTTTGACTAAAATCAGGGGACGCTTTGACTAAAGTTAGGGGACACTTTGACCGGGACGTTTTAATTAGGGGGCACTTTGACTGGGTCCCTGCAGAAGGGATATTTGATTTATACAATCTACCGGTACATCACCAACTTTTTTTTTATAGGTGCATAGACACAGATCTGAAGTAAATATATTCTTAAATATTCAAAATTGAAGTTTCAATGAATTTTACATGAAATAAGATTTTTTTTTCCATTTATTTTTATTTGAAATAATGTTAAGTCTCCAAATTTTGATTCTCCAAGCCAGCAAATTTACGTTGATAAGTTCCCCAAGCCGGCAATGATTACAGAATTACTTAATTAGATGGCGGTATGCTAAAGTAACTACTATAAACATAATTATCAGAGTGTAAAAATAATATACAATTAGACTTAGTACTTTTAATAAACTTCTACAATTAAAATATAAACTAATATTCTACAAAATTTCGATACTTACATCAATATTCACAGATATTATAATTTATTATTTTTTTAATTCTTTTTCAAAATGAACGAAATAAAAAGCATACATTTTATGTTCTGGGAGCGAAACATCGCGGGGCGAACCATCTCAGCGCGAAACAGAATGGGCGCGAAACATCGCGGTGCGAACCATGCATCGGCGCGAAACATCCCGTTACCGGACAAACCATGAAAAATACGAACAATGTGACGCCGAATCGTAAAACAAATACATAGTAATAAACAATGAAGGTAAGTTGCATAAAAATGTACAATACAAGTTGCGTATAAGTTAACAATAATAAAATAATGACGTTCGAGGACGGAGAACAATAACCTAAACCCCCCTTGTAAATTAGAATCTTCCGAATCGCCATGACCAAAAAGGAAAACAACGTGATCGACAGACACACATGAAAAACGGTATTTACGATCAATTTAAACAATGTACTGTAAGTAAAATGAAATAAACATTCATAATAAATACTGTTTCAATCATAAGAGTCCATAATTTTACGTATCAGTCCATATTTCCTCCGTGGTAAACTTGGTCATTTACCAAACATGAAAGTGTAGGATTTACCAAACATGAAATAATAGGAATTACCAAACATCGTTTTATAGTACACTTGGTAATATTTACAGTTCAAATATAATTGCTGTAAGAGAAATCATGTACAAATAATGATTACAAACTAATTATACACATATGACATATAGGGGGGGGGGTCTCAAAACACAAATTGATTGAAATCGATTGAAACATTGATTGTAAAGAAAACTTAAGGAAGGCCCACACTTTTACGGATCCGGTTCTAATTTTACACATCAATATAAATTTCTGATTTTCACTTGTCTATTGATATAAAATCTTTTTGGGTGATTGAAAATAATTATGCAAGTATATATTTATTTATTATAGTGTTATTGTGCATACAAAGCATTTTATATACATTGTTTATGGAAATTAACACTTTGCACTCTGTCCATAAGATCTATCTGCCATTAAGTACATACACAGACACAAAATTCTTAATTACGTTCATGGACCTAAATCTTTTTAATTTTCTTTTAAGCAAACTAACCTGAGATCTATTTTTATTAATTTAAAGCCTATATAATCCATTTAATTATTTCTTTTTAAAAATTTTGCAATGAATAACTTAAAAAATTGATATTACAAAAATGGGGGTATACGTATTCAAAAGACTGTTTTGTTAAAATTCTCTGGCCAACCACAATAAAGTATGTATTTTTGGTAACATCAGATATAATTCTTAATAGTTTTAAAGAAAAAATGGTATCTAAACAGGTTGGATTTTGAGAATTACAAAAAATGAAGATATTTTGAGATTTTTTTCTGAGAGACTTGGACAGATTCAACATCAATTTGTTAATGTTTTGCAGTAAAGATTTCAAATATTCTCTTGGCAAATGAATATTTTTGATCTTCATAAGTTTTAACATAAATTTGATATGATTTGGTGCATAACTAAAAGAAATATGATATCACACTTCTTCATGTTCAATTTTGGCTGTTGAGTTTTTAGAGGTATGTGCTCTGAGACATGTTTTATGAAAATTAACTTGCAAAGATATGTCTTTTATGGGTGTTTTAGTTAGTTTAAGACTTATTCAAAGTATTTACATTAAAAAATTATTAGTTTGACAGAAAATTCTGAAAGTACGGACCTACCTTAAAAGTTAAATATCTTGGAGTTTTGATCGACAAATGTTTAAGTGGTGAATACATTGTTGAATCGATTGTCCAGAAAGTAAATAATAGATTGCGATTTCTGTACCGACAGGCCCGGTTTTTAGATACTTTTTGTAAAATGACTGTGTTCAGCATTAATACAATGCCATATTGATTACGCCTGTAGTGCTTGGTATGCAGGGCTATCCAAAACTTTAAAGAAAAGGTTACAAATTTGTCAAAACAAGATGGTTCGTTTTATTTTGAATTTAGGTCCACAGGCATCTGTTAATTACGAAATACTTAGTCAATTAAATTTATTAAATATTCAAGATAGAGTTTCTCAGCTTAGACTCAACCATGTTTTTAATATTTTTCAAGGAAAAGCCCCTTCTTATCTTAATGAACATTTTATACTACGGTCAAATTTTAGTAGCTATCATACTAGATCAGTCTCAAATGCAGATTTTGTCGTTCCAATAACTAAGCAAAAGCAATCTGAATCATTTTATTTTAATGGAATCAAAGACTGGAACATGTTACCAGCAGAAATTAAACCTGTTTTAAATACTGGAAATAATTTTGCTTTTAAAAGAAGTGTCAAGAAATTTTTATTAGAAAGGGGAATTGCCCAGTGTAAAAGTCAAGTTGTGTTTTATTAGTTTTTATTATTAGTATAAGTTGTTCCAATTACAATCATGTGAATATTTGGTATACATTCATAATACACTTCATTTTTAAGGATCTCTGTGTTGTCAACTTGATCCCATATCTTAGCTATAGTATTTTAATTTTATATTTATCTGCTTATATTATTTAACATCCAATTAAAATATACATGTTTGAGTATAAGGACCCCATTGGAAATAAGCCATTGGCTTTCATGGGTTATCCTTGGTATACAAATATAATCTTATGTGAATCAAATTTATTAATTCATGTCTTTCAAAAATGATTGATTCCGATATTTTATATTAATTATATTGTTTAATGCCATCTTTTATATATATATATCTTAAATTATATTGTGAATATTGCAACGTATGTGTAGTACTGTATACCAAATAAATATCTATCTATCTATCTAATATTTCACATTATCCCCTCCTTTGAAAAATTGTTCGTCCTCGAACAAAAAATGTTAAAACAAGTAATATTTGTATGCAATGGTATAATAAACAATTATAATGAAATATCGATTTAGAATAGCCCGTAGATTTACAACATGAAATAATACAATTTTTCTTTTCACATGAAGACACTGAATCCAGTAATGTTTGCAGTGATGATCCACTCAGATGAAGTTAAGATACAGTCAAAGGTAATTGTATGAATTATCACACAGTTATATTTCTATACATATATCATAAAATATTGCAACTAAAACATGATCCATTACAAAAATGGTCATCATTCCTTTCAATAAAATAAATATTTTCAAAAATCCATCCCCCTCCCAAAGCATACTCAAAGTTGCTTATAATTCTAACTAATACCCCTATTAATATAAAAGTCTTTATACCTATACCATATAGTCTCACAGTCCATAAGTCAGCATCATCATTGTGAAAGAAGAAAGTTTGTTTCACATCACACAGAATTCCTGTTTCCCTTAACTTCCACAAGTTAGAGTATAAATTGGCGGTTACCACGTCTAATTGACATCTCTGGCGATCTTAACAAATTAGTTTATTAATCAGGTTAATATATCTGGAATGCCTGTAACAAGGAGTGGATGATCCGTTTTAATATTGCTCATAATTATGTGATCTCTAATTGTAGGTGGTTACTCAAGATGTAGGGTAGAGTGTCACTTGACAGCTAGAACATTATGGCATGCAGGCAGGAGTCTTGGTTTGCATTTATCCTTCCTGTGCTGATCAAACTGCATGTGGACTTGTATCAAACTTTTTCAAACAACCATAGACCAGTGCTGTTTATTCTTAAAGGCACTCATAAAAAGGTAAACAGGTCTAGTAAAAGTAATACAATCATATGTGATGTCCAATCAGTCAATTGACTATTGTTAATTCATAATAATTCTGAAGGATTGTAGAAAATGTTACAGTTTTCCATAAAACTCTGAGAAGATAAAGGTGTACTGCTTAATTGCCACTGTCATGTTGTACTGTATCCTGTACTCTAGGTCACTAAGTTTATTTTATTTATTAAACTGATGGTATAATGTCACTCCAATGTTTTAGTAAATTTTGGATAGATGCCAATCTTTTGCTTTTTATTACAAATTAAGCCAATGGCTCTGTCTTGAAGGAAACTTGTTTTGCATTATGATCATAATGACATTTCTGTCTGTGACTTAAGCTTCAATTAAGCATTTTCAATTAATATTGTAAATGTTGAATAATGAAATTTTAAATCTATTGTAGGCGGTCAACCAAATAAAAGATCCACAGGCAGTGCTGGTTCCCTGCCCAAATCAACAAACTGCACTGGTAACTTTATGCTCTCACAAACTGAAGATCTGTATGCCAGTAGTTATACAAAAGGTAAGTATTTATATCCTAGTCTTTCCAAGAAATTGACATATATATTGTAAGTATAGCTGTGAGAGTCCTGTTGAAATGTTCAAATCTGTCACTCTGAGGTGAATGGATGCTGCTAATTTGTTTTATCTATTCTGAGAATTTCATACTTCTCTTGAAACATTAGTTAAAATTGTGTGCCTTGGTCAGTATGTACTTGACGATGAATACCAAATTTACAAACAAACTCATTGAGAAATACTCTTGCAATTGTTTTTGCTTTAATATTTGGAAGTACAAAAGCCTCAGTCCATCTAGTAAAATAGTTGACAATGACTGATATATCTGACTTTCCTTTAGGAGTTCTGTTCAAGGGACCTACAATATCCAGAGCAACCCTTTCCAGTGGACCACCAACAATATATTGGTTCAATGGAGCCTTAGGAGTGCAGGTTGATGGATTGCTTGATTGACATCGTTGACATTCCAGACAAAACTGTTTTATTTCCAACCCAGTAAAACCTCTGTCTGACTTAGGCTAAAGTTCTGTTCACTCCAAAGTGTCCATCTGTAGGGTCACTATGCAACATTGTTAGGGCCTGAGGTATGTATTTTTTCAGGTAAAATCATATATAATAACAAGACATTTTCAGTTTTAGCAATAAAACCTTTTTTTTTTTAAATATATAAAATATTGACTGAAACAAAAATTCTGTCCCACTGGGAACAGTTTTGATTTGTGAACTCTTGAGAAATATCCTCTCACCCTGGTCTAGGAATATTATTCCTCTTCCAAGTATATAATTCTTACACTCAATCTGTTCTTCTTTTGCTGAACTTCCAAATCAAATATTATAACAATTAAAGTAAATCTTGATTATCTACAAAACAAAAATGTCAGATTCTTGAAAATTCTGACCAGTTGTAGGTGTAAATCTGATCATCCTGACTGCGATGCTTTGAAGTTTTTCTTCATGAAAATAGTTAATTTTCTTTTTAACACAATGTGTGCACTCAGCATATGCACGACTTTACAACCCATCAGCATTTTCATGCTGGGAATCTACTCTATGATGAATATCGAAATCATGTGTTGATAAAATTTGTGGCCTCTTGACCTTCTCAATCTGGGTTTTTGTATTTAAGGAATGATATCTCAGTGCACCATAGTCAGTGCGAATGAGAAACTTTTTACCAATTCAGTAAATGGTCAAAATCTTTGACTGACTCATTTATTCCAAGTAATTCTCTTTTGATAACACAGTACATGCAGTTTATTTCACTACATATAGTGACTTGCTTAAGTAAGCAACAACTTTATCTCTAACTTGACACGCGTTTGTAACATGAATTCTTCAATATGCCAAATGCACTGGCATCTACATGTATATATAAAATGAAATTCTCATCCAGAGATGGGTATCCTTAAATAAGGAAGGTAACAAGGCAATTTTTATAATGAAATTGCGTATCTGCAGTCAGATGACCAAATAACTTTTTTTTTTTTTTTTTTTTTTTTTTGAATTTTTCTCTTTTTCCATTTTTCTTTTTCTTTTTTTGTTTTTTTTAAATACCAGATGACCTCCGTAATGATTTTTTTTTTTTTTTTTCAACAAGTCTTCCTATCCAACTTTGTTCTTTTCTTCAATCGTTGATAAAATGATATTTGATGCCACATCAGTTTTTTCACCATTGTCTCAACTTTGATATTGAACTTGATTTTTTTTTATTTGTCATTTTGTATATTTTCAGCTTCTTGAGAGAAAAATGACGCAGCTCGTCATCCCTTGAGAGTGGGGTAGCATCATGCGCCACCTGCATTCCTACCCTTCCATGTTTCTGAAATATTGTGTGCTTCCTACTATTTTGGAAGGCTTCAAATTCAAGAGCGAGTTGGACAGCATCTTCAACAAATTTTGATTTACCTTGGTGGACAGTCCATTCAATTTCATATTTATTCAGTGAATCTATAAAACAGTTCCGAGCCAACTGTTCTCGGCCTTCAGATGATGCATCTGGATATGCATATCTAACCAACTTTTTAATTCATTATAAAGGTCAGTGAGAGATTGACATCTCTTTTTCTCAATCAATTCTTTATTTGTGCTCTGTACAAAGTTTTGTATTTGAACCTCTATGATAGAGTTTGAACTATATAGTTATAAATCTTTTGTATATATATATTCAGTAACAATCACCATGAGCACTATTTGTGCCCCCATAAACTTGTTGCAAGCTGAATAGCTTTAACTTTGTTGTTCCCATCATTAAGTTATAAATAAATATGATACAATTCTAAATTGAAATTGAAGGTATAAATAATCTCTCCAACTGCTCTTCCCTTCAAATGTTGCAGATTTCATCAGATCCTTAGCAATCATCTCACCAACACACTCAGCAGTACGCGCTCGACCCTGAGGGCTGTGAGATGGAGACTGAGCCATTCCCTGGGCTGCAGGTTGGGTGGACCATGACCATGCGTCCATGGCCGAATGTGAACATACGCCTTCCATAGGCGGCTTATCCATGCAGGACTGTTGAGCGGACTTACCTGCCGTCTCACCTGATGGGATCCTAGAATAATATTATTCTTCTCCGAACATACCTGACCATTTATGACAGTATTGAACTTAGGCCTATGAGAAAAACATGATTTCATCTGACATAATGAAATGTCAGGGCCAAAGGAACCAGCCTCCACTAAATTATCAGTAGTCCCAAGTTCGTATGAACGGGCACATCTATTAGTAGTACCCAGACCACCCGAGAGTATCCTATTGTTAACTGACAGTGGGCCCTGGTCGTCAGAAAACGATACAAGTGAATTCCATACGGAATCGCATCTCCGTGGCCCTTTAGTACCAATTTTGGTTTCTAAAATGTTCACCCTTTCCACCACGTAGTACTCATCTCGCTGATCTGACCTCAAAATGAATGCTCTTCAGGCATTCCTACAAAGAATTACTATAATTTATACTGACTCCAGACATCAATGTTCTGGAACACTGTGTAGATTCAGATTGCTCATTTCTCTCAAATGTGTTATATTTTACATTAAATCAATAAATGGTACTTCTCCATTAGGAGTGGCATCAAATTTTTTTTTTAACCAGACTTGTTTCATTACTTTGGCCATCTGGGAGTTGAGTCTGCAGAACGTCCACTAATACTGCTGTGCCCTCACCTGCCCCTGACTAACCAACACAGAATTTATTAAGTAACATCATTTGGTCACTATCTTCGTTGCTAAGTCACAAAAATATGACAAAATCAAAATATTCTGTGAAATTGAGATGATCAAAAGATTCTCTGGTAATGAAATGATCAAGGATTTTCATCCCACCGCTGCCACCAAATTTCTGTAACGTGCCCGAAGTATGAGGCTTATGTAATTTGATCAAATCTCCAATGAAGGAGATATATTTCATTGTAACCAATATATATGGTATTTCCTGGTAATTTGTTAATTGGTAATCCTTGTTGATTTGGTAAATAAATCCCTGTGTTGGTCAGTAAAATATTGCATTGCAGAGACAAACAAGAGCACAACATAAGATTATGTAAATTTCAACAATGATTTAATTAACGTAATAAATGTAATACAGATGTCTGGATAACCAATTAAATAATCAAACAATGGTGATGTAATACATTTGGTCAGATCGGACGTCACATATTATGATTTGGTCACGTTTTATGATTTGGTAACGCTATTATGATTTGGTAAAATGATGACTATTGATTTTCCGTAATAAATCAATTTGGTCAAATGTAAACAATGGTAAAACTTCGTAGAGACTGTTGAATTCCTTAATAAATCTATTTGGTCAATATAATCTATAGTAAAAACTCCCCAACCGTTAGTTATATCAGTATTTATGTACAATTTCTATGAAAGTTGTTGAGCAGACGTTCTGCAGAGTCAAACTGAAACTTCAGCGTCCGTGGCGACGCTTATATAGGGTAAACTACCGGACATGCGCAGTGCGCTTTACCTAACCAAAAGGGAAAGTATAGACCAAAATGGCAGACGATACTAACAACATCGCCGAAGTGGGACAAACCATGAAAAATACGAACAATGTGACGCCGAATCGTAAAACAAATACATAGTAATAAACAATGAAGGTAAGTTGCATAAAAATGTACAATACAAGTTGCGTATAAGTTAACAATAATAAAATAATGACGTTCGAGGACGGAGAACAATAACCTAAACCCCCCTTGTAAATTAGAATCTTCCGAATCGCCATGACCAAAAAGGAAAACAACGTGATCGACAGACACACATGAAAAACGGTATTTACGATCAATTTAAACAATGTACTGTAAGTAAAATGAAATAAACATTCATAATAAATACTGTTTCAATCATAAGAGTCCATAATTTTACGTATCAGTCCATATTTCCTCCGTGGTAAACTTGGTCATTTACCAAACATGAAAGTGTAGGATTTACCAAACATGAAATAACAGGAAGTACCAAACATCGTTTTATAGTACACTCTATAGTAATGTTTACAGTTCAAATATAATTGCTGTAAGAGAAATCATGTACAAATAATGATTACAAACTAATTATACACATATGACATATAGGGGGGGGGGGTCTCAAAACACAAATATTTCACAGCCTACCTTTGGGTACCAACAACTTTGACCTTGGAGTTTAACTTGCATTTGAGAAATTTCATTCCTCGATATGAGCTGCCATCAGTGTTTCACAAACACATTTTGTTTCTTCATGGGATTTAATGGTCTCTTGATAATAATACAACACTGTAATGGATCCCTAGAAGTGTACAGTAAAACTGATAAAGGTTGATGCATTGCCTATATAAAAGCAATAGAAATATGGAATTTAAAACAAAATGGTCAGTGTAGTACTCCGTAACAAATCATACGTAGCAGATCAATTTAATTGTCTGTACTCGCAGTGTTAGTACTGCATTCCTAATTTACAATATCAATATATAGATTCAATTAAAACAAATAATGCTTTCAAATATATGATGTTGTTGTTTTTTTTTCAAAATAAAACAGACGCGATCCCACTGCACCACCAGAATCTCTAACCCAGGGGTCATGGATTTCATAGTATTTGGAGATACATACTCGTACTTGCTCGGCATAACCATGGAGTACGTTTGTCATCTAAATACCAAGGAGCATAGATTTTTGAAGATTTTATGCATTTTTGTACAATCAATAAAACCCCACCCTAATACGAGACTTTTAAAATTATTTCAAGGGCCACAAATTTGGAAAAATGCACCCTTGGCATCCATGACCATACAATTATTTTTTCTAGTTAATACCCAAGAGCAGAAAAGATTTTCAAAGGATAAAAGCATTTTATTTATATGTATAATAGATCTTCGCCCTAACATCAGAATCCCTGACCCAGGGCCATGAATTATACAGATTTGTACAAAGCACCTTTTTTTCATATTCATGCACATAGTTTGTCTGCCTTCTACATCGAAGCAGAGAAAAATGCTTTTTAAAGAATTAATGTATGTTCACAATTTGATCAATAGAGCCCCACCCAACATCAGGGTCCCTGATTAAAAGGCAATGAATTTCACAATCTTTGCTCTTTCTAACCATGCAATAATAGTTGTTTACTTAATAAATGGGAGCAGAGATTTTCGATGAAATATCTTTGATACTGAGAACCCAGTCCTTAGACCACCACTGACCAAGGGACCATGAATTCACAACTTTAGAAGATTCATGTACATCCCTGCTTACCATAGTCATGCTCTTAATTTCATCCTCCCATCAAAACACTCCTACATCTTTTTGATCACATGATAAAGCCTGTTGCATTATATGGCTGTGAAATTTGGGGAACCCTTACAGCACGCATACAAGATAAAAACAAACATTTATACGATATTTTTAAAGAGTGGGAGGCAGAAAGCTTAAATATCAAATTTTGTAAATATCTATTGGAAGCTGGGAAGAAAAGTACTAATATTGCAATAATTTCTGAACTGGGAAGATACCCTATGTATTTTTCAATTATTCAAAACATCTTATTATACTGGCATAGGTTGCAATCAAGTCCAGAATCTTCCCTGTTACATAAAGCATATACAGAAAATATTAACCTTAGTCAAGGCAATATTAACTGCTGGTACAAAAATGTAATTTATTATAGTAAGAAAATTAATCTCTCATTACCAGAATGTAAAACATACAAAAACACATTTTTAAAAAAACAAGTTAAGAAACATTTGAAAAAACACTTCCTACAATATTGGAAAATGAAATGTGAAGAGGGACTGGAATCTGGAAAACTTACTACTTATTTTATGTTTAAAGAAAATTTTATAATGGAAAAATATATGTACATTAAATCTCATGAAATAAGAAAATCCATTTGCAGATTTAGAATAAGTGCTCATGACCTAAGAATTGAAAAAGGCAGATATGAATCTGTAAAAAATAATGCTGGTCAAAGAATCCCCTTAGATAGAAACAAAAGAATATGTTTCATGTGTGACCAAAACAATATAGAAGATGAATATCATTTTCTTACTGAATGCCCATTATATACTGAGGAGAGAGATAAATTTTTTCGTGATATCTCATTACTAAACAAAAATTTCATATTATTATCAAAAGGAGACAAATTTCTCTGGTTAATGTCTAATGAAGATAATCTAATTATTACAAAGCTAAGTGAATATCTTGTCAAAGCCTTCAAAATAAGGCATAATGCCATGAGTTTTCATAAATAATGTTATAGACACATATTTATTTGTAAACTGGTATATATGTATATTGATAATATTGATTTTGATTGCATGTTAATTAACAATTTGATAACCCCAACTGCTGCATCTACATGTCCAGTTACTTGTAATATTATATCAGATATATACATGTGTGTGTATGTGTGTTTATGTTTGTATATGTTTACTATAACCTTTCTTTTAGAACTTTCTATCTTGTCATTGTAAGAAACCTTTATGCCTTCTGGGCCCAAAATTGGAAATAAAATTATCTTATCTTATCTTATACTAATTTTCCAAGAGCAGAGAAGTTTATTTAAAGAGTAGTCCTGTTTGCAATAGAGCCCGCTTTACATCAGAGCCCCTGATCCAATAATATCTTGTAACTTTAGGGACACCTTTACTTAGCATTATTTAAACCATGTACTGTGTTTATGTGCTAAATATACAGGGAAAGAGATGATTTTGTTAGAGAGAATTTAAGCATTTTTAAAAAAATTATCATTAGAGCCCCGCCTTAACTCAAGAACTCTTGATCCCGGGGCCTTGCTTTTCAGAATTTTGGTAAAAAGCTTTATGCTCATATCAATCATATTAACAGTTTGCTTTATGTCCAGGAGTAAAAAAGGGTTTTAAAGCTGGAATTAGTTTTGATCGTTTTAGCAACATACCTCAAATTAAAAAAAAATGATTTCCTTAAACATTTGATGTTATATTCTAAAAATGATGGAAATTAGTTCAGCGGTTCCTGAGAAGCTGAAAACGTTAAAGAACGCCGAACAACGACGGACAATAACAGAAAGCAATAAGATGTGTTTGTGAACCACTGATGCTCTCGTGTATCAACATAGTGAAGATTAAACTTTTCTTAAATGCAAATTCAAATTGTTGGTACCCAAAGTAAGGTCTTCTCACAAGCAATAGAATTGTCAAATATGAAAGCCCTAGCACCACCTGTTCAAAAGTTATGGCCAAGAATACGTTTTTGAAAGGTGGGTCAAACTCCAGGGTCAAGATCAAACGGTCAACTTTGTTGGTTTCTAAGGAAAGGTCTTGTCACAAGGACTATACATGTGAAGTGTAAAGTCCCACCCCCTAACCCTTCAAAATTTATGGTCAAGTTTTTTTTTAAAGTATGTTAAACGTCAAGGTCAAAGGGTACAAGGTCTTGATATCAAATGAAAGGTCTTCGGATTGTAAAAAGCCTTAACCTTACCGTTCAAAAGTTATTGCCAAGGTTTTTTTAAGTACGAAAATCTCCAAGGTCAAGGTCAAAGTTGTTGGTGTTCAATGGAAGGTCTTGTCACAAAGAATCTTCGATTACGGGGGCATAAAAAAGGCATAACGGACCTAAACTCTACATGGATCTAAAATTATTTCTTGCGGAAATCTATTTATTTCCATCTGAGGAAATGCATTACTAGTAGTCTTATGGTATTAGTTCTCAGTTTCATACCAATCTTGTGCACAGAATGAGATGACAACATATATTGCACCATTTGATTTGTTCATCATCATACCATATTATTTGTTCCAGTACATCAGTTGTAAATTTGATTTGTTCGTTTAAGGGTAGATATATTACATGTATGTGCTTCTTAATCATCCCATCCCGTTAATTCAAAAATTTCAACATGTAGCCGAACATTTATATATCTTGATTTCTCCTTTCTTGTGGACTTAAATTCCACCTCGTCAATAATAATGGGTCAAACTCTCTGGCACAGGCGCTTGTTTCATGCAATAGGCTATTTTTTACACTATATAATAACAGTATAAACTAGAGGTACTGTGAGCAATGAGCTCACTAAATGATACCCCCCGCCTCCCATGTGAATATAATGGCAGTGTCCATATTTTGCTCTGGAAAATCAAAAATATATGTCAGATCAAAAAGTAAAATAGGAGGTGCACAATGGCAATATGTAATTAAGAATCTGTGAAAGTTTCTTTAAATTTCCTTCAGTGGTATGAGAGGAGTTGCGGATAAGAGATGGGTACCCCAAAGCGTAACAGACGGACGGACAGACGGACGGACGGAAATACCGATTACTATATACCCTCCCACTTTTCAAGCGGGGGGGGGGGGGGGGGGGTATGAAAATAGCCTATTGTGTGAAACAAGCGTCTGTGCTCTCTGGATAGATTTTTTTATAGTGTGCCGTTTTTAGAGAATGAAGAAAATTTACACCTGATCCTGTTGATTCTTTCACGGCACTTTCAATAGCCAACGGAACTGGCAAAAAATTCCGTTAAAAATTCAAATTTTAGAGGTTTAAGGTCTCGGAATCTTTCCCATTGAACAAAACCAGTAGTGGGGCTTGCAGTCTAAGATCCTTTTAAATTGACGGAACTGTTAAGAAGGCCTGCCGCCTTGTATTGTTTCAGTAAGCTTCCTTGGTTCTTTCAAAACTATCAGTATCCCGAGTCTTCTCTTTCAGTACCACCCTTAATGTTGTCGGCAGAACAAAGAAAGATAAGTCGTTGACTGTAAACATGCATTCTTGACGTTTTCGCAATCAGAACGAGACTAATATACATGATTAGGATCGATGTCATGATGACAATTAATACGAGTCGAAGAGAAAGAGAATACTTATGATCCTATTAAACAGAGAAAATGGGTTCCAGGATTATAAAGAAGTTTAGACTTTAGAAATCAGAAATTATAGATTGTGTATTCTGTACACAAAATCATCTAAAGTAGATAACATGTTGTATTATTGATATGTACATCATCGTACGTTTCATTGACGAGGAGTAACTGGTCAAGGAATCTGTACGGGAAAAAATAGTATGCTTAACTATGTTTACTGGTTGATGGGTTACTTAAGCAATAAATGACAAAATATTCAGGGGATGCAAACATTACACCATTATGGAAGCCCAAGACTCAAAATTTGTAAACAGATGAATACCGGGGTATTTCCTCCTAAAATCGTCAAAAAAAATGATAAATTATATAATCAACTCAAAACTTCAAAAAGTCTTTATTTCTCTCTTTAAAATGCGAGAACCTCACCACATTTGTCGTGTATTACAAATAGAAATGAACTGAAAATCACGGAATAAAATTCTAAAGTGCAGACTCTTCTATGTTACAACTCGAAACGAAAGGTTGTAAACAGCATCTCAATGACAAATACATTTACATATGTTTTTAAAACATTCAAAATTTACTTATTTACACGAATCTCCTTTTTCTAAATTTCGAAAATGAATGTATAAATGTAATTTGTCAATAGCACTTTACATAATTTAACATGAAATATTGTATATAAATTACATGTACTACTATTCAATTTTTTGTTCGTGTTGCAAACAAGCTCTAAGTTGTAAGTTCAAAAGAACACTGCTAGCAAGTTTAAAAGGTTTCTATAAAAATATGAATACTTCCTTAAGGCACTATCACAGATAAAGCTGGAGAACGATTTCTCACGTGTGTAAACTAAGCACTATAATATCAACTCTCTAGTTTCCGGAAGTTAGAAAAAGTTACATATATATGCATCCACTCATACTTTTAAACATCTCACATAACGAACACTCTCTTAACAAAAACACATTTACTAAGATGAACAAATTCTTCACTATTTGTTCCCTAAAGATCCATCTTATAAATAAAATACATATTTGGAGTATTCATTAAGTACAGCTGAGTTATAAAAATACTACAAAATATCTGTAACAGACAATATAATACAAAATTAATTTAAAATCCTTCAATATACTCATAGGTTTGTAATGACGCAAGAAGAACATAAACAAACCACAGAAAAATCATAGTGCCCCCAGAAAGGATTTTTGGAATTTTAGGTCCGCCTAATTCGGCATTGCCGAACACTCCCACAAATCTTCTGATGACGATAATAACAAGAGTCACCACAGCTAAAACGGCGAACACCACAACACTGAAACCGAGACTGCCAGCCGGGACTTCAAACGACACGCCCTGAAATAATGATTAAACAGGGTGAGAAATCTGTTTCACATCTCGTTTTAATTTAAAATGTAAGAAGACAAGAGCTAGCTTTTACGTTAAATGTTAGTGAGATTTTTTTTTTGTTTAAGTCGAATAGAGTAATACTAGTAACTGCTACGTATCTGCACATTTTCACTTTTTACATTTTTAGAACTACAAAGAAGGGGGTTGTCAAAAGAGTTGTACGGTAGAATTTCAGCAGTGGAACAAACATATTTCTCTTATGCTTACCTTGGCAGTCCAGTAAGCTGAAGCGACAACCCAGGCCAATCCCAATCCTAAGAATACGTTCACTGAGTTACTTCCGGTCACATTACCAATAGCAGAATCCGCATGTCTCTCCATGGTAGCTGCTGTTTTACTGGCAAAAAGATCGGGTAAACTGGTTCCCAGCGCAACAAATGTTATAGCAGTGACTTCCGACTCTAATCCGATGAGACAGCCAAAAATGTTAGCCAGATCGGCAACTATTGCAGTCAGAAGACCAATACAACCAAGCGAGACAAAGAAGCAGAGCCATCCGCCCCATATCGTAGGTGGTGGAACAAGCGCAAAAATACTCTGCAAAAGAAATTTATATTTTTAACAGTTTTCAAAGATGCTGAATTAAGACGAACAAACATTTTAATATTGGAAGAGCATACTCGTTTTAAAAAATTCATGCACTTGCCTTAAATCCAAATGTCATGAAGTGAAGAACGTATGAGAATGCAGTTGCAGTTTCTAAATCTCCTCCATTTACATTTAAGGCTTCCTGAATCTGATCTGCCCATGATTGTTTGCCAACTCTTAAGGCATCAAGATTGGCATTTGTCAGATCAGCTAGCCTGTTTACGAATCCGGCAAACTCTGTAAAAACAGATGGTAATTTCATGAAAATGGAAAGAAAACCAAAGTTCTTGAATATAAGTTGAAGAAAAAAGTCTGGAATATGAAAAGAGAATTTGTTTCCTACCGTCATCATTAACAATGGTAACAACACAGCGTTTCAGTTTTCCAATTTTGGCACCTCCGCTAACTTCAACGAGATCCACTTCAAAATTTTCATCTTTTTCAAATTCCTAAATTATAATTTTGTAAAAATATAGAGCTATAATAATCAAACATTCAAAAGAACAAAAATGAGAAAGGACACTCTAAGCTAGGACTGGGAACTTTGCATATGTCTTGGCTTACCAAATCGTCTTTAATGTTGATCTCAATCATTTTCGTCAATTCTCCATGCTCAAAAACAACTTCACCGGATGTATTTTCGTAATCGCGCCCACCAACAGCAGTGATATCTTTTGTCTTCCATTTGGCGACAATTTTTCCATCACATCCATTTGACCGGTCGACTTTTACTTGTGCAGTTCCAACGCTCTCTTTGAACAAGAAACTGGGATTGGCGAACTGTATGGTTCCGGGCTCTGGAGAAAAAGTATTCATATCGTAAAGAATTTAGTAAAAACACTATATCACAAATCTAAATAAATTCTTAAATATGTCTTTCACTTTCAAAATCTGCTAAAGGCACAGCACCACTTTCCGTAAAAAGAATATACGGTGAATTTATCGTAGGTAAAATGTTTCAACTAGGATTCATTTTTACTTGTCATACTGCAATAAATATCCAGCTTGTTTCAGAAGTCAATACTAGTATTTCTATTCTTGTCTTTACCGTCATCGTTGAGGATAGTGACTTGTGTGACCGGGTGTTTTCCTAGCACCGCTTCCTGTTCCGGTTCTATCGACAGACGGACAAAGAACACCTCATCTGGTTCCCAGACATTGTCGTCGATTATCTCGATATCGATGTAAAGCAGAGTCTCGTTTGGTTCGAACACCATTGTCTTCTTCACAGCTTTGTAGTCTGACGTCGCTTCCGCTGTTCCGTCAACTGTTTCCACTCTGGAAATCAACAATAAAATTCAAACTCAAGTCTTTTTTGAACATCACAAAGAACGGTGCTTTTTAGCTAAAATTAATAAGTGACAATATGCTGGAGTCAAATATGGATGATGGGCAAAAAAACCTTAAAAGGTGAGTAACTCTACCTGAAGATAACTCTTCGGTTTAGGTTGCCGTGTCGGATGATGTTGAGTCGAACTCGCCCTTCTTTCTCGATGACGGCGGTGCTGGGGGATTCGAACTCCACGATAGCCTTCTTACCTCCCTCACTGAGATGGACAAAGTCCGGGTCTCCACCTGCCTCTTCAGCGATCAACAGAGTCTCCAACAACTAGATTATAAATTGACATTTTTGTTTCACATCGTATAAAATTCAGAATAAATATTCAGTGATTCTGTTCCATTTGAAGCATTTAACTTTTTAAAAAAATGATTCCTCTGAAAATGTTTATGCTTATAAAATATATATATTTTTTATTTTTAATTTTTTGAGTGGCGAAACTTTTAGTCTTTTTCTGATATATACATTTATATCTTACCTCGCTAGATTTGTTTGTGAGTTTGGTGGTGAGGGGTGATCCTCCCGTCATGGTCCTGATGGCATTGATTCGGTACCACGCTCTGTTGTGAGGCTGATTTTGTTCCATTAAGTGGGCAGTCAAACGGGCAATTTCTTTCTCGTCCGCATCTGGGTTGGATTTTAGTCTCTGTGAAATATGGTAGATTTTATTCAATTATAAGGAATAATTCAGCATATAGATTATATTTTTTAAAAGTATATATGCCTTTGTTTTCATTTTTTCAGTGTTGCACTTTGATTGAAAACTCACCCGCAGCATTTCAACGATAACTTGTTTATCAGCATGATCTTGTGATAAAAGGTTGTCTGTAAAACAGAACGAAAACAATAAAACTTATTCGACAAACATATTTATATAAAAATTTAAAATGTTCTTTTAAAAGTAATTGAAGAAACGATTCAATTCATTTTAAAAAATTGAAAGTTTCAAACAGATTAGTTGAACAAATATCTATAACCAAATATACAACTTCTAATGCACAGTTCCATCTATAACTCTATATAACAGACTAAAACTATAGAAGTACAACTTGGAATGAAATCTAAATTAAACAAAACACAGATTTTGCAAAATTTATTGAAATTCGTAACATCATCCTTTGATAAGTCATTTTTCGTAAATATGTGTTAATCTAATGCAGTTCTAGTGTAATCATGTTTTTCAAGTGTATTATTGAAATATGATTGAATATCAAAAACCGTGCCATATGATATATTAGTTCAAGCAATTTAATTTACAACGATGAAAAATTTACATTGCAAGCATTGAAATCGCCCATTTTTCACCATAAAAAAATAACAGGGGGCTGCCATAATACTGTAAAGTAAAATGTTTCATATCAAAATCTCTTTCTGATTAGCAAAGAAGGGTGGGAAAAAAGAAAAATGAAACAAAAAATCACTCCACTTTAGAAAAGAAGGCATTTAACAGACCGGGATAGGGAAGGGCAAGAGAAAATATTTTGGTGTTAACTCATGGATTTGCTATTTTTAAAAAAAAAAAGAGAGAAATGTGAGGGGAAAAAAAATCATCGTACACTTGGTTTCATTATATCATTTTCTGGATAATATTTACATATAGCTATTTGCAAAACAGAGAGGTCTTTTGGACACCTCCTAAATCCGCAAACGATTTGAGCCTTTTTTAAAATTATTTTCGGAATGAGTGGTCTAGACAAAGTGAAACACAAAGAGAGAAACACAATGAATGGTGGAGAGTTATAAAAGAGAAAACTACAAAACACAGAAATATTGAACCTCTGTCTGCCCTGCTGACTGGAATATATGTAAAGAGTGTGTTAACTGGATAATGATAAACTAAATACGTGTATTATTGCTGCGTAAACTTATTTACCTGACCCCACTAACGAAAAAATAAAATACACAACAATATTAGATGTGACAAGTACATATATCTAAATACAATTCTGTCATAATATACTGTAGATTCCTAAATATACGCATGGAATTAATTATCGCGTCTTTTCCCTCGAAACACCACACGCAAAATAAAATTACTTGCCTTTATTTTTATGGTGCTGAAATTCATGTAAATTCTCTTGATCAGCCGTCCATTCGCGAGTTATTATTCTCGATCGCGAGTTGACGTTGAAGAGACTTTTCGCGATAATACGTACCAGCGAAAAATAAGGAATCTACAGTAAAGTATGTACAAAGACAAAGTCATAGAACTCTCAGGGATTTACATTGTTGGAAGATATAAGTAGTGTAGTGAATCATGAATTTTTGTCCTTCTTTCTTTTCTTTTTTTTCCCCTTGAGATTTGGTCTGATGACCTTCGTAAAAACAATAGGACATCAAACAAAATATGTTTATTGTATTTAGTTTTCCAAGAAGTAGCGTTTTGGAGAAACTTTTAACAGATCAAATGCCCCTTGGAACCGTTACCCTGTCCAAACTCGAAAATCCTATTTCATGAGGTGGGTATGGGTTTTGATTTTTCTGTAACATTTTGGTAAATATTGTTTTTAAATGCTGGAATTTGTCTGTCTTCTTTAAAGAAATTGTATGTTATTCAATTTATACTGCATGCAAGTTCTTATCTCTCCTTCATTTTCAGAGAAGAAGTACAGACTTACCAACTTCTAATCCTGTTTCGTCGTCTACGGATGCAGATCCAAAGTAATCTTTGTCTAGAATGTAAGCGAAAATGACTAAAATAGGGAACATTAAGAGCGTAACGATGGCCTCCCACAGGTCCACAAAGTCCGGAGTGTTCACCATTAGAATTATTATAAGCCAGACGTAGGCCAACACAGAAAACACAGCGGTGATGGCGAACACCTTCAACTTTCTGATCCGCCTAGTTTCATTTGCGGGGATCGCAAAGACGCATACTCCACAGATGACCATGAGGTTAAATGCTGCTGACCCCACGACAGTACTGGGACCTAACTCTCCAGCTTTGAAATCATTGAATACAATTTCAATGATGGAAAGTAGAATTTCTGGAGCGCTAGAGCCGAGGGCCATAAGAGTAAGGTTGGCTACAGTGCCATTCCAGCGCTTCACTTCTACTGTTCTGTAACCACTCTCGCTGTCGTCTGGAATTTTCACTTCCTGTGTAAAACTTGTAATGGTTGAGATGGCTGCCATGAAAATGTCTGCTATGATGGAAATGGCCATAAAGCTCCATAGTAGTCCCACTAGATATACAGTGGCCCGGGCACCAATGGGCCACGTAGCTTCACTCACGATGGGTAACAGTAGCCCTTCATCTGAGCACGTGTAGGACGTGGGGCAAGTCGACATTGTTGCTTATTTTTGTATGTAAAATCACCACCTACAGTATAAAAGAAACAAAATTATTGCCAAATTTATTCTTGAATAAATTGAATAAAACAATCCATCCAATCATTTACAAAGAGGGATTAAATTTTGCTGGTCGCGACGCCCGCGTGGCGCAGTGGTTAGAGCGTCTGTTCTAGAGTCGCTAAGTAAGGAGTTGATCCCTACGTCGCGGGTTCGAATCCCACTGTGGGACGTGGAGACGGTCCTTTGGATGAATCCGTATAAACCGAGGTCCCATGTCGCAGTAGGTGCTGGCGCAAAAAAGATCCCTCCCTGCTCAATGGCCGTGATTGCCGAGTATAAGCCAAAATTTGTAGCTCTCCACCGGGAAGTGTTGGCGTCTACATATGAGTGAAAATTTCTCGAGAGGGACGTTACACAACATACAATCAATCAATCAGTCAATTTTGCTGCAAAGCTAAGTATTATTGTGTGAAATCGTTTTTCTTCTAGATTACTCCTTTGATGGCATAGTTGTCTTCAATACAATGTACTTGCATATATTTGCTACCCGGTAGTACTGGTCTAAAATACTTTGTATATTTTTTATTGATCAGTTTGTGGGGGGGGGGGGGGTTTGATTTTTGTAAAATTATTTCTTAAAAAATAATATATAGTTGATAGTACAACATTTCACTGAGAGCGCAAACACACAGAGGCTCTACAATTGCAAGGTCGAAAACAAAAGAATCAAGTGATAGTTGTGAAAGTTCATTGAGTCCTTTGATTTAAAATTCTTTTGCAGTGCATTTAAAGTTTATCAATGAACTAAAGGTTTTTTTCGATTGCAAAACAAAGACACGTGCAATGACTACTCCTACAAGTAAGAGCCTCGGTTAACGTCCCTATGCTCCTTATATAACGCGGCGCCAAGTCAAAAGTATCTCGCCGTGAACCTCTAGCATGCTGGAGTAGTGCAATGACATGATCTTCGGTTTTATCAAACCTTTTGTTTCATATTACTATTGTTATTAGTATTATTATAATTAAATGTCTTTTTTTTCTTGTCTATTTTGAGGCTTTATTTGTGTTTGTATATTTGTATGCTTGTACCAGGGATCTAGTAATACAAAGAATCAAATTGCCTAATTTCTTGATTTCTTGTCATAAGGCAGATTAATTTGCCCTTTTACCAAATTAATCTCATTTAATTGACGGAAGCACACAGATAATATGGTTAAAACTAATAATGGTACGAATTGGCAAAATCGAAGTCATCTTTGTACGAGTTAATTAGTGTGTATCACTTCCGCTTCCGCCACTAAGAAAAAGAGCGCGGCAAAGGAAACCTCCATTAAAATTATTATCGAAACAATCTGCACAAACCAATCGCCGGAAAATGCCGCCAGTGAGAAGTAAAGTAACCACGCGGTCAAGGAAGGACCGGGACCGAAGTTTCGTGTCACCAGGCAGAGGGCGAGGGATCCGGAGGCGACCCAACCATCCCAATCGGCCCCCGCACGAAGTCCCACCAAACACAAGACCATCACAAAGGGGAAACCCGGCCAGGAGGCCAACCACACCAACGCAACCAGCCACAGTAACGGTGGCGGACCCCATGCTTCACACTGCAGATATCTCAGAGGGCCTGGACGAGGCCGAGACCTCGAGTAACACGGGTGAGTTAAATATTTTGAGCCTCCCCACAGCAAACGATTTATCTTTTAACACAATCAATGAGGAATTCGACGGCCCCCCTTTTAACATCTCAGACTACCAACCGGCCCAGACCCCTAGCTGTATAGACCCTATTAGCGCCCACGTCCCCCAAAAAATCAAGCGAAAGATTTGGGAGGGAAAATTTATTGATCTATCAATAGTATTAAAATCGGCGCGGGAAATCTCAGACCACTTAGATACACAAGGCCAAATACAAATACGTAATGGCACAATGTGCCTTGTTAAGCAAAAAATGCGCACCTTTTTGTCAATTGACAAATGGACGTCGGCCTTCCTCATCTTTACAAGTATAATGTTAGAAAAATACAGAGCAAGAGCCCAAGAATTTCTGAAATATATGAGGGACATAAGAATGGCTGCTGATAGATCTGGGAACGGTTGGTTCACCTATGATGAACAATTTAGGCTGCGCAAAGTAACTGACCCTCATTCATCTTGGGGTATCATAAATTCTGAACTCTGGTTGATACACGTTACAAACAACTATGTTACACAGGCCCAAGGAAATCCCATATCCCCCTCACAAAATTCCTACCCTCATCACAAACAGTCCAACATTTCAATGGCTGAGAAAAATGCAAACTTCACATCAAATCGTTACTGCTATGATTTTAATTCAGGCAAGTCATGTAAATTTTACCCAAATTGCAGGTTTGTCCACTCGTGCGATTCCTGTGGTGGATCACACCCCTCAATCAAATGCAGTAATAGAAACGCCAAATTCTAACATGGATATCAACAAATTGATACTTTGTCTGCTTATCTACACACACCTATCTAAAATTAAGGACATTTGCTCACCTATGGGGGGGAGGGATAATTGAACGTTTATATAGTTAATTTTTAACCCATAACTAACCAACCCAAAGCATTGCAGGTCAAAAAATATGGATCATAGGGTCTTCCATTCCTTACTGGGCAGGGGAAGCAGCCAAACACTGCCCAGGGGGACAAAGCCTGAACCTCCCTGCCACACTGCAATGGAGAACACACAGGGGGATGCACTGGCATGAACTCGACCCAAAAATCCTACAGCTCATCAAACAAGAAGCACCCCCCCATTACTTAGTAATTCATTTAGGATCCAATGACTTGGTAACGCCAAACCTAACTAGCAAAAAATTCATACAAGAGATTCAGTGCAGCTTCCTGCGATATAATGCCCTTCTCCCAAATACAAAATTGGTGTGGTCACACATTCTACCACGCCGTTATTGGCATGGAGCCCCATTGAACAGTGGAAAAAAGATTGACAAGAAACGCAAAAGAATTAACAAAAATATATCTAAATTTGTTACAGAATTAGGTGGGGGTGTTATTTCTCATGCAAACATATCCGTCGCTAACACAGACTTGTTCAGATTTGATGGAACCCACAGGGCCTGGGAAGGGGCTGCGCCACGCGCCATATGCGCATACTGCCGAAAAATGGGGCATTGTAATGATGGTGCGCTGCGCCATGCGGCGCATCCCCAAAAATAATGTAAAATGCGCACACGCATTATTTCTACCACGTGATTTTATCGAGATCGACGTTATCGGTAATCTTCATCAAAGTTAGATGGAATTGTCCGATGAGTACGGAATGATAGAATCGGAACGCCATTTTTAAATACTGACATGCCGCCGGCAAAGAAAATGAAGTTTTCACTTCCACGTGGTCAAAAGACACTAACCTCCATGCAGTTTCCAACCGGCTTAAGTTCAGAAATAGAATCGAGTCCAGAGGAAGGAGATACAGCAAATGTAAGAAATGCTGATGCAGAAATGAACAATGACGAGACCAGTAAAAGTGCTGAAAAAAGAAAATTTCAGTCATCGTGGCTTAAATTGTGGCCCTGGATGATTTACGAATCGGAAAAAATGTTTTGCACTATATGTAAAGAAAGGGGTAAAGACAATATATTTACGCAGGGTTGTGGTACATTTAAAACTTCGTCATTAAATAGACATGAAAATTCTCAAGATCACAGGGATAGTATACAAGCACAGTCACTTAGTAAAGAGATGAACGTAGCTGTAGCTAAAATGATGACAGACCACGATTCAGCTTTAATAAAGGCTATAAAGACTGTACATTGGCTTGCCATTGAGAATTTACCACTGTCAAAATTCGAAAGTATGATGGATTTTCTTAAAGATGTAGGCACACCAAATCTGAATTTTTTACAAGTTGGAAATCGAATTGATTATCAGTCGTACTATTCAGCTAATGAATTTCTACATGCAATTAGTGATGTGATAGAAGAGAAAACAACTGAAAACCTACAGAAGTCACCATTTGTAACAATATATGCAGATGAAAGTACAGACATTTGTAACAAGAAAAGAATGACAATGACAGCTAGGATAATTAACCCAGAAAATTCTAGAGCACAAACTGTATTTCTGAGAGACATTGAGTATGAGAATGGGACAGGGGAGGGATTGACTTCAGAGATAATCAAGGAGTTGAATTTACGACACATATCGATATCAAAGGTCCTTGGTTTCGGATCAGATGGTGCATCAGTCATGACGGGGTTAGATAAAGGTGTAAGTGGAAGACTGAAAGAATTGAATCCTCACATTTTAAACATTCATTGCATGGCACATAGATTAGCACTTTGCACTGCACAAGCAGCAGAAGGAATCCCTGCTCTGAAAAGATACCAAGAGTTTATGACAAAATTATTCTATTATTTTAAAGTCTCAGCAGATAGGGAGAAGGAAGTTCACAAAGTTCAAGCTCTTTTGGATCATCCCATGCTGAAGTATAAAGAAATTCATGCTGTGCGCTGGCTCTCATTCTACGATGGATTAGAAACCATTTACAAAACTCTTGATCCTCTTTTAACTTACTTGCACAACCGAGAAGCCAAGAAAGACCCTAAAGCCAAAGGACTCCTAAAGCAAATGGCCACAACGCAATTCATCTATATCACCTATCTAATGATGGATGTTCTTCCAATTGTAATGAGATTGTGTCTAACCTTTCAAAAGGATGACTTAGATATTGCTCGTGCTAAGGTACATAATAAAATATTGTGCATTTTAATTTACAATACATATTACAAAAAAGCACAAATTGTAATTCTGTATAATTTTATTTATAAATCCACTTTTTTACAAGACGTTTTAAAATTAGATTTCAGTTGACTCCTGTCTGAGTGAGCTGGAGGCTTTCAAAGAAGGAAAAACTTTCCACACTACATTTGTTGAGCAGTTTGCTTCAGATATTACAGAAGTTGATGACCATCCTGAATTCAAAGGACACAGAATTCACAAAGTTCCTGGTGCGAATTTCCAGTCACTTAAGAGCCAATTTATAAATAGTTTGGTCTCAAATATTAGGAAAAGGTAATTTATTTGGTTATTCCACTCCAGTCATAGACAATTACATACTGGTACACACTACTGTAATAGAAATATTTTTTTCTTCATTCTGTACATCAACAATAGACTAGACAGATAAGTTAGTTTTAAGAGAACCTACATTAATTGATTAATGTTATTGTTATTAAACAATACAAATTATTTGAAAAAAATATCTTTGACTTCAGATTTCCACAGAAGTCCCTGATGGATGCCTTCTATGTCCTGTCCATGCGAGCCATTAATTTCAGTGATGTGGAGACATATGGTATTGAAGAAATAAATGAACTTCTTGACTACTACGGAACTTCAAAAGTAACTATTTCATTCTTCAAAATAATTTTATTTGTCAATAAAAAGATAATTTCAAATCAGTGGAAAAAAAAATATGTTCATATAAATATACTTACCTCTATTTAAATTGCAGTGTCACAAATCTGCCATCTCACAGCCGGTATTATGTGCAGAAAAAGTTAGAAATCAGTGGATGTTGGCCAAGCAGATTGTCAAGTCTGCAAGATACCCAACAGACCAGATGCAAGAATTATGGGAACTACTCACAAAACACCATAAAGAAGAATTGAATGAACTGATCAAGCTAGCACAGATTGCACTCACTTTACCCCTGCACACTGCAAGTTGTGAACGAGTGTTCTCCCAGCAAAACATTATTCTTACCAAGCAGAGAAATTCCTTGGCACCCAAAATTTCCGACCGACTCCTAAGAGTTCGATTAAACAAGCAAGAAACTATCAATTATGAAGATGTTTTGAAAAGATGGAATTCTTTAAAAAAGCGTATCATCTCTGCTCAGTAGTATCATATTGTTATGATATGTCAATAAAGCAATCCAATAATTTTTTTGTTTTATTTTATTTGCATTAATTTTATTCTCTGAGAAACAGAGATGTGCATAATCATAGCATTAACAGAATAAGTTCATAATATGACAATTTTTGAAAATGGCCCATTGTATTCTCATTCGGCCCCATAACTTTTAAAATGGCCCCATCATTTTAAGAAGAGGGGGGCCATTGGCCCTATCACTTACTTGTCCTTCCCAGGCACTGAACCCACCTCTCCGAGCTGGGCAACAGAACCTTCTTAAATAATGTAAAAAGTGGTTTGTGGTTCCTTATTCAAGGGAAGGGGAAAGTATCCCCTAATATAAAGTAATGGAGGAACATCATATCGATGTCTATGGCGGGTCCGGGGGGATAAGTGGGAGGGTTGTGAACATATCTGGCTCGTTGTTTCCTGCCCAGCCAGCAGATAAGTTGGTGGGCACTTTGTTGGGTAGACAGGTTGTCTACAAAACATCCAACCTATGGCAATGTTTAACAAAAAGTAAAGTAAAATGTCAAGTAACAAGTTTTTCGATTGGGGTCTTTGCCAAGCCTGCAGGCCTGGGGCCCCCTCTACCTCTTGTAACAGGAGGGGAGGCTTAGTACTGGAGTACTTGGGTGTTAAAGTACTGCTGACCAGAAGCAATCTCAGGAAGCAGGGTATACAGATGTGCTTGCAACTCTCCCGGGCCCAAATGTCTAGTACCCAAATTTGGGATCCCAGGCACCTGTGACCAACACAGGGCCACTGGTTTTGCCCGGTACTCTTTAGTCGGTATGCCAGTTGTCCTTCCGGACCCTATTCTTTATTGTACATCTATGCAATGCGGCCTATTAACGCCAACTCCCTTTTTGCCCATCACAGTTATGTATAACACAAGATTGTACATGTATCCTTTTTAAGTCTTTAATAAATTTAATGAAAACCATCCAACTGTTGTCTATTGCAAAGTTGACACCAAGGAAAGGGAATAGAGACCTTATGAGCATAAGGAATCATGTAGCAATGCAGGTCAGGCCCCGCAGGGCAGCAATTACCTGACTGTTCAATTAAGGCAGATTAATTTGCCCTTTTACCAAATTAATCTCATTTAATTGACGGAAGCACACAGATAATATGGTTAAAACTAATAATGGTACGAATTGGCAAAATCGAAGTCATCTTTGTACGAGTTAATTAGTGTGTATCACTTCCGCTTCCGCCACTAAGAAAAAGAGCGCGGCAAAGGAAACCTCCATTAAAATTATTACCCACCCACCCACCCCCTTCTAATAAGGGTAACTTTTATACTTATGTGAAATCGCATGCTTTTGGGGGGGTTGTTCTTTTTCGTGGTTCGTAAACTAGGGGTTGACATGGGTTTCTGGGGGGACTCCTCAGGCCTCAAATACAGCCAAAAATTGGAATGCCACAAAAGTTTGCTATTCCACAGTACTGAATCCACATGTCCCTATACACAATCCCATATATGAGATGTATCTCTAGAATTTATAGGTATATTGATATATATATACATCCCAAACATACCGACAATATTAATATCATTAGACAATGCAACCATTGGCTAATGAAAATACCACCAAATTGCAGTAATCTGCTGTCAGAATTTTTTGCCTTTTTCAGACACCCAGCAACAAAGAGGGCCAACCAAAATCCAGCTCACAGTAATTGATGTTGAAAAAGGGAAGCCAATCCAATACCAGATCAAAGCCAGTCCAAAAAGTGATTCAGGACTGTGTCAGTGCGATTAGACTAATGTCAAGTGACAGTAATTATTATGTTTATCTCATAGCCTAATTAAATAGCCAAAATACATAAGACCTATCAAAATCCTCGTCGCATTGTATTAAAGGGGGGTGGGTCCGGGGGGATAAGTGGGAGGGTTGTGAACATATCTGGCTCGTTGTTTCCTGCCCAGCCAGCAGATAAGTTGGTGGGCACTTTGTTGGGTAGACAGGTTGTCTACAAAACATCCAACCTATGGCAATGTTTAACAAAAAGTAAAGTAAAATGTCAAGTAACAAGTTTTTCGATTGGGGTCTTTGCCAAGCCTGCAGGCCTTCTGTCAATATGTGACCGTTTCAAAAGTAAATTCTAATACATGTATATTTTAATTAATATTTATGTTGTTTTCTTATTGTTTTTCTACAAAAATGCAAAATTAAGACTTAAACAAAATATCCAGGTACATTTAAGTCATTTATATACATGTAATTGCAAAAGCTATAAGAAGCTTACGATATTTCAAACATTTAAAAACTTGGGGTCAGTATAGAAGGTCTCGCGGCTAATGCATAATTCATTGTCTGGGCTTGTATATTATGGCCAACTAAATAAACTAAGATTTTGAAATAAATTCTTAACATTTCTCCCTCACCTTTAGGGTTTTAAAATGGGTGTTGACCTATATTTGATTTATTTTTAGTGGTGTCATGGAGCGAAGCAATGATCGACGGTTTTACGTCACCAATACACAGAGGTTTTGCGTTCACGTCATCCGTTCTTGTTTTTTAAATGCATTCACAAAATAGGTATTTTGCAACAAGGCTCCCCACACAACAGAAATCTTTCGTGTACTAAGTTTTTTAAATGACCGTTCAATAGGTATGGATTTTCTATAACCATTGATTGGCCAACTCTCTCTCTCTCTTTTATTGTCTAAGGAACTGATTTGAAAAGTAGAGACTGAAACCGATCCAATATTGTGTATATAAAGCAATTAGCTGCTTGTATTACTAGCTAATAAAATATCAGTAAATAGTAATGAAACTTTTCTTAAAAAAATCTTTTACATGTATAAGAAATGAAATAGCCAGTGATTCGTACCTGATCAAACTAATCAATTTCATCATCTTGGAATTAAAAAAACCCATAATAGGGTCATTTCCTTTTAATTTGAAATTATATTATGGAAGTATAATTTATCCAGGTACCCCTTGTAAGCAATGGTAATATATTTTATCCAAGCATTAGTTTATATTATTTGTAGATCATTCTGTTGTGTAAATCAGGTTTTCTTGTGTTGAATAATTTATCGTAATATCGTCGATAAATCCAACAGGCTGAACCAAACATGACAATGTGGGCATGAAATAATCAAAATATAATGAGGCTTAGGTATCAATGAAAATGAGTTTATGCTGCAACACTCGCTTTTAGAAGATTCCATTGAGTTAGAAGTGATAAAATATTGATTGCGGTGTTTTAATAACCCAGCTCTAAGGAAAATATCCAAAAACAATGTCCAAGACATTGACCAGTTCAACAGAGCTCAGAAATATATCTAATCTAGCAGTAATTTTGAAACAATAGGGCTGATTCTTTTAGAGATATGTACCAAATAACTGAAAAAAATATTCAGTTTAATAGCAATAAAGTATATCACTGGTATAGATTAAACTGAATGTTTCATACAAATAAATATAAACATAAATAGGCATTGTAAATGCACATGTATCTGACACATATTAACGGCATATTTTAAATCTAAAACAATCAAACCTTTAACTCCTCTTCCCAAAATTACATGAAGAATAAATGTTTAAAATTAATTCCGATGAATAATTAATTTAACTAACCTTTAATTTTATGTTTTTTAGCTCCTACCTTTATTTAATCGCTGGACTGGGATCAAGCATGGTCCTTTTCTCGCCTGATCGTAGCCATAGATCTTCTAAACAAGGTTCATGGCGTGTTGACTTGTTGCTAACGCAGTGCTTTACACGCGCTTACTCGGACGAAACATACAAACAAACCGGGTAGCTAATAAAAGGAGACAACTCGTATCGATAAAAACCATTGTGTATTGATCTTTATCATCAATACATTGTTCTTTTGCATTTTCTTATTTGATTTCATTTCCGCATGCTTCCTATATGAACACTTGTACAATGCATCGGATACAGCCTTTAAATCGTTTCTAGAATAATAGATTACACTTTCAAAAGAATTATTTATTGCACGTTGTTTGATTTAAATAGAATTTATACATTAACTAAAAATCCCGTTTATTGATTAAAGGTACTGCTACAGGCATGGGCTTTTGCATATCACTCATCTTTTAAATAGTTATCTGACATTATGAGGATTAAATGCTCAAAATCAGCCAGAAGTTAATAATGGGTTTGGTTATTATGCATGCTTTTAAAACAACATTTACAGTGTTGTAAATGATAATAAAAATAATAAGATTGGCCCTAAAGTTCCATTGATTAATCGATTTTCTGTGGCTAGGATAAACTTTATATAGCCACCAAACATGGAATGGACATTCGATGTACGTATATAAACTTCTGATTTAATTTCTTTAAATACAAGTAATGTGGGGATGATTTGAAGTGTTTACAATATACATGATGTTCATTGAAGCAAACTACGAAAGTCCATTGCGCTTATTTTTTAAGGTTAAAATAAATATCGCGAATAAATGCAAAACTTTCGCCATAAATAAATTCGTAACTTTTGTGTTATAAAGCGAAAACTGGCGAATAAATGCTTAAGTTTTGCAGTATAAGGCGCAACATTCGCGAATAAATGCTAAACCTTCGACTTTAAACTAAGACATCTGCATAAGTCTCAATTTTCATTTTTTTATGATCTAGTTTATTCATTACAATGAAAAACGAAAGACTATATTTGCTTATATTTTCTATAATAAATTGGTTCGGTAGTCCTTTTTTATAATATTCGTCGATTGTTCTCGGTGTATATTTGAGACTTCTCTTATCAACGGAAAAGGTGGCAATTTGATTTTTATGTAAGGGCACTGTATGAAAATACTGGATTCATATTATAACCATTTTTTGTCAACACACACCGACACGATAAATCAAACGTTCAGGGTACGTTGAGAACAAAACACTTAAGATTGTAGGTTCATAGCACTTGTTGGACTGTAACCGAATATATTTACATCCATTGAATATTTTCTTCTTTAAACTTCTGAGTACCAAGCAACATGTAGATAAATATTCTTACTAGTTCATGATGCGGTCAAAGTAAGCCTTTCCAACTGATTACGTTTACAGATCCAACATTTATTAAGTACTGTATAGTATTGTACCATCGTCGCCAACCACGGCCAAAATGTAAGATCCTCTCCCATCCTGGCCGTGGTTGAATGAGAAGAGAATATCTCGTAGTTCATTAAAATATTTACCAATGCAAGTAAAGCACAGTCGGATACTGAACCTCAAGATTATGACACTTTTTGTGATCAAGCAGCCACGGGTAGGAGAGAGCTATATGCGGACTCCCGCGGACCATGGCTTGACTGAGACGATTGCATTGTACAATATCACTGAATTTAGGTTTTCATGCTCTTGTCTTTGATATATTTTGTCAATTACTAAGTATTTCGACAGATAAAAATAAATGGATTGTAAGAGATTTAATTTTGCGTATTTTACAGGATTTAACAACAAAACTGAAAGTATACTTCTCAACAATTTTATTTGACTTGTTCTTGTAATCAGACATTTGTCTAGACATAAAATAATAATGGAGGTGAATGTCATAACTTTTTATTAAAATGGTGAATAAAACTTCATAAAATTGTTTCATGATTTGAAAACAAAATGAACACAACAGTTGATAAATGATTTTGTCAATCCCATGTCTGTTAATTCTAACATACTCTTACAGCTAGACATGAATATTTATGTAGAAAAATTCACTAGCTGACCAGGCCTTTCAGTCTTGTCCTGTAGATGATTTAGATGAGGAGTTTTTCAATGTTCTGCTGAATGGTCTGGATCTTGGGTCGGAGTTGAGATCCCTCGTTGACTGTGACGGAGCAAGCAATGACAGCCCTGGACACACCACAGGCTCGTCCTAAGGCTACAAACACAAAATATCACATATAGGTGCCTTTACATTTAATCAAGTTAGTATTTGATAAATATTAAAGGTCTCCTTTTAAAAAGAAGTACGATTTTACATCACATTCAGTTTCAGGCAGATTTTCCTGAGTCCATCTCTTTTTTCCTAACCTACTCTTTCTAAAACCCTAACAGAGCCCCTTTGTTTGCACCAATGACAATGAAATAAGCAAATGTTAAGTCTTCATGAAATCAATTCCATATTAATGTGAAAATACCAGATAATCTACACTTCATTCTTCAGTAATATATACATGTATTACTGTAAACCAGCTATTATTCGCTATTAGTCAGTTAGAAATCAATCCACGACGATTAATGTTCACAAATAAGGAAACATTTTCTACAAATACAAAACAAAATAAATGGTTCACTGCGATTTATACTCGCAACTTAAGTTGGTTCAGGTTGCTAAACTCACCAATATTTCTCATACGTAAATAAATGTTGGTATACAGTATTTGCCTAAATCTAATTACAAAACATTGTGGCAAAATTTTTTGCTATAATTCAGTTTAATGTTCACCATGAATACATTTGTATGATTTTTTACCTTGTTTGGATCTCACAAACACATAAGGAACATTCTACAAAAGAGAATTACAAATATTTGTAAATTAATACTACTGTATACAGGGAAAATTTCGCCCCCGTTTTATTTTCGCCCCTTTCGCCCTATCCTCCTTTGGGCGAATTTAAAACAGGGCGAATTCAAAGAATACAGTATGTTTTCTTAAACAAGACCCTGACTGGGCGAATTCAAAATGGGACAAAATTATTTTCAAGTGTCAGAGGGCGAAAACAACATGGGGCGAAAATAACCCAGTATACAGTATTAAAATCTAATTTAAATAGTAAGCTTTAAAGACCCAATTTTTTTACCGTACGGTTACCTGAGGGGAGGGAGTGGTCAAAGTAACAGTGCTGTTATTTACCTGGAGACCCCCAATACCCAAGATGTCAAAAATCTGTGTATACGTAGCATTACACAGGAAGTCTGTGTTTGGTAATCAGGGTCAACATTACGTGTTTTGTGTCTGGTTTTGAGTGAAACTACGTAAAATAATTATTTTAATATGGAATTTATTTGTAAACTAAACGCATTCATTGTAATCATGGTAATGTTTTGAAGGTAAAAAAAATAATAAGATACATGTATATCGTTTTAGAAAAAGTTTTCCTTACATAAAAGAAAAATTCACGAGTAAAAACTACAAATCAATAATATTTATCTTTTTTAATCTTCAACAAAAGAAATCACTTGATTAAAAAAGTCTGACTATTGAAATAAAAAAATTATTGATCCACCTATTCGTCGTGCATGTGAACATGCATTTACCGCGATCTGAATGTTTTGGTTTTTTTTATGGCCAACAATGTTGTCCAAAATATTCCATATTTTCGATTCTTCGTGTGTTAACAAAATTTTATTGTTAGGAAGATTTCTTTTCAGAATCGATCACTATTAATTATCTTCACATTTTCACTACGTATATATACAGACGCTAGAGGAAATTCGAGCATTAATTCTGACATCAATTTCTAGCCATAGTACAAACCAGGGACGTATATACTTAGTATATAGGTCCCTGTACAAACTAAAACATCTTTTAAAAACTATGCTATGCCGTTTATTAGTGCTGAATACAATTGTATTTTTCTTATATCCCATTTTTTAAAAAATAATTTAATTCGTCGGACTTCTATAAATTACGGCAAATATAGCCGGTTTCTGTGGACGCGGTCTTTTTTTCCACAGATAAATGTGAACGATATAACACTTACAAGTAACATACAGCAGTGAAGATAGGAAAGAAATATTTTATTATCTCAATATTTTAATAATCTACTTTCAATTATTTTTTGAAATAAAATTCAAACATTTTGGAGTTTTCTAATCCGCGTGTATACTATGCGGGTACATGAAAGCGTTTGACGCGTGACCAGGTTATTGTTTTCAAAACATGCAAACTCAGATTATCAGGAAGCACAGGGGTAGCTGACCTGTCAATCAAATTAGAAGCTATTGTTTTTTTTGATGATTGACAGGCGGTAAACTACATGTACTGATCTTGAATCAGGTAGATTTTGGGGGCGTTAACATAAAATTGGGTGTTTAAAGCATTTGTCCCTCTTTCACCTCCCCTCCCTCCTCTTTATATTCCTCCTAATGACCCTTCTTTTCTCTACCCCATTTTAAATTCTGAAGCTTGAAGAAAAACCTTGTGCCATACTTAACATTTTATCAACCTTTGAAATAGTTCTGAAGAAGTCTGAAGAGCTAAAGTCTCATCGGCCTTAGATAAGCGCCTGAGGATTCTACACACTGCTGCTTTGAACAGAAATTCATTGTGAGGCTTTTAGATCCTGTGACAGTGTAGCAAGTATATAAGAATATCAAGGAATTTATTTGTATACAAAATTCTTTTTTTTCAATGAAAATAATAAATAAATTAGGTATCCAAAAGGTGTTGGAATTTTGTGCAGAACTTGCTTTATAGTTATTCATCAAGGATTGCTAAAAACTCTTAACTGTCAGACATTGATTGTTTTCACATTTACAAAAGGTAGAAAATATTTTTTTAATTTACTGTGTGTTACTTGACTTATATAAGGTCACAGTATGAAGTATTTAATTACCTTGTCTTCACACAACAGAGGTAGATGTAACAAGATCTCCAGTGGCTCTGCATCAGCCGCCATAACAATAAATTCAGATATCCCTCTATTCAGTGTTTTAGTTGCTGAAAACAAAGAACATACAGACAATAGTTTTGCTGAGAATCATGTCCAGAACCTGAGATTTGTAAGTGATGAGTACAAAGAACACATACAAAGAGAATGAAGGCAATGAAATGCCTACACAGGGTTCATAATAGACTTTTCTGTTTCAAATTCAAAGACTTTTCAAAACCTTTTAACTGATTGCCTTCAAATGTGATGACAACCTCAGGCCTGGAGCTGATGGCTTGAAGGCGAGACTTCAGAGATTTCATGAAACGGTATTTTATTTTAAAAATTTGTAAATTTCAAGCCCTATCCATAACACTTCATGTGGGCCCGTGTCAGAAATATATAAGCAATAGGGCATAAAGGAAAATGTGCTTAATGACTTCAAATAAATTATGATACATAGTTGTACTGACAGTACATGTAACTGTTATTTGTTTTTTGTGAGTTCTTACACTTTAAAGCAACTATTCTTAACATTTCATTGCAGATTTTCCTATTTCAATTGTGAAATATTTTGATAGGTACTAAACACAATCAAAACACAATTTCCAGAATCACTTTGTATAGCACTGTTCAAAGATTTGGTAGAGACATCAGTACAATTTTTTAGTCTCTACAAGAGAGTTAAATTATGCTAATTTTCAATTAATTGTTCTATTACAAACCCTCATTTGCTCCTTTCTTTAGCTGCTTATAGTGTGAAGCTTGTTGAACCAAATCTAGAATCTCCTGCGTCAGCTGTGCATCAGCCAAAGGATATGCCTTGGGGTTTACTTCATCAGTCTGTAAAAAATAAATGCCAGATAAATCGATCAGTGTATCAAAAAAGGGAAAATGTCAAGTAATTATAAATTCAACTGGAAAAGAACGATTAAGTTCAACCAAATATTTTTTTATCCCTAAATCTTAATATTATTCACATTCAAATCCAAATGGCGGCACTTTATCGTGCAACAATAAAAGTCTGATACAAGTAGAATTATCTCTGCTTAGGGTCAGACCATCGATAGATGAAAACTTACCATTTTTCTGAAATTTAGTAGTTACAAAATTCAACAAAAATTGATAAAACGCCGTCCTCTCTGCGAATTTCGCTTCACTGAGGACCTCGTGGTTAAAACGCTATTTGTTTATTGATGTCAGTTCAAGTCTGTGAAGCAAAATGGCTTTTTAACGATGGGACAAACGTTTTGGTGACTAAAATAATCTCGCACTGTACAGGAAAAGATAACTCTAAAAATAATATTGCATATAAACAAAGAGAAGACAATCCTTTGATTTTGAGCAGACGATTTCATTACTGAGGTATGATTTAATATTCTATTCTTTTTTATGGATAAGTGCAGAAATATAGAAACGCAAGGAAATATTAATGATTATATAGGCCTAACTATTACACTTTTCGTCAAGGAAGTGTTTGGACAGGTGCCTGAGGCGGGGCCAAGCATTGAACATACGGTATTCTTACATAGGGTCATGTATTGCACATAGAAATGGAAATGTTTCTGAAATATTTGACATTTTTTAAAATTTTTATTTGGATATTTGACATTAAATAAGAAAATATTGCGAAAAATACCATCAGAAAAATGAACGAGGTAAGGTCTTGTACGGTGTTATTAATAAAACTGAAATAAAAATACAAAATTCGAAACTTTTCACAACTCTTAAATGACTTTCTCTTCGTAATCAGGTGATATCTGCATGTGACAAAATTGAAAACACAGTATGGAAGCAGAAGATCAAGTGGTAGCTGGGGAAGTGGTCAGTGATGATGAAGAGGTAAGGCTTGTTTCTAAAATGGTCAATAAAGAAAAATATCATGTCATTGTTTTAAAGGAACGAGAAAGGAAATAGCTATTGTATTGACTTTTACACAATTATTGTTAAGAAAGGTATAAATTCGCTTACGTTTATATTTCTTATTTAGGAATCTTTATATCAAGACATAGATCTCCTTCAGAACCATGGTATAGTAAGTATTTGAAAAAATATTTTAATATGTTAGTTTATAGGCCCTATACTATATTCCTTAGGCCTAAAAAAAAAATATGTTTGTTTCCTGTAACCCGACCGACCCATTCAAATTATCCCGGGTGGATTTTTTTTCTGACAAATGGCAAAACTTCGTTTGATCAATCAGCTGATTCCATTTATTAAATTTAAAAAAAAATAGCTTGTAGCTTAATTTGAGACATAAAATATGTCAACTTAGTGTACATTTACCTTAAATATAAAGAGTAATCATTATTGTAAGAACAGTTTCCCCCTACAGAATTTCCGACCTACCGACCCTTGATTTTTTGGGAATGTTACAGGAAACAAACTTATTTTTTTTTAAGCCTTATATTGAAAAATATATAGGATGGACTGGTATTGATATATACAATAGTTTCTAAAAGAATATATCAGTAAAGTGTTGCCATAACTGATGTCACACATATTGCCATTCAAACAAATCTTTGATCTTTCAAAAAAAGTCGGGAAAAAATCGTCAAAGTTTTCGAATGATGTAAAAAGAAAAAAAATATTTTCGATAAGAAGAAAGATTTATGTGAACTGATAGTATTATTTGGTGTTAACATCTACATCTAAGTATTTAAATTGAAGAATGTTGCCGACATAAAGAAGTTGAAACAGTCCGGAATATGTACAATCAAGGTGAGATAAATACAGTATGATGAAATGCACACACATGAAGTTAAGAAAAAAAAGTCCTTTTTTAATTCTTGTGTAATTTTTTTAGCGGAAAATTATACAAAATGAAAAATAATGGATTATTAAAATAAATATTACTGTAGTTTCTCTGTAAATTCAGGGTATTCAAATGACAACAAAGAAAAAACTTTGCACAATCAAAGGAATATCGGAGGCTAAAATGGAAAAGATCAAGGAAGCATGCAACAAGCTCGCTGTAAGTAAAAGTTAACAACTGATAAATTATAAATACTACTAATTTAAAACACATTTTTATAGTAAGCATCTTATGCATTAAAAAAAGATATACCTTTTGTATGTAAACGAAAAAGTTATATTTATTTTACAGGACCCAGGCTTTCTTACTGCCCTTGAGTATGCTGACAAAAGGAAACAGGTGTTTCGTCTGACCACAGGAAGTCAAGAACTGGAGTAAGCAACAATGGGGACATGCATATTCACTTCCATTTTCCGAATTACTTTTGCACACTTTTGTAGATGATAAATTCCTAAAGGGCTAGAAATATTTTTTTTTTAATCTTTAAAGACAACTATATCCTATAGGATCATCTTTAAAATAACGTTTGCTTGTTCTCTCCCGACTCGGGGTAAAATTATAGGAAAATCTTTTTTCCAGAAAAGAACATATTTGTTGATTTGGATAAGATTAAAAAAAAATATCGCGCCCGGGAATTTAAAAAAAAAATTGAGTCGGACAATTTTAGTCGGTCGGGAAAGGGCAACCAAACATTTTTTTATGATGGCCTAGTAATGCAAAAACGGTGTAGTAAAAAGAGAGATCCCCCCTTTTCCCTTCTCCAGATTATTAGAGAGGGTGTGTATATGAACCTTTGTGTAGATTGAAACTGAAAAAAAAAATACGACGGGAATATCTACGTTCATAAGTTTTTATAACCTGGAGAAATCTGGTAGTATTTCTGTTGTTTTTACATCTTTTCATATAAAGGTACATAAAGATAACGAACATCGATGGATCTCAAAAAATCTACAAACAATACAACTTTCCCCAATTTTTTTTTTATAATGGACATCTTAAATTTATAAATAATTTTTTATTCTAGTCAAGATATTTTCACGTGATACTTACAATGAAACAATCATTCAATCATTAGTACAAATTTTTTTTACGCAAGACTCTGCCTGTTTCAGTAGCAGTTTTAAATTTGCTTATAATAATTTTGTATTACACTTATAATTTAGAGTTTGTTTTTTTTTCATTTAGCAAACTACTTGGCGGTGGTATAGAAAGTATGGCAATAACTGAAGCATTTGGTGAATTCAGAACGGGAAAAACTCAACTATCACACACTTTATGTGGTATGTAAGCACTACAGTGTTTTACAGGCATTAGTACAGTGTACCTCCATCATGGCAAAATTGTTTTGTAGGAGTTGGGGGTCCCCCAACCACTACAAAACAATTTTGCCATGATCTTTCGTTAATTTGGTCTTTTTCAATTTTTTAATCTTTTTTCTATCTTCTTTTAATGTTTTGTAATTGATTAGCATGCCGAAGAAATTTGTCAGGAAAGTTGTCTGTCGTTTTAACCCCCCCCCCCCCTCCAACTAGCAGGAACGATGCTAGTGTCTGTTTTTGTTATATTTTTTTTTGATACAATTATTTCACTTAAATATGCTAAGCGGCTTATGGTTGAGATGGGTTTTTTTTTCAGTGACTACGCAACTACCAGGCAATAACGGTTACACAGGAGGCAAAGTTGTCTTCATCGACACAGAAAACACATTGTATCCTTTGGCAGTAACTAATTTTCATGCCGAAATATATATTAAAAAATCATCAGTGCATGGTTTTAAGAACACTTGTACTTGCTTAAACATCCAAAATGATAAATAACTCTAATACAATACAATGTCAAGTCTTCAAAAAGGGGGTAGTGTCAAACACATATATTTCATGTTTCTCCTTATCAACAATAAAAGTCGACCTGACCGACTTAGAGCTATTGCTGATCGCTTTAATTTGGATCAAAATGCTGTGTTAGACAACGTTTTGTATGCCAGGGCATATACAAGTGAGTAATACTACAATTCGCAAATTCCACTATTGAATTTTATAAACACATAAATGATTTATTTCAAACTCTGTGTAAATGTGCTAAAAAACCGTAAGGGATTGAGTAAAAGACAAAACAAAAAACAAGCCAGAAGCTACTGTTATTAAATGAGTTGATATTAAATTTTCTAATTTTGAAAAGTGCTATCGACTAATTTTGCTTTTTAGGTGAACATCAGTATGAGTTACTGGACTTCGTTGCTGCAAAATTTTATGAGGAATCGGGGGTTTTTAAACTTTTGGTAAGTTTTTTTTTCTAAAAATAAATATGCAATTTTTATTTGACCAACATTTCATGCTTTCACTTTAACTATTTAATTTATTTTCTCGTCAATACAGATAGTGGATTCCATTATGGCACTCTTTCGCGTCGATTTTAGCGGTCGTGGGGAGTTAGCAGATCGGCAGCAAAAACTTGCACAGATGTTGTCCAGACTTCAAAAAATAGCTGAAGGTAAATCATTTGATTAAATTTAAAGATTTGATAAAAAAGTAGTCGGGTAGAACAGGTATTTATTTTCAAATGGGGGGGGGGGGCTGGTGCAGAAGAGGCGCCTCGACGTATGCGTCAAATTGCACAGAGTGTGATTTGGTACGTAAATATCGTTTACTAATAATTGAATTATTAGAAATTCACATCATGAGAGTATGACAATAACATTTAAGAAATGTTCTGAAAGGGCATTTAGTTTTGTTTCAATAATCCCGATGCACAAAATGATCACTATTATTATAGAAAACTAATATGCAAATGATCAACATTCGTTTCAGAATACAATGTTGCCGTTTTTGTTACAAACCAAATGACGGCAGATCCTGGGGCAACGATGTCGTATGTATATCGACTATATTACCCATTGTTCCCTTATAATTTGGAATTTTTAAGTCGTGTGTAATACTTCAAATAAATTCGCTGGGTTTCTTGTGCGAGAATTTTATCAGTTTAGAGAATGGAAATTTAGACACTAATTTCTTTAATGTAAAAAAACTTCTTTTTTTTTTCATTTAACAAGTTTTCAAGCAGATCCCAAGAAACCAATCGGCGGAAACATTCTTGCACACGCTTCTACAACGAGAATCAGTTTGCGGAAGGGGAGAGGCGAAACCAGGATTGCTAAAATATATGACAGGTACATGTGTATTACAATGAACTAAGTTCAGATACAATATTTATGGAAAAAAATATCAATGTAATTTTAGTTCCAAGCTTTAAAATATATTTTTATAGTCCTGACCTCCCAGAAAGCGAGGCGACATTTGCAATAACTGCCGGTGGAATCAATGATGCAAAGGAGTGAACTAGAAGCAAGTCAAAATAAATCTTGGACTGGGGAGAAATAGCATAATTTAAATTATTTATTTCTGAATGTTTTCATTTTTCTGTTTGTATAATGCAATTATGACGTAAATTATTATGATAAATTAAAATATTAAATAAATACTTTTTTTTTGGCATTTGAAATTCTATTTCATAGAACCGTTTAGCTTGCAGGCTCCGTAATCAAGATGCAGTTTTAGACCCCAGAAATGCGAATAAAACATAGAGTGAAGACATATTTCGGATGATTCCAGCCAGACTGAAAGTTGCAAAGCAGATATAAATTTTAACAACAAGCAGTCAAAGTTAAAACAGATTTATTTCATAATTTATATATTAACTTTATGATAAATTGATATATAAGTACATGTACATGAAAAGGAAAATAATTGTGATCATTTATTTTCCATCGTTTGCCTCCATATTGATTTTGGCCTTTCCTCCTTTTTCCTTCTGGGGTCCATCTAAGTTCCATTCTTGTCATTTCTTGGCTTTCAATTCTCAAGACATGGCCTATCCATCTCCGCCTGTATTTTCTTAGCAAGATCCTCATGTCTGCTGTTTTTGTTGTTGCTTCATATAAATTCTTGGTAATTTTTCCTCAAGATTTTTCTGAGGCACCTGTTATGAGAACTTGATAGTTTGATTATATATATCTTTATGTCATCCTCCCACATTCAGCACCCTACATTAAACAGATGGTACACAGCTATTATACAGCTTGATCTTAGTACGTATGCTGAAGCTGTTTGACTTCCATATATTCTTAACACAGGCACTTGTTTTGGAGATAAAATTTTAACCCATAGTATAATAATAATAACACTGTTAATATTATACTATGGGTTAAATATTTATCTCCAAAACAAGTGCCTGTGATTCTTAAGCTTGACAAAAAGATCCTCTGGCTTTCCCTAATCTTGCTATTATGTCCTTGTCAGCACCACCATACTGCCATCAGTAAATTCAAAATATGCAACAAGACAGAAGAAGCTGACCCTTCTCCAATGGGAGATAATCAAGGAACCGTAAAATAACTGTTGGGTCTTTAAAAATCTTCTCAAGAACCACTGGCCCCAAACAACTTATGTGGAAGCTCTCTGAGGTAGTATTAATTGATTCTAAATTGTTCAAATATTAATTACTCACGAAGGAAAACATAGGGCCGCAATATAGAATAAAATTTAACAGTAAGTTTTAGTTTTTATTAGCTCTACTGGTCAGAGACCAGAAGAGCTTATGCGATAGTAATGCGTCCGGCGTCCGTCCGTCCGTCCGTCTGTCTAGCTGTCCGTCTGTCCGTCTGTCTGTAAACAATTTTTCAAAATGCTACTCCTCCTACAGTTTTGATCTAATTTCAATATAACTTGGCACACAAGTAGACTACACTAAGATACATAATTCTGTGTATCGGTTTTTGATTTCGATGAACGGTGTTGCCGTGGTTACTAAAAATAGAAATTTCTGTGAAATTCTTTCAAAACGCTACTTCTCCTACAGTTTTGGTCTGATTTCAGTATAACTTGGCACACAAGTAGACTACACTAAGATACATAATTCTGTATATCGGTTTTTGATTTTGATGAACGGTGTTGCCGTGGTTACTAAAAATAGAAATTTCTGTGAAATTCTTTCAAAATGCTACTCCTCCTACAGTTTTGGTTTGATTTCATTATAACTTGGCACACAAGTAGACTACACTAAGATACATAATTCCATATATCGGTTTTTGATTTCGATGAACAGTGTTGCCGTGGTTACTAAAAATAGAAATTTCTGTGAAATCCTTTCAAAATGCTACTCCTCCTACAGTTTTGGTCTGATTTCAGTATTACTTGGCAAACAAATAGAATACACTAAGATACATAATTCTGTGTATCGGTTTTTGATTTTGATGAACGGTGTTGCCGTGGTTACTGAAAATAGAAATTTCTAGGAAATTGTTTCAAAATGCTACTCCTCCTACAATTTTGGTCTGATTTCAATATAACTTGGCACACAAGTAGACTACACTAAGATACATAATTCTGTTTATCGGTTTTTGATTTCGATGAACGTTGTTGCCGTGGTTACTAAAAATAGAAATATCTGTAAAATTGTTTCAAAATGCTACTCCTCCTACAGTTTTGGTCTGATTTCAATATAACTTGGCACATAAGTAGAATACACTAAGATACATAATTCTGTATATCGAATTTTAATTTTGATGAACGGTGTTGCCGTGGTTACTAAAAATAGAAATGTCTGTAAAATTGTTTCAAAATGCTACTCCTCCTACAGTTTTGGTCTGATTTCAGTATAACTTGGCACACAAGTAGACTACACTAAGAACATAAAGAGACTTTATCAACGATCATTATTCTATTTAGTTTCAAATCCCAGCTGCTTAAGTACTTTTCTCCTCCTTTGCTATAAGTTCAAACCAGTAGAGCTGCAGTCTCGACAGAGACTTCTGGTTCATGATATCAAACATTATAATGTATTTTGCTGTCATGACTATACAACCTAGTCTCTTAAACTCAAAGGTAAAAAATAAATGAAATATTTCTTCAAATATTGTATAGGGTCAACATCAACATCAGAATTAAATTGATACAGAAAAATTGAGTATAAAAAATATAATTGATATTACTAGTAATATATTAATATAAAGTCATATATATATCTTTTGATGGACATGGTCCTGTTGTAAAGAATGTACACAACTAATAAACATAAATTTCAATAAAATCACTACAAGTACAACGAACAGGTATACATGTACAAACTCAATAGGGATACATTAACTACCGGGTATATCCATGTATGTATAATATACATTGTTACTGTCTTTAAATATAAACAATATTTGGCCGAGGGTAAAAAAAATGTGACAAAGGGCAAGAGTTGACAAGCCCTCCATCAATTTTCGACCCAAATAACCATATATTTTGATTATCCTGCAACATAATTTACATCTGACCTCCAAAATGAGTTATTTTCAACCTGATTTAGGCACATCTCTGCAGTTGAATCTGACATATAACATAGCAAAAAAATGCAATATGTATGATGTCACAATGCTATTAGAACATCAGAATGCATACATGAGGCATTCTTAGGGCATTGATGAAATAAAGCTTTTGTTTCTTAGTTTACTCGTACCTTTATTAAGTCAATGCAAGGGGTAGTTGCAGGATAAATGAATATTCATGTATATATTACAAGAAATATGTGCTACACAGATATTTTTCCAATCTAATATCATACTGTTCATATATTTTGCTACCAAATTTTGAATTTTATTACTGCACAGTATGCTGCAATTTTACCATCTCTGAAAGTGTGCAGGGTTTTTTGTCAGAACTTGGCTGTCATATTTGAACATTTATATAAATGGACTAATACATAATTGATACATTCTATATATATTCTAGTTCACAATATCTTCATAAAGTCTCATTAAAAAATAAAATAGCATCAACAATCCATCCTTCACAATGTAAAAAAATCATCTTTCAAATTCAGCATACAGTTCATCTATCACAGGCTGAAATGTCTTCCTCAGAACTGGTCTCTTGTTTTTAAAGGTGGGGGTCAGCAAGTTATTCTCAAGGGAAAATAGTTCGGGAAAAAGATGAATGTTTGCCACCTATAAAAGAAAATTTAATATGAGGCTGGCCTATAATGCACTCTTAGGTAACATTAATCTCTCTCTGAAATTAATGTTAAAGAGCACTTCCAGCGGGTCACATTCAAAGTCAAAAGTCATATACAGTACCAGCATAACTGTAACAGTGTCTGTAGACATGCTCCTCAGGAATTTTATATACTGTGAAATCAACAATTTTTGTGGGGGTTAAATTTTGTCGTTTTCAGGGTATGGAGACACCCATGAATTCATGTCCATCAAGAAATGTCAAATTTTATTTATATATCTATGCAACATCAACATATTCAAATCCCCACAAACCCATTTTTCCCTCAAACCTTAACAAGAGGCCCATGGGCCACACCGCTCACCTGAGCACTATTGTAAAGTTTAAATCCTAAAGTTGTCCCATGACCAATCATGGCTTTGCTATTCTTGAGAAAAAGATTTTTTAAGAATTTTTTCTATATTTCTATGCAAAACTTTGGTCGGCCATTGTGACCCCGCCCTACCCCCGGGGGTCATGATATGAACAAACTTAAATCTACACTTCATGAGGATGCTTCCATATAAATATGATCAATTATAACTTTGCTATTCTTGAGAAGAAGATTTTTAAAGAATTTTCCTATATATTTCTATGTAAAACTTTGGTTGGCTATTTTGGCCCCGCCCTACCCCGGGAGTCATGATTTGAACAAACTTGAATCTACACTACCTGAGGATGCTTCCATATAAATATGATCAATTTTGGCTTTGTTATTCTTCAGAAGAAGATTTTTAAAGAATTTTCCTACATATTTCTATGCAAAACTTTGGTCGGCCATTGTGGCCCCGCCCTACCCCCGGGGGTCATGATTTGAGCAGACTTAAATCTACACTACCTGAGGATGCTTCTATATAAATATGATCAATTATGGCTTTGCTATTCTTGAGAAGAAGATTTTTAAAGAATTTTCCTATATATTTCTATGCAAAACTTTGGTCGGCTATTGTGGCCCCGCCCTACCCCCGGGGGTCATGATTTGAACAAACTTGAATCTACACTACCTGAGGATGCTTCCAAATAAATATGATCAATTATGGTTTTGTTATTCTTGAGAAAAAGATTTTTTAAGAATTTTCCTATATATTTCTATGTAAAACTTTGGTTGGCCATTGTGGCCCCGCCCTACCCTCGGGGGCCATGATTTGAACAAAATTTAATCTACACTACCTGAGGATGCTTCCATAAAAATATGATCAATTATGGCTTTGCTATTCTTGAGAAGAAGATTTTTAAAGAATTTTCCTATATATTTCTATGCAAAACTTTGGTCGGCCATTGTGGCCCCGCCCTACCCCCGGGGGTCATGATTTGAACACACTTGAATCTACACTACCTGAGGATGCTTCCAAATAAATATGATCAATTATGGTTTTGTTATTCTTGAGAAGAAGATTTTTAAAGAATTTTCCTATATATTTCTATGCAAAACTTTGGTTGGCCATTGTGGCCCCGCCCTACCCTCGGGGGTCATAATTTGAACAAACTTAAATCTACACTACCTGAGGATGCTTCCATATAAATATGATCAATTATGGCTTTGTTATTCTTGAGAAGAAGATTTTTAAAGAATTTTCCTATATATTTCAATGCAAAATTTTGGTCGGCCATTGTGGCTCTGCCCTACCCCCAGGGGTCATGATTTGAACAAACTTGAATCTACACTATGTAAGGATGTTTCCCCATAAGTTACATCTTTCCTGGCACAGTGGTTCTTGAGAAGAAGATTTTTAAAGTATACCACCAAATTTTCATTAATTCCCAATTATCTCCCCTTGAATGAGGGCTTGGCCCTTCATTTGAACAAACTTGAATCCCCTTTACCCAAGGATGCTTTGTGGCAAGTTTGGTTGAAATTGGCCCAGCGGTTCTTGAGAAGAAGTCGAAAATGTGAAAAGTTTACAGACAGACGGACGCTGGACAAAATGTGATCAGAAAAGCTCACTTGAGCCTTCGGCTCAGGTGAGCTAAAAATTTAACCCACAGAAATATGTGATTTTACAGGACTTCTCTTCATTTTTTAAATATCTTCATTTTTAACCTTAAGTCCATGGGAGCATGAAGTGATCAGACTTAAATCTACCTTAAATTGGAAATGCTTTTATATCTCTTTCCAATGCAATACAGTTGCCCTTAAATTATATGGAAACCATAGTTTGATCAATTTAGAATCTGGTATATCCAATACATGTTTGTCAACATTACCTGTTCAAATGTCTTCAGTCCTGCTTCCTTTCCAACTTTTGTTATGTCCTTAAAAATCATTTCTCTGACTTTCTGCAATATGCAAACAACAAAATTTTTTATGAACAAAAAAGGTTTAAAGTCTTGACAAGACTGAAGCTCTTATTATATGTACAAGGGGGTATTTATAAGTATACTGACACACAAAAGAAACGCAAGCAGTAATCTACAAATGTTTGATTTTTTTATCTTATGATTTTCAAAAGCAAATAAAGTAAGGCTAAACTCAATTTTCAGAACATCAGAGATTTAATAAAAATGTTAAATGTTTATCTGTTTACTTTACTAAGTAAAATATGACTGTTAAAACACCCCCCTCCCAGCCATTCAAGTGAAACGTGCAAGACTGCCCTAAACAACAATTGCAGCTTAATTTCTACGATATGATAGGTTCATTAATATTGATATCTGAGTGAAGGAAATATTCTTTGGGATTTTTAAATGCCCGTTTTTCAGATGATTAGGTCAAATTTTCTCTAACTTAGAGCAGTGTAGCCACCCTTGGACTTCCGTTACAAGGACTGTCCTTAATGCATATGATACATAAGACCCTGTTGAGGCGTAATGTAGTGAAATTTCGCATCAGCAACTCTCCATCACCTGTACATTGAAATTTTCCAGCTAGAGCAATGGAAATGCGTACATAAGCCATTTTCAAGTAGCCTTAGCATCGTTATGGGAAACGAAAGGAGAGTTTATTTTTTGAAATATTGCTGCATTACTTATGATGAACAGTAAAAAACCCTTAAAACTCCATAATATTGCCAAATGTTTTGTTAAACATGCAAATTTTGATTTCTGTTAAGCAGACTCAAACTTGACTTCCGGTTATGGTATGGAAATCGTTCAACCGTTAAATTACCGATGTTTACCAAATTGACGATATTCATAATTCTAAGATACAAAATTCTTTACTTTACATAATAATTTCCCCCTAAAGTAGGGTGTTGCGTTTCTTTTGCGTGTCAGTATATTTTTTTCTCTTTGAAAAGATTTTTTTAAAAATATCTCTGTTCTCTTGCACTTTTACTGGAATATTGGTTATATATTTAACTTTGTGTGCCATGCTTCATTTTTCCTTTTCAAAATAACTGACTTGGAATGATCAGTATACCTTATTTTTACAGAGTTCTTCCATGTCTGGTGACATTCCCTGTTCTTTGGCCCATCCTGGCATGACCTCAGGGTCAGGTACAATTATCCCCACCACATTATTCTGTACAAAGAAAAGCCAAAGATAACACATTTTTAATATAATGTGCTTTTTATTTAATATGAAACTTTTTAAGTTTTGGTTCTCATGAATACTAAACTATACCATAAATCTGCCTCATATACTGAAAAATACTGCATACAGTAAAACTCGGTTATAACGAAATCATTGGGACCTAGAAGTCACTGGGACCTATAAAATTACTTCGCTATATCCATAATTCGTTATATAAATATAAGGAATTAGTTAAATTTATATAACTGGGAATCCAAAATAATTTGAAAGTTCGCTATATCCGTGAATTTTCAATATCTGTGTTCGTACTAAACAAGTTTTGCTGTAAGTAAGTAACAGATGTTTATTTAAGAGCATCTTTAATGCACAAAATGTGATCTTACCTTCAGACTGTTTCCATCTACAAATGCCTGAGCAACAAATCTACTTCTGGTATAACAATTTTCTATCTTCTCTGTAGCAATGTATTCTCCCTACAATTGTAATTCAAGCTTGAGATAATGAGTTTGGCCATCCTGTGAAAATTTTAATCCCAACACCACTGGTTCCATAGAAATTGCTGGATTAGACGAACTTTTAAATCACAGAATTTACTGAAAGGGACTTATAATTATGATCCTATTAAACAAGATCTTGGAATAAACAACAACCAGGTAACACAAGTTTTACTGTATTTTAGATTGCTTAGCTACTAATTTTATGGGTTTATAAATATATATATATATTTTCATTGAACTACTGCCCTTTATTTCAAGACTGAGTGACAAGCTATTTCCTATATCCAAAAATCGTTAGGACACAAATTTACCTGAGAAAGTTTAAATATGTTCTTCTTTCTATCAATAATTTTCAGTGTTCCATTCTGAAATGAAAGTATATTATTTTGACTGCCATTTTGGAAAAGAATAATAATCTCTGTTACACTGTTATGGATGTATAAATGCAACTTCAAGATGCCTAAGACATTGCGAAGTAAATCTGAAATGAGAGACTATATTTACTGGTAACCACTGGCCAATATCTCCTGTGTGAAGCCAGCCATCATCATCTATAGTTTCCTTTGTCTTCTCTTCATTCTTGTAATATCCAATGAAGGTACTGGGACTGTAACTGCAAATCTAGTAGAAAAGAACAGAAAATATTCATTGTACTTCACAGTGTACTCCTCTTTATATGATATGAAACTAAGTAAAAGAAAAAAGAGGTACTATGTACCTTACTAATACCTGAATTTCATCTGTGTGAACTTTCATGTACAATGGTATGATTCCAATTTTGAACAATCAAATTTTGAAAACTGTGAACAAACTTTTTTTATAGCGGGATTTTAATTCAGTGGAATCACAATTTCTGTTTGCTCCATGATTAGAAAATTATGCAGATTTTTGGGATTGTCATTATAATTCCTTAATGCATTTCTAGTACACTTTGACAAATTTCAAAGGAAAAACGTGACCACATATATAGTGTAAATCAATCTCATGCTCAGAATAAAAGTACTTTTATAGAATATTAATAAGCTATGCATTAATTTATTAAATAAATAAATTTTATCAGGTTACCTCTCCTTTATTGTCCTTTGCATAATAATCCATTTCTGGCACATCAACCAGTTTAACTTTGGCACAAGGAAGAGGGCAACCAACATGGCCTACATTTCACATATAAAGTGACATTTTATGTAGTAGGATATTAAATCACAAAAGAAACTTAATTTTAAAACAATTTCAATATAGATCATTAAGCTGTATGAGAAAAGTAACCCTATAATTCATTTTAAACCTTTAAATAAAGTTAGCTAGGTATGCAAAATCAGAAGATGAGAAGTACTATCTTCTCTATTTAATCATCTTTACCTATTGAAGGATCCCCTGGTATACTGAATGTAATTCCAGCTGTGGCCTCTGTCTGTCCATACCCCTCCATGACCTGAATAAAAATGATATTTATGGCAATGATGAAATGATATTGTTAACAGAGAACAAGCTAGCTGAATTAGAACTCACCACACAACCCAATGCTGTCCTGATGAATTTAAAAACTTGATATACAGTATAAAGAGAGAGTAACTAGCTGAATTAAAACTCACCACACAACCAAATGCTGCCCTGATGAACTTGAAAACTTTGGCCTCCAGTGGAGCAGACCCAGTGATGACAATCTTCACTCTTCCTCCCAATAATTTCTGTACTTTCCCAAACAGCAGTTTATCCCAGATACTATTTTTTCTCACAATACCACTGTTATAAAAAGAAATTCTTATTAAAATCATATCTTTGTTGCACCCCAAAATTTTGATAGTCATTGTACGAGGACTATCAGAATTTTGAAGTGTTTCACATTCACCTCGCCCTTTGCATCCTGACAGTAAATTTTGTACTCCTCAGGTAGTTAAGGTCAAGATCTAGTAATAAATGACATTACACTGATTTTTTGTGTAGATTCATTATGATGTCATAATCAACTCTCTTTTTCCCGTATTTTACGCCTTTAGCAGAATTATGTAGAAATTAGGGTATTTTCATGGCATTCAATTTAAAATCAAATGAAAAGTAATCCTGATACCTATATCAATTTTGATACTATTTTAAAGAAGAGGCCATGAAGATAAAATTACTGTTTTCTGAGAGACTGAATGCAATTTCGATACGTTTCCTTTGTCGAATATGGGAAAAAAACTCCCAACAGCATATTCATTGTTTTTCTTAATTATTCATTGAAAATGACAGTTTAAAATATGGTTTTTCGTCTTATTTACCTACAAATTATGCCCAGAAACACCTTATTTGACCAAGCTAAAGTTGTAAAGCATCATTAAAGGAATTTATTTCTCAAATTTGACAAATCAATAGGCATCTTTCATTTACTAGATCTTGACATAATATCATTGTTTCATTGACCTAAAAAAGAGCAAATTAATATTTCAAAGACCTGAAATTTTCTCTGCGACACATTTCTTATATATATGAGGTCATCTAACCAGGTTTTACTGATATTTACCCCCTGGTACATATTTGCTTATATCCATAATGTATGCATCTAAGAATTATTACCGTATATAAACAGAAAAATCACACAGACTGACCTTTCAACTTCCTGAGATTTTGCTGCCACTGCCCATTCCAACAGCTTTGACTTGAATGCACTGCCTTGTACACTGTTTTCAATCTATAAAAGGATAAAAAAAACCCTGGTATTTCAGGACTGAAATACTGCAGACATACTTTTTTCCACGGGGTCATAATTCCGCGGAATCTCAATTTCTGTTTAATCTGCGGGTAGAAGATTATGCGGATTTCTTAGACTGTCACTATATGCTTTACGTTTATATTAAGTATGCTTGGACAAATTTCCGCAGAAAATTTGTAACCGCGTACATAGCGTTAATTAATACCATGTGGAAAAAAGTACTTCTAGAGTATTTAAATTTTGTCTAAAATGTTTGAACTCTTTTTTCTGCATAATTGGAAGCCTTCCCTGAATTTGCTGCACTCTTTTGGCATACATCTTTTAAAGAAGATTGTGTACCTTCTCCAAATATAATACAGTTGAACTTCTGCATTTCAAGCAAAAATATCTTGAACAACATAAATATGTTGATGTGTGTTCAAAGTCACAACACGACAACATCATGTATTTTAACCTCAATATCTCAGTTTTTCTCAGCCCCACTGAGTTCTAGATAACAAATTTTACTGTATATAAGCTTTTTTAAATCTAAAACATGCTTTAATGAATAAAAAATCTAAAATATCAATGCCTACCTTGTCATAGATCCTATTTAAAAGTCGCGGAACAGTGATAAATAGTGTAGGTTTCAATGCCTGCATGTCCTCGGTCAACAGTTTCACATCTCCACGGAAAAATCCCACTCTACAACCATGCATGAAACAGATAATCTGCAAAAGATACATAATTTATTTAATACATTGGAAAATAATGATTTTAAATTCTTATCTAATCAGGCTGTGAATAAAGACAACTTTAAAAATATGTCTTCTGGTTACAGAATTAATAAAATACTGTAAACCAACTTTTATTTGCAACGACTTTCTTTCATGATTTACCATGGGTAAACTAGTTCACAACGATTTATTTTTGCGATCAGCCTGTTTTAGACCTGTTATTAATAGACACAGAGACTTTAAGGACCAGTTCGCTGCAAAAAATATTTGTGATGACGAAGCTATTGTGAATCTCGCGAAAATTTATCACACATGAATAAAAGTTGGTTTACACAATGTGCTAAAAAATTGTTGTCTACGTAACACAGCAATATAAATCCAAGTTCAACTTTAATTTCTAATGAGACTGTAGTTCCACTGGATTTAAATACATGTACATGTATTATTAAATATTCTAGAGACCTTTTATTTAATGACAAAAAGAAATCCTCGAAATGGGAGAACTGAAAGCTCACTTGTGCTCAGATAAGCAAAAACAGATAAAGATTGACTGGATGCTAGTGATACACAGCACCAGAAAGAATTCAAATAAATAAATGCAACATGTACAGTGTACATTGTACACTTTTAAATGTAAAGAATTAGAGTAAATACATGCCTCCATTCCTCTTTCAAACATATGGGCAAGAGGAAGATATGAAATATGAACATCATTCTTGTCCACCGTAATGGCTTTCTGTAAAATATCAGAAACATCAGATGAAGTGTGGCTCATGAGGCAAGATTAAGACTTTCAATTAAACAGCTGTAGATACTTGTAAAATAGGATTTAGAGCTATTGCTGCAAATCAAACTTTGAGGATATCTCTCATTTACTCCAATATGGACTTACCAAGGCAATAAAAGCTACAGATGACATGTTACAAATGAGATTGGCATGGGTCAACATCACACCTTTTGGATCACCTGTAAATTTAAAGTTTTACAAGTTTCAGGTCTGATTACAAATTTCATGAGCGTTTATATTTTACAATTCCTTAATAGAATTTTTAAAAAAATTCTACTTTTTGCAAGTAGTACTTTCCTCTGATATGCATCAGTACGTAACAATTCATGGAGTACAGAATTAACTTTTCTTGTTGGATACATGTAAATTACTTTACAGACCTGTTGTTCCACTGGTGTAACAAATCGTAGCCAAATCTGATTCCTTTGGAGGCTATAAAACAAACCAACCAATATTTTATTTTTATGAAGTTCATTTCTTGTTTACTGGTACAATATATTAAATCAATCATTTCATATGCAATTGAAACTACATGTAAATACATGTAATAAGGATTATAAATTTACAGGAAGTTTTGCAAATTTATTTTATAATCACTTTGAAGGTATCCATTTTTTTTTTTTTTGCATAGAAAAGTGTGTATATGTCAATAAGATAATTATGGAATTTATAAAGCTAGTTTATTCAGGCATTTAAAGCAAGATACACTGTATTGCTATGGAAATTTTCTCCTGATTACTACAAGGGGTGATCAAAGAGTTCGCGAACTATCTCTATATCTACAAAACCACAATTCAGATTAGAAAAAAATTTGGTATATAATAGCCATACACAAGCTCTATAAATAGCATATGCTGAATTAAGTTTTGCTCCTTGTTTGTGACGTCACAATGTGAATATGACGTCACTGTGTAGGTCACTTGTGACGAAATATGGTTGTCTCAGTCGTGCTCGTTCAACAAATGACTGTACAATTTATCGAATATCTTAGAAATCCCTTTGCAGAAGCATATAATAATTTGTACACAGTTCATTAAGACAAACGACTTCTTATAAATTCAATCAATGATTGAATTCATCGTTTTAGTCAAGGAAGACAGATGGTTAAAAATGACACTTGTTATATTGCTCAGTGAAAGCAACTTTGAAAAGAGATATGTTTTTAATTAAGCAATTTGCTATCAAAGACCTCCAATTTACACTTTGAAAAATAGTTGAATATTTGAACAATAATATAATTATTAAATACCTAAGATATTGTTTATTTTAGATTTTCAACATAATTATTAGTTATGATAAAAAAGAAGGCACCCCTGCTCTATCCACCTTGAATAAATGTCTCTCCCGAGACAGAAGATTTGGGTTTTAATGGTCGCCCTGCTTATTTTTGGAAAGGATATTCTTATCCACCCATTCCGTTGCCGAGATTTGACCATTTCTAACAAATGAACTGTTCTTGTTATAAAAATTAACTTACATGGAAATTAATATAAAACTCAGAAAAATCTTTCAGCTTTTGTGACAGAACGCTACGGAGGGGGTCACGTGACCGCCTATATCATGTGATTCACGCATGAGCAGAACGGTTGTTGATGTGCATTAAAATCGGAGAGGATTAATTTAAAGTATAATCAACACTGAAACAAAATATTGTTTCTCTTATGGAAGTTATTCAATTAGTTCGCGAACTTTTTGATCACCCCTCGTATATGTAGGGTAATTGTGCAATCTTTCCATTCAATAATTTCACCTTTGGTTCTTGAAGATTCTTCTCACCAAGTTCCTGTAAAACATTATAAACAATAAATATTTACTTTTTAAAGATAATTCCTTAAATTCATATATAAATATGTCACATGATAAATTTTATTATTCATCAGTGATGAATACTTTTGTCCATTGACTGTACTATTTTGTAAATGACAATAACTTATAATATAAATATTGAGTAAAAAGTTATCTCAGAAGGACATGCTAGTACTGTAAAACTGACATGAGAAAAATTAACTTCATGAGTACTCAACTATCCCTTGAATAAAGAACGAGGGCGCTTTTGATTGGCATTCGGCAGGAATCTGGGTGTTATTGAAAAGTGAAAAGTTTATCGACATGTCACATGAAATTTTAACATTTTTTCAATTTATCGGGTTCCTGTGCATAAGGAACGGAAAGTATTTTCCCGAAATTGAGCTTTAATTTGCTAAAAAATAACTTGAAAATTGGCCAGATCAGACATTTGGTACAAAATGGTACATTTTTAAACACGTTTTTCAAAACATTTTCTATCTCTGGGTCCTCTCTCCATGATTTTGAAACGTTATTTGTGTGTATTTTAATTCAAAGAAATGAATAAACATTTTTAAAAAATGGAGAGAAGACCCAGATACCATGAAAAATGAAGTTTTTCCCAAAAAATCCAAATGTGTGAATGTGGTGTTTCTTTGTCCTTTTTAAATCATTTGAATATGTGAAGCGTGATAGCTCAGTAAGTTGGGTACCTGTTCAGTGCGCTAGATGCGAAACTTTTTGGTTCGAGCCTGGCATGGAGCGTTCTTTTTTTTCATGCAAACAACCATTTATTTTGTCAGTTTCGTTTTATGTACTGATGTATTAAAATTTTGAATTAAATAAATTTTGGTTCATTTTGGTTCTAGAGCAATATCAATTCCAATCTTCTATTATATAATGTACATGTACACCTATCATGCATCTATACATTAAATATTTAGGTGTTTATTTTTTGTGAAACATTACTATGTTATAGTACCCCCTAGGAAAAACGGACATAAATGTTACAATCTCACAAGGTCTTTCAAACGAAATGAAAAGAAAACCTATGGACGTGTATGTAAAATCTGACCAGCTATGTTTAGCCAACCAAATCATGGACATTTAAACCATAAATGTTTCGTACAAATGATTCCTGCAGATCACACGCCAAATGCACCCATCTTCTTTTGCAATTAATTGACTAAGCTTTCCAATTGAAAATGACATCCCTGATAAAATCATGAAATAAAATCAAGAAGGAATACTTTAATTGAATTTTTCTAACCAAGAAGTCCTTGTATTGAAGGAGCTCAATTTTATGCTTGGCTGCCTCAGATTTGAGTTCTTCCGAAGGTGACTCCATCATGATTATGCATTTCAATGAGGGGCATTGGTCTGCTTTGGCCAACAAGTTTTTGACTTTCTGTGCAGTGTCACAAACAACATAGGCAATATCACCTACAAGGAACAAGGAGAAAATATCAATCAACCAGGAAATTGAATTTCAAAATGTACATAATTTTTGGAAAAATCTAGACATGATCAGTTAAAAGTTAGTCCTGTCCATAATAATATTAATATGGACAGTAGTACACGTATTGTGGAAGAGTTAAACATGTTTACCAAACAATACTCTGATATAAATATCAAAATGAACTATTTAACAAACAACACTCTGACTTAAAGACTATATATGTTAAAATGAACTACAAAATACAATGGATTTAATATTGATCATTTTCACAGCTGGTGCACCACCAAAATAATATCAAAAATTTTTCTTTACTGCATGCTAGAAGTAACTAGTACTATTTTTACTTACAGATTACAATCTCCTTCTGTCATATTTAAAACTGCAAAACATAGGTGATCAAAGATCACAAAGCCCATCCCCAAACAATTTAAAATCTAAAAGGCATATACAACACAATAAATTAAAACTTTCTCTTGCTAGTGTGCACACTAATATCCATGCAAGTTTGGAATAGTTACTTGGGGATGGAGCAGTTCAAAAACTTTAATGTGGTTACTCATCCAGAAAATGTATGTTACTTCCACCATTTGAAGAAAGTCTGGGAGTGTCCATTCTTAAATGCATCAATCATCCATGCAAGTTTAATGATAAGAGGTCCTACTTCAAATTCATTACTCTGGACATTAATCAGGAAAATGTAGGTCAGATCCAGCATCTGATGCAATAGTTTATCCTTCAATTAATAATCCATACAAATTTTGTCCAGGCAGTGCTTACAATATTTGGTGGTACTCAAAGAAAGGTCTTAATTGTTACAAAGAATACACCTGTGAAATATGAAAGCCATAGCCCCACCCAGTCAAAAGTTATAGACAAGGTTAAAGTTTTTGCGGACAAACAGACAGATGGACATACAGGGCAAAAACTATATACCCCCCAAATCTTTGATTATTGGGTCATAAAAAGAAAATTTCCCACCTTCCAGTTGGGAGTTTGAAGAAATCTACATGTATGTCATATCTACATCTACAAAATAATCCAGGTTGAACATGGGGGAAGAAAACTGATGCTTATTATAAAAGGATATATGGTGTAGCTCTGTATTATAGTATTACAGTTAGCTTGATTATAGTATTACAGTTACCTTGTTTGATGATGTATTTGCATGCATCAGGTCCCAGAGAATCATAGAGAGGTACAGACACCATGGAGAACATGCTACATGCCTGCTCAGTGAACACCCACTATAGGAAAAGAACAACTCGGTTATCGTGTTCTTAATGTCATCATGCAAGCTTTATAGACAATTAACTCTGTATGGTGACAAGTATAAATCCATTCGGACATAGGAATGCTCTGATCATTGGTTGAAATTGTGGTTAAAATTCAGTAAAAATATCTTTCTTTTACCTCTGGCCTGTTTACACTGTAGATCCCAATTAATGATGAATCATTTGGTTTTAAACCACGCGCCAATAAAGCGGAACCAAATGCTCGAGATTTTTCAAAGACCTGAAAAACAATACCCCCTTGTAGTAAATACGGTTCTACAATTACTCAAAGATTGCAAAAAGAAACATGTCAAAGATGTTTTTCTTTCTTAATATTTCATAATTTCTTAACCGTCTCTCAAACAATTTAAATGTGTTACACATGAATTTGTATACAATTCCTCTATCTCACTTGCATCACTGGGATGATTACATTGGTACTAATAGTTAATTTTCTTTTTTTTAAGTTTCTGAGCACCCAGTTTTGAGAATTTGTATGTACCATGGTATTACATACACAGTGAAACATGTTGTATAAAAAAGAATTTAAGACAGAGTTATAATACAGATTCTACAAAATTTCATGCTAAAAGTTGTGTGGAAATATCTGTCAAATACAAGTATTAGATAAAATTAATTTGCTAAAAATACCAAGTACATTTTATATTTCCTTTCAATACACTATCATCATTTACTGTATAGTGTATATGATGAACAGATACCATAGTATATAATAACTCTCCAGAACGGAGTCATCAAATATTTCATAGGCATGCTGGTAACTTTTCTGCTTTTACAATTGGAAAAAAAAACCTGCATTTCTGCAAGAGATCAAAATACCATTCCACAAAATATTTTTTGTTTTTCTGCCACTTTAGTTTTACATGTACCTCTCCTGTTAGCCAACTCCTGTAGCATTTAGTTTTTATTGCTTCTCCTACACTATGTTACTTAGAAACAGCATTATTTAAACATTTACTTTTTCTACATGAGCACTGAAAAGCAGAATGAAGTAGTCACAGAAATGCAGAAAATAGACTGAAATAAAAATCGCAAATTGCAAAAAAGTCAGCCAAAAAGCATGCAATTAAAGATGGAAACTGGAAAGAATGCAAGTTGAATAAATCTAATTGAAACATATTTTCTTACCAGAATGATTTTTCTCTTTTGTTACTGACTATAATGTGTGAGTATTAAAATTTTATCCTTGAAAAAAAAATTCCAGAAATATTCAAGTAAATGTATGAGCAATCTGATTAAAATCAGATCCTTTGATCTGCTCACATAGATCGCTACACAAGGATCTGCTGAAATCCCATTAAGGGTCATCTCCTTGTGACCTTTCTAATAAAATTATTCATTAAAATTTTGACCAATCAGAGAGATCGTATGTAAATGACGTTCCAGAAAATGAATGTAGAAGTGAAAGTAGCTGTGGAGAAGATATTATCGTTTCGTACCAAACAAAGAGCTAAAAACCAAGACAAAAGCAAGTACTTATTATAAATCTGTACAGAAAAGACTGAAGTCGTTCCCTTCGCAGACTAAAGAAAATAGGTTATGATTTTCCGTTTGTTTGTCATCGGAGGTTTTACTTCTATAACTGAATTCCGAGATGCTTCTAAATTCTTAGAAGTGAACATTTGATTGGATAATTGAGAGGTCACCAGGATATGACCCTGAATGGTGTTTCCTCAAATCCTTGTGTAGTGATCTATGTGAGTGGATCAAAGGATCTGATTTTAAATCAGATTGATGTATGAGGACCTTGAAAATGTATGAAGCATTTGTAAAAATAATGATTCACTATAGATTACCAAGTGTCTGCTTAGGGTATTAGATGTCCTGGCCCTAGGATCATGAAATATGTTAAGCTTAAATCAAAATCTTCATAAATACCAGGTACAGTGGACCCAAGATATCCGGATGCTTTTTCGGAACAGAATTGTTTAATGTTATTTGTTCTTGTTTAACTGGTAATTTGAAATATCCAATGACCTTCACATATCCGGACAAACTGACTAGGACCAAAGCGTCCGGATAAATGAGGCTCCACTGTATATATGTTGGGTGGGTGAAAGCAGATCAAAACTGAAATATGTTTCAACATTGATTTACAAAAGTGTTGTTATTTGCCAATTTTTTAGATTAATTCAATAGTAAACAAACATTTTACAGGCAATTGAAAATTTGACTTAAGTCTACGCAAGTGAGTTAAGGCTAAATATGAGCTTTTCTATGCAAATGAGCTAATAAAAATGCATAAATTGTATACTTTATGTACGGAGAAAGTTCAAATTTATTTTCTTATACAACTTAGTACCTACAGTGTATTAATGCAAGTGCACATTATGACGTCATATTATGACGTCATTGTTTTTTCCCATTCATGGTAATAAAACACATCAACAAAACAATGTCGGCGCAAGGGCATATCCTATTTAATTTAAAATAAATAATGTATAGTATTAAGGAGAATATTCTTAAGGATATCCGGTCCTCAGCCAGGAAGGATAACTCCAAAAATTAATATTTAATTTGAAAAGCATCAATATGAGGCTTGAAAATTAAAACTTTTCATGCAACAATTTTTATTTTATTCATCTTTTTATAATTCAAGGTTTATGGAAGTCCTAGAAAAGACCTTATAAAAAGTTGACATTTGTACCCCATAAAAGAAAAAATAAATACAGTTTTAGAGAAGTAAGGTTTTCTTGAATCGAGCGTTAGACACCTATGCTTAATAGCATGATATGAAATTAGAAGTGATTTGTGATGTCTTGTAATGATAGCAAAAGCCTTTTATGCTATGTATTATATAATACATGAAGGAAATAGAAGACGTAGTACACCAAATAAGTATAAATATCATGACAATTTCTCTGAATGCATGGATACCTATTGTTTTTTAACCAAAACTATATTTGTTGATCAACTTACAATTAGAAAATGCATAGCTGATATTCCTATTCACTTTTTCTGAATATATATTTGAGATTTGACAATTATCCCTATATAATATGATTAACTTTAATGTTTAACTTTAAAGAAATACTGTGGGTAAATTTACATTATTTTGTGGATTCAAAGATATATTTATGAGTATTTTCGATTACTTAACTGCTAATTTTATGAACCTGAGGATCAGATTACCTTAAAATTAATAAAATTGCTGCACAAATCATATGCACTTTTTTAATTGGTAAAAAATTTAGGAAACTTACACTGGACTGTGAATTTTTACCCTGTTTCAACTTAGAACTGTACGAATAGTAACTAAACAATTGCAGTGTCGACATTTGTGCAGCAATATCTTAAATCCTTGGAATATTCTGCGTCTCTTGTGTACCTTGTTTCTCTAAAACAAATAAGGTATGCCCTTGAAAATGTATGAAGCAATTTTGTTGATGTTCTTTATAAACTTGTGTAGTACAGGTTGATGACGTCATAATATGACGTCATAATGTGAACTGGCTATCGCGTATCATCATGGTACCAAGAATGTATTATAAAACAAGTTTTAACATTTCTTTGCGGTATGTATAGCAATTATGGGTTTTAATTACATATTTTGCATAGAAACCTCCATACGTAGCCTTAACCCACTTGCGTAAGTCTGTTTCATGACCCTGGGGCCTGGCAGAAATCCTGAATCCTCCAAAAATATGGTTCATTGGGAAAAAAAATTGTAAAACTGATCTGGAAACTTTCATAATCAAGTGCTTAGAACAATTGACTTATCTTAAATTGGAAAACCACTATAAACGATATATCTATACATACCTCCTTATAAGTCATCCACACATACTCCAAATTCGGTCCTGTTCTTGTGCCTAAACATGGCCCATCTCCTACACAAGCAAACAAGATGGAGAATTTCTATAAAATGTATAATCATAAAAATGGCTTTTACATATATAATAAAGTGACACAGTCTTTATCCTTAAGTCAGGAGACACAAGGGAAGAGCATTCATTATTTCCTGATAAAGAAATGCTAGGTTAATTATTTCAATTTAAGACCTCTCACTTCCTTGAATTTGCAATTCCTTTTCATATTACCTGATAATTTTAAACCTCTTTGAAAAGCATCATAAGTAGTTTTTACATCGTCATATAGGTATTTCATTAATTTTCCGTTTTCACTGAATCTTGAGATCCTTGTTCCATCCTGAAAATAAAATGAATATATCATGAACTTAAAGGCTGAACACTTCAGAGAATTTTATGATTAATGACATATTTTTTTAATGATATTTTTTAATAATACACAGATGTGTGTAACTTACAATAGCAAAACAATGTGATGTAAAGTCTTAGAAATTTAATACATGATGGTGTATTGATATCAGGCCTAGATAAATAAATTGTGTGTTTCTGGTTCCCCGACCGACCCTAAAATATATGTGCCAACCCTGAAAAATTAATCCACTGGTATCTCTCTGGACAACAACAAATCTGGTTTCACTATTTGAAATTTGGATCACTTCAGTGTTTGACAAAATGAACATATCCTATATGCAATAATCGGATATGTTTTGACAGGGATTTCCCTGTTGAATTTTAAACATTAAAATGTTAAAATAAGAGTTTTTGCCTACCTACCTACCCTATTTTTTCTCAAGTTGGAATAGGAAACACACTATTTATTTATTTTGGCCTCATACAGAAACAATGATGCATATAAATATACATGCCTCTAATACAATTGACTGGTCATCAAGGTCAATTGGAGGGAGGATGTTTGGTTCTGGTCGAGTGGACAGATAGTAGGTAGCAGCGGCCGCAGTAACGGCGGTAACGACACCAGCCCCAATACTTAAGGCACTCGCATCACTCAGCAGTGCAGACATTCTTCTTTTCATCTGATTGTCCTAGCTTTTCTTAATCTGCAAACAAGTGGATGATATCAGCCTAAAATAACCAAAAAAAAAAACAAGCATTAATTCCTTTAAAATCTTCCATATTCATCAAAAAAGGAAATGAATTGTTTCAATTCACTGGTATTTATAGATTGCTAGACATGCATGTTTTATATCAAGTTGCACAAAATAATGCAAGTGTTCCATGATTTTCTGTATCATTTTCACGAGATCAATTTTAACATAAATGCAGTCACCTGTTACAGAAAAATGTATGTCTTGACCTAGAAACATAATCGTTTTAAGGTCCTGAGAAGCGAGAATTACATAACAGTGGCCTGTGGGAGTGTTTTCAATTTAGTGCTGACTGCATGAATAGCTACAGAGGGTGTACTTTATGTGGTCAAAATATTAACTGCATGTCGTAAAACTTATTCAAGCTTAGCATTGACCATATATATAGCTATATGCATTAATGTAATGTGTTCATTCAAGCTTTGTATATATAGATGTATACTGCATATGCCTGCATGCACTTCAGCTAGTCTGTTTTCCACAACTACCAGTATGATGCAGTGAAACCATTCTTAGGATCATCAAAATTATGGTCATAAATTGAAATAGCTCTATTCGGTATTGGTAAAATATTAAAAAAGAGTTTCTGGTATCAATAAATTTGTCTTCATGGAAAATATCTGAAGATGATTCATTGATATTTTTTAAAAGAATAATATGAAGATTTTGACCTTTCACTTACATTATAGATCTAAAAAAATTATTGCATTATTTGTGCTCAGAATTAAAGCTAGTTTGTTAATAAAAACTAAGTGTTTTGCAAATTGTTTACCTAGCTAGTGTACTGAGAATTTGCATGAAGTATGCATAAAACATAATTTATTCATCCAAATCAAGCAGTTACTCATAAACTGTATTCAGATTTTTACCTGATTGGAAATCAATTTCTTTCCAAAAGAACCTAGTTGTTATCACTCAAGGCGACTTGAAATACCTGTAGTCCAAAGGACAGCACAGACCTGCAAATCAAAACAAACACGTAAACTCTGAAGGCTAAGACCTCAGACAATGACATAACACAGTGCATTCATGGTCATTAAATTCATTTTTAAGTGCTGACTAAGTGTGCCTTACAGACTACTTACCCATTTGCTTAGACTTTCCTTACACGTTAATCAAAACAACAGGAGGACAAAGGTTGCACGAGTTCAAAGGTGCCCATGTGACAAGAAGGAGAAAGGAGTTGTCTCTCTTTGCCCATGGATTTTTCATTAAAAAACTTTCCAGTATGTCCTAACACTTTCATAACGTGTTTTGAAATTCATGTATCTGTGATAATTAAATACTATAATAGATATAAATAGAATAAAAACTAAATTAAGATAAGAAATTTAATCAAGTCTTACAAGTTATTTACCATTAAATAACATGTAATTACATGTACAAATAAAAACAAAATTATCATTTAAAAAAAATTCTAAATCCAAGGCATAACTCTGTTTAAAAAAGTCCGATCTAACCCCAAAACAGAACTTGACTTCGATATATTTCTGATAAATCATGTATGTAATATATATAATTTCATTTCAGTATGTGCAACCTCTGCAAAGAAAATGAAAAGAAACAGCAAATAATTGGAATTTTTCTAAGTCCAAGGGGCATAACTCTGTCCAAAATGGCTTGATTCAACCCAATATAGAGTTGGGTTCTTTGTCTTAAATAAAAACTTCAAACTTGAACTTGATAGAACTTGACCTAATTATTCTTATGATAAAAAAAGTATGTATACATACCAAATTTCATTTCAATATGTTCAACCTCTGCAAAGAAAATGCATGGTCATGCACTAATGGTGAACTGACAGACAGACCGACCGACAGACTGACCAACTGTCTGAAGCAGCAAAGCAATAAGCCCTCCCTCTTTCAAAGGGGGCCTAAAAAAATAAATATGATTTAAATAAAATATTTATTTCTTTGGTTTATTTCCACTCCTTTTGTATAACTAAGATCTACTTTAATGGCTCCTCTATTCTAATTTCTTAGTCTTTGTGAAGAATTTTAAATATATATCCTATGTATTCCTATGTAAAACCTTGATCACTAGCTATTGATCACCCATGTGGCCCCACTCTACCATCAGGGTCATGATTTGAACAAACTTGAATACTACCTGAGGAATTCAGCTTTGCTGTTTAGAAGAAGAATTTGAAGGATTTTTTTCAATGTATTCCCACATAAAACTTTTATCACCCATTATGGCTCCATGCTTGCCCAGGGGTCATGATTTGAACACACTTGAATTATACTGCTGGTTTTGATGTTCTTCAAATGACATTTTAAGGTTTTTCCTATGTTAAATCCCTCTTCAAATTTAACTCAAGTTCGTGAAAATGATCGATAAAATTAGCAGCATTATTCAATAATGTACTGTCTACCACATTACAATATCAGGGTTAACAAACTGCAATATGGTCACAATCTAATTAAAATTTGTTTCATCAACTGACATATTCATAAGACTTTGATTTAAAATAGCTCATACACAAAAGGCATAAAAAGAAACACATATTTTATAATTTTTATAAGCAGTTTCTTTTATTAATCAATATTTGTCTGTACATGAATATTTTATCACAGAAGGTACTAGGCAAACATAATTTGTTGTAAACAATACAGATGCTTTTTTATCAAGAGCTCAAATACAGGAATGAAACATATTGTATGCTGTACAAATTGTCCACTGACTTTACTGGGTTCTATAATTTGTTTTCAAATGTTGAAGATGCCCTTTTGAAAACAAATTTAGTACATGTAATAACTTTCATTAGAAATTTCACAAGCTAAAAAGTACATAGTAAAATTGCTGTTTAAATGAATTTAAATATTTTTTAGTAATTTTTTTCTTCATTTTTTCTACAAAAATATAACAGTAATCACAAATACTACAGTAAAATGAACAGATCTTTAACTTACTAATACATGTACTTAAAACAATGTAAGTCAGCAATGAAGCCCCATGAATTAAAAACTATTGTATACAAGGAAATTTTTGCCCCCATTTTATTTTCACCCCTTTACCCCAACCCTCATTGGCCAATTTAAAACAGGGCAAATTCAAAGAATACAGTATAAGTTCTTAAACAAAACTATGACTGGGCAAATTTAAAATGGGGAAGAATTATTCTCAAGTGTGAAAGGGCGAAAATAACATGGGGCAAGAAAAAGCCTGTATACAGTCAACGTCACTTCACTTTCTTCTAACATTTGTTCCATGTCTAACTTTTATAAATCATATTGCTGTTTATTCAAATTAACATGATTGATTTGAGACTAGATATCATTTTCTGAGCAAATGTAGGGGCATCAAAGAAAATCAGATCTTTATAAACTTGTCATCTGTTGTCCAGTAAAAAAAAAATTATAACAAACTTCCTTAAAAAATAAATACAGATAAAGATGAGATACAACAACGATGAATGTGTACACATAAAATGATCATATTCACTTAATCATCTATCTAAAGAGGAGAGGGGAGGGTTTCCAGTATCCAGGATAAAATACTGTCAACATAAACTATCCAACGACAACTCATCAGATTAATAACCAGGACAGGGGGAAAAGGCTGCTTATGTACTTAAAAATTATCATAATTTACTCACTGAAAACATCATAGAGAAAAATGCAAACTTAAAACACTCACCTGAAATGTATTTCTTTTATCACATGAATAATTACCAATCTTCAAATATATATATATAGTAAACAATGTCAAAAAACCCTTTTTTTCAAATATTTTTCCTTTGCATGAAAAAGTGACCCAACATCATTGATCTTTGCCAGCAATACTGCTGATTAGTGTTTACAGTGTTAACTTGTATTACATCTTTACAATGACTTTTTAAGATAAAGCCCTACACCACTTCTTACTTCATGATAGGTTATGATTACACAGTAAGTGAATGTAATTATAATGAAGAGTACAAAATTGAACAATTTGATTCTCTTTCTATCTATGAATATGTAAATATCTGTATAGAAAATGTCCTCTTTTTTCCTTATTCACAATGAACTTATGATTTCTGTAAAAACATACAAGTTATAAATTCCACAGTTTTTACCCAAAATTCTTGAGTTTGACAACGTGTTAAAATCCCTTTGATCCATGATCAAATAAAAAAACTTGTAAAAACCCCCACTGTGGTAAATGTGATAAGATCAACATAAGTTCCCATTATACATTGATCAATTTGGCCACTGTCTACTGACAAGCCCCACGACAAAATACAATCTGGTCCTATAATAAGTCTCACTCTTTCTCTCATAAGAATGGGTTGTATCCCTGTTGGGGTTGCTGGGACATTCCCGCCATGGGGAGCAGGGGCTGGGGTAAAAGTCCACTGGAGCTGGGCTGACTGAACCCTGTACTGTAGGCCGAGGATTGCAGCTGATTTAATGTCATTCTTTGGGGATTCTGTTGTTGTTGTTGAAGTTCAAAAGGATTTGATCCTCCACTGGCAAATGGATTTTTTTCTGCAAAAGTTACATGATTTATGAAGATAAGTTTATATCTCTTCAGAAACTGTGAATTATACACCTAAAAGTGCTGCTCTGAAGAAGCAGATATTAATTTTTTTCCCCAAAAATATCACGAGTAAACATTGATCCCCTACTGCATCCTCTTACTTCCAAAGGGTGTAAACACTTAAAGGAAGCTCCCACTTTTAGTTCAAATATTAATTATAACTAGAAAACTGACCAGTCAGCAAGGGCCTCGCCATGGGGTAGAATTATAAGGGTGCAGCTTACAGAATGATTAAAAAATGTACGAAGAATAAGCAACAGCAACTGTATTCTTAAAATTTCAAGATAATTCCTGAATGTTCAAAAACCTGAAAATAATATCCTTGTATTTACATTAGGCAGTAAAGAACTTCAAACAAACAGCAGTTGCAGACAAAGGTTTTCATTAATCTTAAAGATAAAGAAAAGCCTACTAACTTTTCTGCAGCAGGCTACATAATTAATCCCAAAGAATTAATTGTACCTCTCTCATCATTTTCTTCTAAAGTTACAATAAGAACTTTTTCAGTATTAATGATAGAATAGGGTTTTTATACAACTACCTTAAAAATTAATTAACATAAAGTGAAAAAAAGTAAATCAAAAAATCTTCTTTAATCTATTTCTTGTTTTTAGAATTCAATGAAATCATAACTATTAAACAAAAATAAATTATAAAAATTTATATTTAAATCCACATTTCAGAGTGTTCATAGCATTCTAAATTGACTTAACTTCAAAACAAACTTCATTTGCAGACAGAGGTGGTAATTCATCTCAATGTGACAGATAAAGATAATGCTCTGGATTTTCTTCAGGAGGAAAGCTAATTAATCCCAAGGGACTCATAGCCAGCATTCAGTTTACAATGGGAACATCTTCAGCAGTTATCTCTCTTTGCCAATGCATTCTTATATAAAGTTAAGGAATCTACCCCACCACCCCAGCTCCAAACCAGGGGACATAGAGAACCAAACTTAGCATCAAAATATGTATTTCTGCCTACTGAACTACCATACCAAATTTGTACTTGATTGGGCAACCATAAAAAAAGTTGCCCATTCATTCTTATGCATAGTTAAGGAATCTACCCCACCACCCCAGCTCCAAACCAGAAGACATAGAGAACCAAACTTAGCATCAAAATATGTATTTCTGCCTACTGAACTACCATACCAAAATTGAATTTGATTGGGCAACCATAAAAAAAGATATTAGAAAAAAAACAGAAAATTTATGGACGGAAGAGTGACAGACGGGCAGACAGACAGACGGACAGACAGAGTGATTACTATAGGGCACCCGCAAATCCTTGCGGGGCCCTAATAAAGTGTTAAGTGTATAATACACAAATACAAGTTGGGATACTTTTCTTTAATGTGCATGTATTTGATTTTACAAATAAAGTTTAATATTTAAAATACAAGTTGGGATACTTTTCTTTAAGATGCATGTATTTGATTTTCAAATAAAGATTCTGAAAATGTGATTGAATTAAAATCATAAAAATGTATCATATTTTCTGAGCTAAAATATGAAATAAGATGGTTGTGTAAAAAGGCCTAGGCACAATATGAAGAATTTTTACAAATTCTAATGTTCTCATTAAAATTCATGTGTCTCAAATACAAAATGTACCTGCTGATTCATCTTTAGTTACAAGTTGATCTAAGTTCACTAAATTAGCATTTTCTCCTAGGAAATCCTGTGGTGTTTTTCTGTGTTTTTGTTGTTGCTGTTGTTCTGTGGGTAGACTTTGTTCCATGTTACCCATACTCCACGGATCTGCTGAACTGGTGTCTGTCAAATCAATTTATAATCAAATATCAGCTTCATATCCTACTTAATTCAAACACTTTTTTACAAAATGAAAATACAATGTACTTTTATCAGTACATGTATTAAATTTCTCATTATGACTAAATTAAACATAGATATTGCATAATAATTTGATTTGGCAAAGTGTATACGCTCTTCATGCATATTCCTCAACACGTCAAGAATGAGGGTCACGTCAAAGGTCAAATTCGATCAATCAAACAAATCGTTGCCTACATAATCATTGTATATTTGTTGAAACGAATAAGTCTAGAGCTGTTCTGATTTTGACCTCTGACATGACCCTCTATGGGATGTTGTTAGATGTTAGTGTAGCAAGTATGAGAGCAGATCTAACATCTAATTTTAATAAGATTGTCTAAATGACAACATACTTCCAAGCAGATCAAAGTTGTCTGTGACTGGGGCCTTAGCTGGAGATTCTGCATGGCTGCGAGAACTTAACAAATCAAAGTCGTCCTCTACTGGATCCTTACTGCCACCGTTTGTCATAGAACTGGCCCCTGTATCAAATCCACCAAAGGGGGACTGCTGAGCAGGGACAGGGGACCCTCCCCATGGAGAACCGCCTGAGGTCCCCGATGAAGGAACAGGGGCACCCCAGGGATCAACAGCTGCCGGAGCTTTAAGAAGAAAGATGTTTGTTAAGATTTGAAATTCATTAAAGCATCTTTTTTATTGATAGATTACATTCCCATTTCTTCTCTGCACATACGGTATTATGCTTAGAAAATTTACAAAAACATTCAATATTATGGTAAAAAAAGGAGCTATTTTAGTACAAATTCAAGAATCTGTATATTATTTTCTGTTCTTATTTCACTCTGCCAAAACGAAGTCAATTGTACTATACTAAAAATATTAAACTACTGTTTAAAAACTGTTAAGAATCTGTAAAATTCCATGACTGAAATTTATCATGGTAAATACCTGGGTTTGTCGGAGGGGGACTTTGATTTGAAGGCATCGGCATTCCCCATGGATCACTCTGTGTGGAGACCACTGGTTTAGCTGGTGATCCCCAGGGATCTGAGGTAGGGGGAGACACCACAGGGGCAGGAGCTTGGTGGTGGTGCTTCTGCCCTGGTGGTGCTGGGAGAGGGGCACCCCATGGGTCTGTGGGAGCTGCAGTTGGCTGTGGGGCTCCCCAAGGGTCTGACTGCTTGGACCTAGGTGAATCCAAGTCCAATAATCCACCAGATGGAGCTTTCTGCTGGAAATAAACAAATTTATTCTATACTAGGAAGATAGCTAATAGCTCAATGACATATAAAAGTATGAAATAATAAATAAAATATTGTAACATATTAGTACATGTATCAAGAGTGGCAAAATCTCAGATATTTAAATGACAATAAAAATATTTTCATCCCATAAAGTTTTCAAACAAGTTTACTAAAATATTAAGTTATTAGAAGAGTAATATCTATCTGAAGTAAACCAATGAAAAATACAGCATTAAACAATTTCAAGTAAACTGTACATTTTTATGATGCCATGCCTTGGTCACAATGTTAAATGCAACAATAAATTCGATGAATTATTTTTTCTAATTTCAAAGCCTTAAACAAATGCTTTTTTCCTCAATAAATATATGTGATAGGTGTTTTTTTTCCACAAGTAACTAAGATTACAATCAGAGCATAGGAAACAAACTAATGATATATAAAACATAACACAGGAGTCTGAAGTTTTTATTGTAAAAAAAATAATCCGGAACAAAATTACCCACCTTCAACTTATGCTCTAATTAGACAAGGGACCTTTAACACCCACCCACCCACCCCTTCCCTTCCAATTAAACAAGAGATGTTTGTAAAACACTTATGCCCCCCTCCCCCCCAAAATTGGAATTTATCAAAGTCTAAAAGGGCATAACTCTGTCAAAAATCCTCTGCGAAGAAAATGAACAGAAACTGCAAATAATTGGAATTTTTCTAAGTCCAAGGGGCACAACTCTGTCAAAAATGGTGCTATTGTACCCAAAACAGAACTTGACCTAGATAATCATCTGACAAATATGTATACTAAATTCATTTCAGTATGTGCAACCTCTGCAAAGAAAATGAACAGAAACTGCAAATAATTAGAATTTTTCTAAGTCCAAGGGGCATAACTCTGTCAAAAATGGCGGGATCGTACCCAAAACAGTACTTGACCTAGATATTCATCTGATATACCTGTATACCAAATTTCATTTCAGTATGTGCAACAGTTGTGAAGAAAATGAACGGAAACTAAATGGACCGACAGACCGACCAACAGAGAGAAGCAAAGCAATATGTCCTCCCTTCTTCAAAGGGGGGCATAAAAAAGAAATTGATATGTTGCACAGACACTTTTTCAGAGGTATTAGTTAACTTATACATAAAAGGGTTATCATTTCAGTGTAGCATACAATACAATATAACAACATTCACTTTTTATTTAATAAAATTACATGTGTTTAGAAATATCTCAACAATAGAAATTTAGTTCAATATATAGAACAATACTGAAAAGAAAGAAGTTGAAAATTAATAGTGTGTTTTGCATGTTTCGAGACCAAAAACATCACAGGATTTGTTAATATACAGTCTTGTCTAAAAAAAAAGAGAAAGTATAAAGCTACAAACTTTTAAATTTGCAATGCTCAAAATGAACAACAAAAACAAATAAATCCTGCAGTTGCTTTTTTTTTTATTTTTAAAGAAAATCTGGACATTGCGTGTTTTGCCAAATGGCTTAAAAATTAAAATTAAAATAAAAGTGATGGTAAAAGCAAAATAAAGGATCATATCAGATCCCTGTTTTACAGAGCAATTTTTTTCTTGAATATGAGAAAGGTAACGGGAATTTAGTTTTGGTCTCAGATTGACATGCAATTACAAGTATTTTGGGTTTAAAAACCCTTCTGGCAAGTACCTTGATCATAACATACAAGGCACATCATATTTCACTAGAAACAAGTTCCCCTGTTAAATCCCCCCCCCCATATCAATGACCCGCCAATCTGATAATACTTCAGAAAGTTTTCAGAACAATGATCAATTGTAATTAAAAAATCCACTGAAAATTCAAGAATGCAAACTTACCTCAATCAAACAGCATGTCTTTAATTTTAATGATGCATCACATTTTAACTAGATTAACGTGCATCAGTAATACACACAAAGGATTTGTCAATCACTAAATAAATAGCTGATCAATAAGGAACCATTGCCATTATAAATTTATGTAGAGTTCAAGAGGGTTAGAAAAGAAAACAGGAGGATAGGAAAAGCAAAGTGTGATAAGCTAAGGTAGTGTCAGTACTACGCAAAACAAAGGGGTGTACAATACTGCGTATAGGCCACGTAACTACATGTAAAACAATCTTTTAACTAAAAATAATCTTACGGCCACTTTTCTTCTCTCCTATTACACAAAATCAAATGGACCAAGAAAATAAATTTAAGGTGATCAAAAGGTTCAGATGGAAAAACTCAAAAATTTCAAAATTTTTAAAAAATGGAAAAAAAATTTTTTTAAAAATGAAAATTTGCATGAATATATGCCTTTCCATTCTAACTGAGTTTTAATGGAGATAAACTAAAAGCAAGGATTTTACTCTTCTCTCACCAGTTTAAGATATTTTCCCCGTGGTTTTTGTTTCACCTACCTCGTCCTCAGCCTGTTTCCTGCTTTCTTCTATGGCCAACTGAAGCTTGATGTCATCTGATTTCTGTTTCTTCACTGATTCTTCATGTTCCTCTTTACTCATGGCTAAAGCCAACTGCAGCTGAATTTCCTCCTCACCTACGGACGATGGCCGAGCGTACTCGACATCTTTAGAATGCCTACGCACTCTTGTTGGTGAATCACCACCTGTTATTTAAAGAAAGTTTAGAATTAAGAAAAAGAAGCCTTTACATTCATTTTTGCTTCAAACAAGACAATTTTTTACTTTGCTCATTAGCCCATGAATAAATATCCTTTGCTCTCACATGGTCTTTTTAGTTTATGTCATATTTTCTACAATATTGAACTATTTCTGATGAATTCTGATTCAATATGTGATGTTTAATTTTTTTTATTAAGATTTTGGACTAGTTTTGTGCTTTATTTGAACAAACCATTAGTTGTAGTTCCAGCACCACCATATGGATCTGAGTACCCTCCAGAGCTAGTCTGTAAACTGGGGCTGCCCGCTCCATAACGAACCTACAGCAAACAACATGTAATAGAGGCATTACTACAATTTCTAATGATTAAATAATTATTCTTTCTTAGACCAAGAGGCCCATGGGCCACAATGCTCACACGGGCCAGCTTTCTGGCAAATTAAAATGTAAATGTAGATTAAAGAAGCCTTTTATGTTGAGCACATGTACCAATTAAGTCCATGAATTGATTTAATCATTTTTATATATTTTTAGGCTTTATGTTAATTTTACAGCTTGTAGTCTTTTTATTCTTGAGAAATGTATGTATTTCTGTATTGAATGTTCCATTAATTGTGATTCATAGTTTGTTTCGGAGGCCTTAACTTAAACTTACTTGAATCAAAACTTCAAGATCAAGGTGCTATTCCCATAATTATGATTTGAATAATTTTTTATATATTTATCTTCACTAAATGAAATTTTTTTTCTATTTTCACTTCATAAAAATTCTCTACAGACAGGCAAATGCTAGACAGCAGAAAATGGTTAATGAAGCTCATTTCAGCCTCAGGCTCAGATGAGCAAAAATGATTTTCGAAGTAACTCTAATTATGTTTTATTTGGTAATTATCTTACTATAAAGACATAATTACAAAGTATTCTGAAGGAAACATGAATCTGATACAATATTTTAAGATTTAAAACAAGTAATTATTCCAGCTTCCCCCCTTATGACAAATCAGCATGCCATGCTTACTAGATTGCTGATCAGAATCAAGGGAACACTTATCCTTTTGTAAAATATTACCTTGTCATTGCTTCCTATTCCCATTGCATTCTGTGCAAATCTTTCTTTGGCCTTCAATGCTTTTGCTCTTTCATTGCGCAATCGTTCATCATCCTTCAACAATGCGACCAATTGTTTGGCTTTCTCTCTCACATTCATTCCCTGATCTTTGTTGTCCTCTCGATGTTGAAAATCCCTCAAAGTCTGAATGGCATAGATGTTTTCTTTACACTGCTGGGCCACTTTTTCACTTCCAGTTTTTATGATGTAGTCTAAGACTACCAAGGACTTGTACACATGCCGCCAGTTTTTACCGTGGTCATTTAGTCTCTTCCAGATCATTTGCATTATTTCTGTGAACGCCACCACATTATAGGTCAAATCAGCAATTTCTCCCATTAAAGTACTAGAAGGTCCCCATGGATCATTAGATGTGGCTTCCCTAACTTTGACTTGTGCCTCTGAATAGTTTTTAACCACATTTTTTAAAGTACGACGCAATGGTGGCATGTTCGACATGATGACAGTTTATAATATGGACACACTGAATGGGAAATAAGATTTTATCTTCTTGACTTCCTTGTTAAAAAATCTGGAAAAAAATAATATTGAGAAAATTATCTTGATCAGTTATCTGGATTCCTTCGCAGCAAAAATGAATATACTGATATTAAAGGTTTAAACAAAAATATATTACTAACAAATATGTCCAATTGCCATCCTGATCCTTGTCAATAAAACATTTCAAAATTACGAACAGCCTACCCTATACACCTTAGATCCAACATTCTATGTACAGTGTATCATTTTTTTGTATGCTTTCCGCTATTTACTACCTTCTTCAAAACAACTGTATGTAATATGCTTATTGTTTGAAATTCCTAGTATATTAATAGGAGTAATGAACAAGCTGACATTTTTTTAATTATCAACTTATGATTTAAATCTTGATATTTGGTAACCTAGATGTTTAAAGGACTTGTCAAATGCTGCAAAAGTATCTACAACACTTCTGATACATGTGTATCAGATGATTTAAATCGTTTATGGTAAATTGAGGTTTTAACACTTCAAATGCTGCTAACACTAAGATGAAGTAAAGTCTTTGAAATTTGACACATTTTTACTTATTAACAAGATGGTTTTAACAAGCTATTTCTAGCATAGGGTAACATCAAGTCTCTATCTTTTATGGTTCAAAAGTTATACGAAAAAGGTATTTTTAGCATATAGGTCAATTTCTAAGCCATTAAAGGCTTAAGGGATAAGAGGGGAAAAACATATCACTAACTTGACACAATTAATGTCTGTTGGGTTGCAGTCCAGTAACTTTCAAGAGCATATCTACTTTAAAATATAAAATCCTCATAACATTATTTTTAACGACAATCAAATAACAGTGGGAAAATTAAAGTGGGTCTATTATAGTCCAGACTATTCTCATGATAACAGCCAATTTTCTTGGATTCAGTTAAAATTTCATGCATTGTCTCCATTGTACCACTTTGCAAATATTCCAATGAAAATTTAAGATGTCATTAAGATTTCAAAATTTTTTTTTCTTTCCATCACTTCCTTAGATGAAAATTAATGAAAATTTATAATAATTTAAATAATTTGTTGCAAGATTAATACTGTAAATGTTTTATATTTGGCGTGTACCGATATTTGGTGGAAATTCATTTTTCATCAAGTTAGTGTAGATTTGATTTAGGACTATCTGAATATATTAGATATAAATGTATAATATACAAGACATTCAGTGATGTACTTGATTTAGCGGACTCTGCTTTTCGCCAAAATCGCTGAATAGAACACAACACTAAATGTAATACATTTACAGTATTTAGCACACTCTGCTTTCTGCCAAAATTTGATAAACAGAATACAGCACTAAATGTAATACTTTTACAATATTTTCGTTTTTGAACCAATTATTTTCAGTCCCCATTATTTGTTATTGCTATTCTGCCTCCTAGCTTCTTATGTCACAGAGATCAAGGAGGATATTTCAACTTACACTAGGTTGTTCCTAAGGCCCTGGGGCTGGGGAATTACATAAGGTTGCCCCTAAGGCCCGGGGGTGGGGGGATTTCACCAACTTATGAACTATAATGATGCAGTCCGCCAGGTTTTTTGGTATTCCTCCTAAACTCCCTGCGAAGGAAAGAACCCCAAATTTCCTTCTTCTTTTTAAAGGTCCCCTTCTATATCAATTTCTAGGGACAATCCTATTACATTACTTTTTGATAAAATTTCTTACTTCTTTGGTAATTCCATGTCATGGCTCGAATAGAAACTAAAATGTACTATATGTTAAGTATTACAATGTTTGATTCTACTTATATGATCTTAAATGAATTTACTGTCTCCAGAGTATATGATGTAAGTTGTTTACAGTGATTGACAAAGAAAGGATTTACCTTTGTTTGACACTGATAATAGGTAAGCCCGGTACAAAACTGTGTAATGACTGTGCATAAACATTGGACATGACCTTTAATTCTCAGCTAATTAATGATGAATATAATATAACTATTGTGTCATTAATCATTAGAAGATACCTTTTATGAAGACAGTCTTCGTTTCAACTGTAAATTTTAAATAAAAATAAAATATGCATAAAATATCTTTTCTTTTTTCATAAACACACAGAATCATATCATCAAGAAATATAGCATCGGCCTAAACAAATTAAAAAGAATGTGACGAATAAAGCCTAATGTTGCTTATTTTACCTTGCAACTTGTGGAATTAACCTGCGATTATACTCCTTTTTCTAATTCACTTTAATTGTCAACCCCAAAAATGGCCGAAGCCTTCCAAACTTCCGATTCCACTCTGCGGGGGCGAAGAATGGAACAGCTTATAATTTTGCACAATGGCGATCCCGATTTATTAGATAAACATTCTCAAATAGTAATTAATTCATTATTTATTAAAATGTATACACAATATAAAACATTATAATACTTCAAATTTTATCTTAATATTAAATATTTTAAATCAATATTAAGACGAAGTAATCTTTTTAGTAGGATCGTGAAATAAGATCGGGAATGAAATACAGAATAAGTAGCACTCCTACAAACAAAAGAGTTCCGTTACCTCATAACAGAATAAGAAAACTCTGTTAGAAGGCATGTCATATTTTACAGCAAAAATGGTATTGTATATTTGCACATTTGCAAGTAAAAACACATTTTAAAAGACGACTAAGGCAACCGATCTTTTAAAACAATTATTTTCTCAGGAATTATATGTTGCAGTTAAATTAAGACAGGATAAAACTTGGAGTTGGATTATATCCCCTTAGGCACATGTTTGTACGCTTAAGATAAAATGTGATTTGACTTGCAAGATTTAGATATGATGTGACTCATAAAATGATTGAACAATATTTTGTGCAACATTTTTGTCTTTTTTTATGATAGAGAACGTTACAAATCAAACTTGTATTTGTATGTTGTAACAAGTTTTTTTTATCTCAATTTTCATATTGATCTACTTGTCATTTTCATCATATTTAGCTCACATGAGCTGAAAGGGTGGGTCACTATGGGTGAACAAAGTTTTACTAAAATTCAACTCTTCTTCTCAAGAACAAGAGATATAGATCAGAAGCAGACAGTTTGCTTGCTGTAGAACTGTCACTCTCTGCTTGACTCCTTGAGAAAATTTGGGCAGAGAAACAAGAGCTACAGATCCAAGTGTAGTAAAAACTTTCAATGTATGCCGCTGCTTTTTTGATGCCCACTTCTCGTTTTATCATGTATTTTATGCTTTCCCCCACTTTTAGAATGATATCTGTACGATAATTATACCCCCGCTCCAAAGGAGAGAGGGGTATACTGTTTTACCCTTGTGTGTCTGTCCATCTGTCTGTCTACCTGTCTGTCTGTCTGTAAAAAATATTTGGTCGCAGTTTTCTCAACAACTACTCTGCAGATGCTTGAAATTGTAGCACATTCTTTGCTGGGGCATGTCATATTGTAGACTTCATTTTTGTTCAAATCTGATGTCAACTTCCTGTTTATCCATGCATCTGTCCATATCATACATACAGTGATTGGGATAAGCTAGGGAGTAAATGTGACAATGGCGCACTCCAAGTCAGTGTCAATGTGACATTTCAAAATTCAGTGCGCCAAACAGACTTTTTAATGGGACATTTCCTAGTTACGAACTTGCAATTGATTACTTGCTGTTAGAATTTCAGTTGACTTGACTTAATTGAAATTGTCAAATTATAGAATGACAACATTAAAAGATACAAAATTAGTATATTTAAATTCACAAGTGTCAGAAAATAAATAAACACTGCAAATTAATTTCATTTTTTTATTTTTTGTCTCCGATGTTTGACATCTTTAAAATGAATGAAAGCCTGGTTTAGATCTATACCGCTTCCCTCCGATTCATGATACTTCTTCCGGGTCATTTTCTACCGATTTACTTGAATTCTGTTTGTTAGGATTGTTAAAAATTAAGAAAAGTCTGCCTTTTTATCAGTACGAGGTATTTTCTTAGGCAGCATGCTGCACGCCTGACACCAGTTTATTTCGTGCGCATTAGCCAATCAGAAAACAAGTAACTGTTTGATTAGATACTGGAGAAAAGAAAGTCTTAAGAACGCTTTAATAGAACGACATTAAATACTATTTTATCAAGCTTAAATTGACAGCGATTGTTTTGGGAAGTACTACAAGCGCTTGGGGGAAAGCTCAAAGTTTAAAAGTATGTAGTGCATGATTATATATGCGCCACGGTGGCGCAGCGATTTTAATTTTAATGTGACATTTTGAAATTTAATGCGACTATGGCGCAGGGCGCGTGCTTATCCCAATCACTGTACATAACAAATTTTTGTCATAGTTTTCTCAGCAACTACTCAATTTAGATGCTTGGAATTTTATCACACTTTATGTTGAAGCTTGTCATATGATGGAATTCATTTTTATACGAATCTGATATCAACTTCTTATTTATCCCTGCATCTGTCCATAATTGAACTTAAGTATATTAAAATGATATTGATATTCACATCAGAACAGGTATTACTAGTGAGCATTGGCTCGCAGACTTTTTGTCATTCCCTTAATTTACTCCCATCATTGATACTTTATTTAGCTTACTAGCATCCAAACAGTCCTTTATGATTTTGAATGTTGGTTTAAAAGATGTCCATAACTACAAACAGTCTTTTGAAACCATTAAAAGCTAAATAAGATATTGTGTATGTACTTATTATAGGGGACTTCATATTTTACTGGCTGGTGATTGGATCTGTAGTTCTCTGTTCTATCTGTCGGAATTTTCTCAAGCAAAGAACTACAGTTCTGCAGCTATCAGTTTGCAGATGGTAGTGGTTAGTTACGTTATGATTATGTGTTTGACCTGCATGGTAACAACTCAAGTGGTTTTGGCCCACTTGTATAAACCTTCACCTACCTAAGGTGTTCTTAACCCCTACTTTTAGGGGAGTTGGGTTGGTTGTGTAGACAATGTCACTGAGTTATTTTAAATAAGACTATTTTGATTAAATAAAACTCTATGAATTACTTTTCTCCATTTAGAATCTACATAAATCCAGACTTTTGACCAGGAATTAAAATATACAATGAAAAAGAAGAAACTGCCACCATTGCTGTGTATACTGCCATTTATTATTGCTAAATGTTCAGGTAACCAGTCAGCTATATTATTTACTATAAGGTGAAACCAGATGTTTGACATAAGGTTATGCATTCAGAAATGGATGCTGATATGTTTTTCTTAAATTACAAATTTAAATCATATGATTAGTTTTTTTTGGCAGTTTTAATTTCAAATGGTTCAAGGATAATAGTCTAACACTAGCCTCCAATGTTAAATAATTGACAATGAACTTAGCCAAATGTTGAACTTACTAGATTCATTGAAAAGAAATAAGTACCGGTACTGGCTTCATATACAGTGGAACTATACAATCTCCTTATGTGACGTCAGACCATTATGTTTAATGACCCCAGTAGTGTTTTCAGCTCCACATTTAGATAGATCATGTTTTAACATGACTTTACATTAATTTGTAATTTTCCTTCAGGACTGTGTCCTTCAGATATCAGTTGTGGATGGAAGTCCCAGTGTGTGAACGGTAGCTGTCAGTGTTCTCCAGGGTACCGTCTACACTCCAACCAACAAGACTGCCAAAACGGTAGGTAGAAAAATATCAGCGAATCAATTTGATTCAATTCTTTTATTCACTTGCTTGCATTACTTACAAGTCTATGACTTATCTGATTACAGTGAGTTGTTCACAGGAAGACTGTTTAGAATGTGGTGCTGACAGTTGCAGCAGGTATACCGTAATACATTCTGCAAGACATTCTGAAAGGATTGATTAGAATCCTTTTGAATTTATAAGGGGTTATGGCTTATGCTGAAATTGTACATGCAAAGCTTTATTCAGTAATACCAAATCTGATGAATGTAAGAAATTAATTTACATATAAAATGAAGCACTTCTTATTGTCTTTTGAAGTTTGAAATAATATTGATATACTAAATTCAGATTTTATTACATATATATTAGGTGCACAAATTTTCTGGATGATCAAACACTGAGCTGTTTGGAAAAGTGCAATGGACAAGCTCAAAAGTCACAACTTCCTCACCTCCAAGGAAATGTCTGTAAAAGTAAGGAATGACTGTTAATGTTACATTATAATGAAATTCAAGGACAGTGGATTTACTTGTCAATTAGTCAATTACTGTATTTGAACATAAATTGGCATATTCAAAATTTAGCGCAAAAAGTGGGTATTGAGTTGTTGGCATATTTATTAGGGGTGTGCGATTTTATCGGTATACCGGTATATCGCGGTTTTTTGTTGCGTGATACGTATTGTGATACGGAGACCTAAATACCGGTCATTAGGTACACATTTAAAATTCAGAAATTATTCATTTATTTGTTCAATCTTTCAAATTACAATTACAGAAAGTATAAAAAAAAATGTTGTAAAAAGTGAAAAGAATGGCATCTTATCATCCAAACATAATTGATTTTATATGCATAAAAATTTCAAGAAAGTAAAATTTTGTTTTTCTAGCATATTTTTTAGAAAAATAATGACTTTTCATATAAAGTCATTGTAAAAACTGCTTTTAAAAATATCATGATATTATAGATAGTTTTCGATTGACCAAGAGTTACTTCCCGTTGGCCGCCATACTGGAGGTCCAATTGCTCATATCCCTTCATTGTTCAACCAATTTAAAATTTTTATATTTGCTATTTTGAATTAGAAATCATTATTTTTCTGAAGTATATAAATTTTTGGAAGCCTCCTTTATTTAAAAAAAATTATTTGATAAAGATTTTCCATCAAATATTTCTGCTATATTTTCTTAAACTTGGTAAGACAAAGAGGGAAAATCACTTAGTCGACCTCCAATATGGCGGCCAACGGGAGGTAACTTTCGCTAAATTCAGGCCTATCGAAAACTATCTATTGTGGGAAAAAATCGTGATATATCGCGATACAAAATTTTTGGCGATACCCATCCCTAATATTTATGAATTAGTGCTACACACTTCCACACTGTACGTAGGTTTATATACCATTTATCCATGAATTAGTGCACCAATGTCCACTGCTAAAATATGAAGCCTGCTTTTTCAAGTACACATATACAGTATTTTCTTATTATGCAGAGCTGTTTCTATGGTATTTCTGTTTTTTTTTCTTCAGGATATGAGAATGACAGTGATAAGATTGACGTTATCATTGGAGTGGTGGCCGGGGTGACAGTAGGGGTGTTTCTCTGTGTTATTGTGGGCCTTATATTTTACTGTCAGATCAAGAGAACAAGGTAAGTTTATCTTCTTACTTATAGCTCATTATCATTTTGTCATTTTTGACATTGTTTAAAAGACTTAAATGTAGATTATGATTGCTACTTGACTGCTTTGTAGAAAGAAAATAAATCTTCATCAGAAGCACTACAAAGCAGGAAATATGCAGTCTGGGACACACACCACAGTAAGTTTGAGGACTAGTTAAGAAAATATGCAGATACATGTTATATTTAATGTCCAAATGAGGAATTTGCATGTCAATTTGTTTTTAGCTCACCTCAACGAAGTTGGGGGGAGCTTATGTGATACCCTCGGCGTCGGCGTCCCGGGTTAAGGTTAAGTTTTTTGGAGCAGTTTTCTTTTTAAGTACTTCTATGTCCTATATTGATTAGACATGCATGGAAGATGTTTCTAGTGTGTTTCATTGTACCAGTCAAAGTTTCAGATGCTGCAATTTCAGCAAAGGAATGACCAGGTTAATGTTTTTGGTGCAGGTTAACATTTTTTTTGCAGTTTTTGGTGTAGGTCTCATTTCCGAGTAACTATAAGCCCTATGTTGACCAAACTTACATGGATGGTACATCTTAGGATGCATACTACTAGACTTGCTTCGGATGCTGAATCTGACCTACATTTTCCGGTTGAGTGAACAGGTTAAAGTTTTTGGTGCAGGTTTCATTTCGAAGATACTATGAGCCCTATAATGACCAAACTTGCATGGATGGTACATCTTAGGATGCACACTACCAGGCTTGCTTCGGATGCTGAATCTGACCTACATTTTCGGGTTGAGTGAACAGGTTAAAGTTTTTGGTGCAGGTTTCATTTCCAAGTTTCTATGAGACATATAATGACCAAACTTGCATGGATGGTACATATTAGGATGCATACTACCAGTCTTGCTTCAGATGCTGAATCTGACCTACATTTTCCGGTTGAGTGAACAGGTTAAAGTTTTTGGTGCAGGTTTCATTTCCAAGTTACTATGAGACATATAATGACCAAACTTGCATGGATGGTACATCTTAGGATGCATATTACAAGACTTGCTTCGGATGCTGAATCTGACCTACATTTTCCGGTTGAGTGAACAGGTTAAAATTTTTGGTGCAGGTTTCATTTCCAAGTTACAGTGAGCCCTATAATGACTAAACTTGCATGGATGATAAATCTTAGGATGCATACTACCAGACTTGTTTCGGATGCTGAATCTGACCTACATTTTCTGGACGAGTAAACAGGTTAAAGTTTATGGTGCAGGATTCATTTCCAAGTAACTTTGAGCCCTATAATGACCAAACTTGCATGGATGGTACATCTAAGGGTGCATTCTACTAGGCTGGCTTCAGAAGCACACTACATTTTCCGGATTAGTGAAAAGGTTAGTCTTTTATACAGGTTTCATTTCCAAGTAACTTTGTGCTCTATGTTGAACAAACTTGCATTGATGATACATCTTAGGATGCACACTAATGGACTTGCTTCAGATGCTGAACTTGACATACATTTTCCAGATAATAGACCTCGTAAAAGTTATGGGTGCAGGTCTATCACCAAGAAACTATAAGGCTTACATAAACCAAAGTTGCACAAATGATGCATCAAGGGATGAAAACTCTCAATCTTGCTTCAGATGCTGGATTTTAATTACATTTTCATGATGAAGAACTAGTTTTAAGTTTTTATATACATGTAGGTCTATTCCAAAGTATCAAAATTGCATAAATTTTGCATTTTTGGATGTACACTTTTTGTTAGTTAATTGTGTGACTTAATTTGCCTTACTTAAGGACAACATTCGTTGATGTGAGCTCTGTAATCTCTGGTTACCTATGTTTATATTCATAGTATCAGTAGTATTGAGAATAATTGTAGATGTCACATTATCAAGATTAAAAGAAAAAATCATGCAGAAAGAATTCAATATGTATCGGTAGTAGGGGTGGGACGATACACACATCTTGCGATAAGATACGTATCTCGGTACATTGGCACGATATGATGCGTATCTCGATATTATTATAAATTATAAAACTATTCAAAAGAATTAGTATTTTACTTTTTCTTTTTTTTTTTGCCTTTACATTAAATCAACAAATTATTCTATATCAAATCATGTTTGCTTTGAAATTAATACTTGAAGTTCATCAATTTCATTAACTAAAACTTTACAAAAACAATAATACATGTACATACTATTATAACCAAATTACTATTCAGAAGTTGTTTACAAATAGTTGTATAGTTCATCAGAGAACACTGACTAAAAATTCACTTAAAAAACATCGATCATATTTACATTATTATTAATTCATTGCTGAAAGTCTGTAGCCAAGTTGAGATTACAAAACAAGAGGCCCATGGGCCACATCGCTCACCTGAGAAGCTTTGAGCATTCTCTTCTTTACCAGATTTCCCCCTTGTAATACATAATGCATCCCCACCCTACCCCACTGATCATAATTTAGACATTGTGAAATCTACACTACCCCAGGATCCTTCCATGTGCACATAAGTTTCAGCTTTTCTGGCCCAGTGTAAGAAGATTTTCAAAGATTTTTCCTATATATTTCTATGTAAAACTTTGATTCCCCATTGTGGCCCCGCCCTTTCCCCAGGGGTCATGATTTGAAAAATTTAGAATCTACCCTACCCCAGGATGCTTCCACATAAGTTTCAGCTTTTCTGGCCCAGTGGTTCTTGAGAAGAAGATTTTCAAAGATTTTTCCTATATATTTCTATGTATAACTATGATTCCCCATTGTGGCCCCACCCTTCCCCGGAGGGTCATGATTTGAACAATTCAGAATCTACACTACCCCAGGATGCTTCCACATAAGTTTCAGATTTTCTGGCCCAGTGGTTCTTGAGAAGAAAAATTTCTAAGATTTTTCCTATTTATTTCTATGTAAAACTTTGATTCCCCATTGTGGCCCCGCCCTTTCCCCGGGGGTCATGATTTGAACAATTGAAAATCTACACTACCCCAGGATGCTTACACATAAGTTTCAGCTTTTCTGGCCCAGTGGTTCTTCAGAAGAAGATTTTCAAAGATTTTTCCAATATATTTCTATATAAAACTTTGATTCCCCATTGTGGCCCCGCCCTTTCCCCGGGGGTCATGATTTGAACAATTGAAAATCTACACTATCCCAGGATGCTTCCACATAAGTTTCAGCTTTTCTGGCCCAGTGGTTCTTGAGAAGAAGATTTTCAAAGATTTTTCTTATATATTTCTATGTATAACTTTGATTCCCCATTGTGGCCCCGCCCTTCCCTGAGGGTCATGATTTGAACAATTTAGAATCTACACTACCCCAGGATGCTTCCACATAAGTTTCAGCTTTTCTGGCCCAGTGGTTCTTGAGAAGAAGATTTTCAAAGATTTTTCTTATATATTTCTATGTATAACTTTGATTCTTCATTGTGGCCCCGCCCTTCCCCCAGGGGTCATGATTTGTACAATTTAGAATCTACACTTCCCCAGAATGCATCCACATAAGTTTCAGCTTTTCTGGCCCAGTGGTTCTTGAGAAGAAGATTTTAAAAGATTTTTCCTATATATTTCTATGTAAAACTTTGATTCCCAATTGTGACCCCGCCCTTCCCCCGGGGGCCATGATTTGAACAATTTAGAATCTACACTACCCCAGGATGCTTCCACATAAGTTTCAGCTTTTCTGGCCCAGTGGTTCTTGAGAAGAAGATTTTTTAATGACCCCACCCTATTTTTGTCTTTTCTTGATTAACTCCCCTTGTGAGGGGACTTGGCCCTTTATTTTAACAATTTAAATTCCCCTTTACCCAAGGATGCTTTGTACCAAGTTTGGTCAAAATTGGCCCAGTGGTTCTTGAGAAGAAGTCGAAAATGTGAAAAGTTTACAGACGGACAGACGGACGGACGGACGGACGACGGACAAAATGTGATCAGAAAAGCTCACTTGAGCCTTCGGCTCAGGTGAGCTAAATAGTACGAGATGGACTAACAATAATATCAAATGTTCTCGAAACGATATTTTCTGTGTATAGCACGCATTACATACTGAACTTTTCTTGTCCAATCTTCCGACGCTGCTTAAAAGTGAAAATGTTTTACCCCTAACCAACGACTTATTAGTTCTAAAGTGTGTTTTCAATATCAACATCATCTCTTCCTTTCGTACAAGCCGCCAATTCCCAAGGACAGGTACTTTCATTTTTCAATTTTTGGATAGATCATTCGTGCATCGTTTCGTACCGATATTTGAATGCTTGTATTGTAAACTGTATCTTGGTGGAAAATATCGGTATGTATTGGTGTATCGGTATATCGTCCCACCCCTAATCGGTAGTGAATTTATAAGTATTAGAATGAGAATTGATCACTTTTACCATAACTACAATATATTCGTTATTCTGTTATTGTAGATACCTCTTTATGACAATAAAGGATTTGGTAAGTGTATTTTAAATTTTATTTGTTTTTTAAGAAAAATTTTATGATAAAATTTGTACTAAATTCCATTTTACCTGCTGTAAGTTTGAGACTGATAATTAATAACTGACCACAGTTTTTAGGTCAATTAGAAAAAGAAGAATTTTGATTAGGATGAATTCATGTTTTAAATCTAATTTCTTATTGAAAAGATTCTCTTCACAACAATGAGTTTGAAGATCAAAACTAAATATCAGCTCAAGATTAAAGCCTACGAGGGTTGTCCCGTAAAATCGTGGACAAATTGTCTAGTGTGAAAAATAAACATCACTGCGTTCTGAAATTTTCACTATTATTTAGTACATATTTTAGTAATATACACAGCAAATTTTAGATAGATATATGCATAAATAAACAAATTATGTGATTTTATGCCATGTATTGTATCACCTTACGGCGCATGGATTATAACGTCAAAGTGTCTAAAACAGCGTCACGTTTTATCTTTGCTGAAAATGAAGTTGGATGAGTCCGACTTAAATTTAGGAATTTCATTGATACACATTCTTTATTCTCCATAAACAGTCGAAGAACCAATTGGCAAAAAGATTTATCAGTAAGTTACAGACAATATTCTCACCATCATTCATTAATAGAAAATCTCATATGGGCGGTCTACTGTGACAGCGTCTTTTGCTATTACATTAGGAGTTTGTCCGTATGTTTTGTACTCCCCAGGGACTCGATCAAATAAGACTTCGCTAAGAAAACTCCTATTTCATTTGTATACTTAAGATATGGTGATATTTTTATGATTTTTTTTCTTCTATGGTCATTTCAAGTCTCTAAAGGTGTCATTACAACATCGAAATAAAGCTGAACTGTTCTCCGGTGCACCGTAACGTCATAAAACGTTGCCATTTTTCGTGTGTTGTGTTTACCACTTTCCCATTTCGAATGTTCGAGAAACTGCCAAAAGTTAACCAAATGCCTTAAAATTTTTTACAAAGACTACAAAATTGACTGTGGAATTGAATTAGGATAATTTTAATCCAAATCTTATGTATTTAAAACTTTTATTTTGAATTCAAACTTGTGTATTCTTTAATAAAACCTTGGTTTTTTGTCCGTGCGCCGTAGGACAATACCCCGTGCACATTCAAGCATAATGAAATCTTTATTTTTGCCTATATTTTATCAAAAAAATTATCATGCACTTAAATATGATAAATAAACATTTACTGAAATTTTCAGCTTAGTGCGCCCATTACTTTTCAAGAAAAACGTTTTGTCCATGATTTTACGGGACAACCCTCGTACTTAAACATAGTTCAAATATGGATTTGCCAGTTGCCATTGCATTGGACACTGTGTTTCATAAAATGACTAAAAAGTTCATGTACTAAAAGACTGCTTATTCTTTAGAGCCCGATTCAGACATGTTACAGAAGAGTGTGGTGGATAAAGAGGTTTACTTTGCTGAGCTGGACAAGCTGAGGCCACAGGCTCCATCTTTACTGGCCCTCCTTAACAACATCAGACAGAAGCTCAGAGCCATGGATCCCAATGACACTAGGGTTTCTACTTACAAGTCAGTAACTCAAACAGAAGTTGACATCATCTATTTGGAACATGTATTGGTACTATTAGGAGTAAACATTATGGTTTATACAAATAATGCTGTGTTCATCTGAGCATATTTGTCACCACAAGTGAAAGAAAACAACAAAAAATATTTTTACCCATAAGTACCTGTTAAATACTGGGTAATTCTAATGAAATCCAGTCAAAGCATCCCCTAATCCTTCTGTAATTACCGCCACCCCCTTCCCAAAATTCTATCAAAATAGGGTTGGGGGTGCTTTGCCCAAAACCAGGAGACGCTTTGACCAAAATCAGGAGGCATTAATTTTGACCATTTCTTGGGAACAGTAAAGAATTTTTTTATTTAAAAATATGTTGGGGGCGCTTTGACCAAAATCAGGGGACGTTTTGACCGGTATTTTTTCTATAAAAATATGTAAGGGGGTGCTTTGAACAAAATCAAGGGGTGCTTTGACTAAAATCAGGGGACGCTTTGACCAATATTTGGGGGCGGTATTTTTTCTAGAAAAGTATGTTAAGGTTCGCTTTGACTTCAATCAGGGGACGCTTTGACTAAAATCAGGGGACGCTAAAATCATGGCACAGTGTCCCGCTTTGACTAAAATCAGGGGACGCTTTGACCAATATTTGGGGGCGGTATTTTTTCTAGAAAAATATGTTGGGGGGCGCTTTGACTTAAATCAGGGGACGCTTTGACCAATATTTGGGGGCAGTATTTTTTCTATAAGAATATGTTAGGGGGCGCTTGACCAAAATTTGGGGGCGCTTTGACTAAAATCATGGGACGCTTTGTCGGGGACGTTTTTATTAGGGGGCTCTTTGACTGGCTCCCATTTTAATTTAATATTGCTTACAGATTCTGTAGAATTACACACAGAAACTAATGGAAAATATCTTCACATAATGAAATATGCACTGTTTTGTACACAAGTGGAAATATTTTGTCAAATTTCTTTTTTTAACATGTAGTAACGATATAGAATTATTAAGTGTTAAGAAATACTGTATTTTTCTAACAGAGGAGTCATCCATCAGATGTGTCGAGTGCTTGTATTGGTTCACAAGAAGGACCCTGGGGTCAGCATTCCCTCTGATGCACTGGGTCTGATAGAATGGGCCAAACAGATGTTGGAAGATAATCAGATTGGGAATCAGGTACCTAAAACTTATTTTACTATCATAGTGTCAATGATTGGTTTATAATCAAAACAAATCTTTTTGATACTGTCTTTACTATCCAAATATTCAAATTGATAAATATTTATTTCTGTTTTATTTTATTTCTGGATGATGCTCTGATCATGTCTTATTGACATTTTGAATTGAGTGTTTAGGGAATCATTCTTTGAAATATTTTGTGGTTTCCTAAATAAGAAAAATAAAATCTCACAATATTTTAAATCCATTGTCATCACTAGAATCGGAGAAAGATGCACACAATTTAAATGATAATCAATGATAAGTGAAGTAAAGGATCCATGCACATGACTGATTTGAGTGATTTCAGCTTCAAAGTATTTTTTTCATTTTAGGAGCAGAATGGCTCTGGTGATTCAGCAGATGCAGCAGGGAGCAAGATCTCTTACATCGACGTCCCAGAAAAAAGGCAGAACCACCAGTATGCTGTGCCTAATGTCACACGAGCGGAGAGTGACAGCAACATTGCCTCACAGGCCAGCTATTACAGCAGTGCCCCAGTCCCTGTCGAGTATCACAGTCACACGCTGCCATCTTATGCCAAAATACGCAATTCTGTTTCCACATTACTGCCAGATAAAAACAGAAACAAGAATGAAAGTGTTAAAAAATCCACACAAAATACTGTGCTCAGTTCCAAGAGTAATGATTTCTCCTCAGGCTATTTTAGAAATGGTCATTACTATGATCCTGGACCTAATCCAGAAATCTATGCCCCTGCTAGTTCATACAGTGATCGCAGCACTAAGTTGTTGACAACGTTTCAGTCTGACATTAGGAGGACACCATCCATTTCTTCTTCTGTGTCCTCAGCTGGTGGGTAGGTACCTGTATTTTCCTTGTATGGGTCATATTGGAACTTTTAGTGCCTTGCTTAGAAGTTATCACATACTTGTCTTTGATTCCTAACCAATTTCAATTTAATGGGCAAATAATACAGGTGGTACACAACTACATGTTCAATTATTACAAAGATATATGTTAGATAATTGTGTGTGTCACTATCAGTAGAATTATATAAGTAGGCAGTCAGAAGGAATTCTGTAAGTACGATAAAAATGTTTGCTCTTTTTTTACTAGGGTGACAAGAGACGAAGCTGATGATGAGAGTGTAAACAATGACCCCCTTCCTTTTGATCCTAAGGATGCCACAGAGCCCGTAGAAGTTTAACATTCTACATCGTGTTGATCCTAAGGATGCCACAGAGCCGGTAGAAGTTTAACATTCTTCACCAAGCTCCGGAAAGAAATGTCTGCCATCATGATGAGGTTTTTTTTCATGATTTTTGTCCAAAAACATTCCACACGTTTAATTTTTTTTTTTGATGTTACTTACTTTATATCAGTTTGAAAAGGTGTCAGTACGTATATTTGGTCTACTTGTACATGTATGTCTCTGTAAATCATACTTAACAATCCACTTTACAGGTACAGTGTAATCCATTATTTAAGTTCATATCTGTTGGGTATTTATATCGATTTAGCAATTTTTAAATTTACATTTTTCCCCTCTTAATTTTTGCAATATGGTTGTGATTTTTCAAAGTTGTTTTATTCTGGTACCCTATTGTACAATTCCTCTATTTATATTTGTTTTATGTGCATTTATAATTTCTTTATCAGTTTAATTAAGAAAAAAGTGAAACAATGATATTTACATATGTCCATTCATTTGTTTTATATACAATGTATCAACAAAGCACAGTTGAACTGCTATTTTACACATAAATATTTTAATGATGGGAGCCCCAATTGCTTTTTTTTTAATTTAATATAAAATGTTTTTTAACCCAAATATCTCAAATTCATGAAGATTTTGATAATCATATTTATAGTTTATGGCCTCGTGCGTCCTCCGGGGCACTGAGAGGATAAGAAATATATAGTTTGATATAAGGATGTTCTGACTGAATCTTTTCAGATGTAAATTGTTTACTTTTGACAAAAAATTAGGTCTTTATAAGCCAGATTGTATATTAATATTTTAAACATGCTGTATTAAAAAATTGCTTTTTTGCTTCTGATTTTAGAATGAAATATTTCATGCTCTTATTAAATTCAATATTAATGCTCTTACGATCTGAGAGGTTTTAATTTTTTTGGTTTGTTTGCTTTTGTAACCTTTTGCAGTTGTTTAACTTGAACAGAATTTGCATGTCCATTATTTCTGTGTAATTTTGTAAAATGTCATTTGCTATCATTTGCCAATTTATTTTGCGTTTATTGGGATGGGGATGCAGGGAGTAATAAGAATGTGTTTATATATGTTGTAATCAACTCTCTCTCTCATTCAACTAAAATAAGGTATTTTACATAAATTGTCATCTGGAGGTCAGCTGGTATGTTCTTTTTATTACTTTCTTTAGTCTGTAAGGACAACAAGGTTGGTTTGGTTAAAATTTTATGGTACATGTACCTTTATGCAATAAATTGTATCTGTATAAGCTTTTGCATCTCACAATATGTAATACATAATAATGTTTATTATTATCCATTTATGACTTTTAGGTGCTATATTCACTTCTGGTGTGATATTAAATTTTGTATTTTAGATTACTTGCTTACTATGCTTTTTAAATTTTCATGCGAGGGTCAAGATTTAAAAGAAATAATCACTTCTGTATTGTAACTCGGTCAAAAACTTTTATCAAGCAATTGCTGCCTTATGCTTGTGTTCTTTCAAAGCTCAACTGATTGCATTATCTGCAACAATTTTAGCAATAAGCAACCATACCATTTAGTTTTTTTAGCTCACCTGGATGAGGTCAAGATGAACTTACAGTATGTCCCAAATAAAGTTTGAAGAGCAAGTCCACTGTCCAGAAACTCCAAGTCATTCTTGGACCTGGCCAAACTGGAATGGATAAGGCATATAGGGATGCTCACCACCAGATATGATTTGGAAACCTAGATCTATTCTACATTTTTCAGATTAATGACCAGCTTACAGTTTTTGGAGCAAGTCCATTCCCATCAAGTACTGTAAACCAACTTTTATTCGCTAGCGAGAAATATTCGCGTTTCGCAAATCAACTTTAATTCGCGAATATAAATTGCCGCAAACCATTTATTTTGCTTTGTATTTGTATGGAATAAATCCTCAATCGCGAAAAATAATCATCGTGGATCAATTTCAAACTGACAAATGGCAAATAAAAGTTGGTTTACAGTAACTGTGAGTCCTGTGATGACTTAATTTGAAGGGGTAATGATACTTAGGATGCACGCCACCAGACGTGCTGAATCTGAAGTACATTTTCTTGATGAACAATGCATGAAAGTTTTAGGTATAATACAATACTATTTTGTGAATTACAGCTATTGCTACACCTTAGCCCTTTGGTATTCAAACTTGCAAGGAATATGTATTTGGGATACACACTACCACTTTCAATGTTGCAACTGACCTTCATTTTTTTGGTGAGGGAACAGGTAAGAGTTGGTCCATTTCCAAGTAACTGTAAGCCTCATACAGACATGCTTTGCAAGTATTTTATTAGTAGGATTGCACACTTCCAAAACATTTGCTTTTGTGTAAGATTTTTCCATACTTGTACATAATATTCATCAAGGTGAGCTTTGTTATATTTGAAGACCTGTGTGACATGTGAAGATCTTTTTTCCTCATATAATGGTACTTGTACTGGGTATTTCATTTAACATTAATGCATTTTCAAGCAATTTGCATTTATTTAATTTTAAATTAAAAATTAATTTCATTAGAACATTAATGCATTTTCAAGCAATTTGCATGTGGTAGCCTTTTACTCTTTTGAGACAATCATGAGCGTTTATAAAGCTGACTGCTTAATTTTTAAGATATCTTTATAGAGATCTTTGTGGGGAAATCCTTTATATACTTAGTGGTATGCCTGTCTGTATCATATTTTATATTACTATGTTAAAGCAATTATCTGGTGCTTGTAGTTGTGCCCTTTAAGGTCATCTGACAGTTATAAAGTAATGTGGTTCATTTTCCTTTATACATGTAAATACAATTTTATTTGATGAATCAATGCATTTATGGATGATTATGAAATTCAGATATGAAATGTGATGAACTGAAAGTTTATGGGTTTTTTTTTTTATTGTGAAAATGAAATGAAATATGGTTGAAAAATTAGAGACTCATGTGCTTTGTTTCAATAAATGAGTCTACTTTTACCAGTACTATAAAAATGAACTTGATATAATTTTTAAAGTTTTTAAAAAGTTTTATTTGATTTAAAATTTCAAGTGAGAGTTGTAATCATAAAGAGGTGTATATGAATTTCTATACATGTATCTGTGATGAAAAAAAATTCTGTGGTATATGGGTATTATTTCAGTGTAGCTATATTGTAAAGAATATGATATTACATGTAATACTATTATGTAATACTATTTTAATGTTTCATACTAAAATTCAAATATATATTTATATAACACATTATTTAAAATATGTGATACACAATGTACCATATTTTTGTTGTTTTGAATGCCTTATTTTGGTAATGTAGCAAATATAGCTATTATAATATTATGTTACAGTAGATATTGGTTTTTAAAATCAAACTTATAATCTGTTGGGAAATTTCCTGTAGGGTGTTACAATTGCTTATCTTATCCAACTTAAATGTATCTCAATTTTATTAATTTATTGTTACATTGTACACTTAGTAAAAGTTGTTAATTACATTCCCTTTTCTTTATATTTTTTTTATATTGTTGGTATCATTGTGAACATGTGTCTAAGACAAGCAAATTCAAAATCAAATGCAGACAAACTTTGTAGACATTATATAAAGTGTTAAACTAGTCAGATTAACAAACCGTCACATTTTGAAAAACCAAAAACTCTCATTGACTCCTGTCTCTTGTTAAATATTACACATCATTTTTGGATGAAACATTGTAAACATTTCCTAGAAAATTGTATTTCTTTGCGAGAATCTTCAGCTAAAGGGAGGTAACTATCAAAGTGCAGAAAAATCATCACATGACCTTGTTGCTTTGTGTCATTTCCTATACATTGCTGGTAGTTGCAGGTTAATGTTTATTTTATATATTAACTGTAATATTTTATTGATGTGTCTTTAATATATGTGAAGTATTATTTAATAAAATAACAGTTTGCTTTTTTTTTCTTTTTTTTCTTTTTTTTTTTGGAATGCTGCCATGATACCTTAACAATTATGGAGAATACATTAAATTGCACTTCAACAATATTTATGATTAATTTTGACATTTTTAACACTTGCACAGACAAAAATACATGTATTATTGTTCTGCAATAGTACATGTATTTACACATGTACACTGTTGTAATTGCAGTCAAGATGAAGTGCATAGAAATTATTCTTATTAATAAATAGAATTGTATAGGGATATGACTTGAAGTTGGTCATGAGAGTAAAATCTATGCCTGTTATATGGTAAATTTGATCTCAAACCAATTTCCATGTCACATCCCAATGCAACTCTAAAAAAAATCTTATCTCTTATATTTAATTCTATTTTGATGTTAGACAGAAAAACTTTCACTTTATCTACTCCATTTTGGAACTGCAACCTAAATACATATACAGGTATGAAGTGATGTCACTGTCTAGACTTTCAAAATATCCTGTGCAGATTGCTTCTCTTAAGCAACTAAGTCTGATCAACTTTTAAAATGTCTTGTGCAGTTTGCTTCCAATAAGCAACCAAGTCTGATCCACCAAAAATTCAATGTCAATTAAGGTTACTATTTTTATTTAAAGAAACACATTGATATAATGTAAATTGTTTGGAAGCACCATGAAACTACATTGATGTAGGGTTTAGGCCATTCCAAGTTTTTTCTATGTTTAGCGTCCGCGTGCGCCTTGGTTTTTGACATCCCATGTCAGAAAAAAAAAAAAGAATCAGGAGTCCGAAAATTAATTATTCAGGTCAAAATTTGTGATTTCCAGCAATATCTCTAAATATTTGTATAATATTTTATTATTGGAATAGTTTCAATATTTAATACCTTGATTTTGCTGACGAAAATAACTTTCTTTATGAAAACTAGATAAATGAAATCATATCTTTTGAATTACGTCATTCTTATTACTATAAACATGATTAAATATGTGTTGTTTTTTTTTGACTTGTGTGTTTTTTGCGAATAGGTAGGTAGGTTTTTGAAAGATGGGTGGATGCTAAACAGAGAAAAAACTTGGAATGGCCTTATATGAAAAGATCATTTATACGTCAGATGAAAACAAAGCAGTTTTTAGCTCACCTGACCTGAAAGCTCAAATTCTTTTCTGATTACCTGTTGCCAGGGGTCCGTTTCAATTTCTTTTCAAGAATCACTAGGCCAATTTTAACCAAAGTTGGCATATTGCATCCTTGTTGAAGGGGATTTTAAAATTTATGTTGAAAAGCCAAGCCACCTTTCAAGGGGAGATAATTAAGAGAAGGTAAAAACAGGTTGATGGGAAGGATGAGGACTGACTCCTGACTCCTTATCCCCAGAAACCATGAGAAGCGACTCTCGTCTACTTAGCCCTGATTAACCAAGGATCTGGGCTGACTTGTCTACAAATAAACCAAGGATCTATATAGCCCTGATGAAGCAAGGATCTGGACCAACTTGTCTACACAGCCCTGATGAAGCAAGGGTGAGGACCGACTCTTCTCTACATAACCCTGATAAACCAAAGGTAAGGACCAACTTTTGTCTTAACTTAGTCTCCAGAAACTATGGGTGTATACTGACTGCTGCCCCCGAGATACCAAAGGTATGGCACGCCAAATTCACAAAAATGAGATAATCATAGTTTCACAATCGATAAACTAGGTTTATTGGTTTTAAACTATAGTTAACGGACTAAACTATAGTTAACGACGTTAATCTATATTTTACATTTGTTAACCATAGTTAACCCGATAATCTATGTTTCACAACCGTAAACTATATTTAACACCGAAAACAATCATTTGCGATCGCAAAACATAAATTATCTGATAAATACAGTTTCACGATTTGTAAACTATGGTTTACAACTCTTAACTATAGTTAACGATCGTAAATTATAGTTTACAGACGTGAATCTATGTTTATCAACAAAATCTATTGTTAACGTTTTATTACAGACATATAAACTTAGATTATCATTCGTAAACTATAGTTTACAACCCATAAATATAGTTTTACAGACGTGAATCTATGTTTATCAACAAAATCTATTGTTAACATTTTATTACAGACATATAAACTTAGATTATCATTCATAAACTATAGTTTACAACCCATAAATATAGTTTTACAGATGAAAATTATAGTTAACGAATTGTTAACTATAGTTCGCAGTTTGTAAACTATAGTTTACAGTTGATAAACCTAGTTTATCAATTGTGAAACTAGGTTTAGCTCATTCTGTGAATTTGGCGTGCCATAGTCCCTAGAAACCAAAGGGAATTTTTATATTCTTTATGCTAAAGACTTCTCAGATATTTAACATCTCTATTCTATATCATGCTTAATATTGCTAGTTAGTAAATACATGTAGAAGTTTAAGATGACAACAAGAATTATTTATCTAATATACCCCCATCTGTCATTTTATATAAATGAAAAGAGAAACCACAAAAATAAGTGTTTATTGAAATATGAAATTGAAAAAGCAATCTTAACACTCAAGTTTTTCAATTATATAATTGTGAACATCTTTTCCCAATGATAATTTAAGAAAACTGAAAAAATAAAAAGCATGCTTTTAAAAAAAAAAAAAAATATTTTCAAAGTGATTTAAACTTGATCTCAAACACTGTAAAATGCATCAACTGAATGATCACAAAATACGACATCTGTGGATATAAATAAATAACAATGAAAGTACATAGACATGTGCAAAAGTGCAAACAACAAATACATAATGTGTATATAGATATATTGCAAAAATAATACTGATAAAATGTCCTCACAACTGGAAGAAGAATAAAATAAACCAGCCACCATACAGTTTTCCAAAGATAAACAACAATACTCACATAGAAATATAAATTCCTATCTTAACATGCATATCAAAGATAACATAAATCACCTCAAAATATTCTCCAGCTTTGAAAATCACACAAGTTTAGATTATATCAAACTGCTTTAGTCAACAGCAAATCTTGAATAAATGGCAAATACTTTAATCTGCATGAGTTATCTTTTCAAGCAAAGAATTAAAAGATAAGAAATTGAATAGAAAAATTAGGTTACACAAAAAAAGGCATGCATTACAATTTATCTCTATTTCTTACGGTTGACCTTTCTTATAGCAAGTAGATCATCAAATCTAGAAGGGCGTCCTTCACCAGCATATAATGGTGTACTGCGTCCTATAGAATTTAATTCTTGTCGAAGATTATGCCAGGTGCTAGGGAGAATTGGACCATTACGACTGTGGTCATATTGCCTTCTACATCTCTCTGTTCCAATCCAGTTGTAAATGCATCTACATTAATGGGGAGATTACATCTATTATTTGAACATTTGAAGAAAAGTTACTTCCCACATTTTCACACTAATATATGAACCAAAAAACATTTGCATAAGGCATTTATTTATGGAAGTGCTTTCTTCCTGACAACACAAGTTAAAATGCAGTTTCCTTTGTGGACTAGATCTGTTTTGTTTTTTTTTTAAATTGAAAAATGTTGCTTATTTAAACTTTAAAGTGTGGTTTTCTAGGAGGCAGTTGAGTTATTGGTTTTTCGTGTTCATATTCCTTAGGATGCAGTAAAGGAAACACTTTGTCCTCAGGTGTATTGTCAGCTTTCCTATGATAGATTCTGTGAGCTGGCAAGATTATTCTGAAAAATTGAAAACAAGCTAGTGTTTGGGTAGATTTCTTGAAATGTTTTCTTACCACTACGAGCTGGTGAAGAACCCCGTTTCTGCATTGGGTTATATTTCTACATTGTTAGATCAATTTTAAAATCTAAATCTTTAACAGGAGCTGTGTGCATTTTTGAAAAACATATAATCATTTTCATGAAATTTCATCCCATCACAACAAACTCAGAATCAATCCAGTAAAACACACACAGCTCCTGTGGTAAACATGCAAAATAAATAACAGGTTATAAAAGCACTGTAAAAAAAAACGTAACAATTAAAAAAAGCTGTAGTACAGAGTATTAGATGCACTTTTATGTAATACTGATATTGGGTGTGACTAGTTGAATAAGGTTCCACAAATTAAAATCAACTACAGTATATGACACAAATTATAACAATGAAAAATAATGCTTTAGAAATACTGTACGGCATGTTACTAGCTTTGAGCAAATACATCAGGTTTTGTTAATCTGTTAGCAACATCTACAATTCTCCAAATTGGAAGGGATAAAATATCTCAATAGAAAAAAAGAAAAATTGGCAAAATACAAACAAACACACACACAAACATATACAGGAAAAAAATCTACATATTAACAACATTTAGCACCCAACATGATTTTTTTTTTTCAAACGATGAATCGATAGTGATCGAATGCCATAAATCTAAACAAAATAAACAGCCATTGTTTAATCAAAGTCATACGGGTGAAGTATCTTAAAAACCATATTACGCTTTATGTTTCTAATTGATTCTGGTGGAGGTTTTTTAACAGGCAATTGTTTCTTAGGTAAAGGTTTATTCTTCTTTGCTTGAGCTTTTTCTCCTAGAGTGGCCTCAATTTCATTCCTACAAAAAGTCCAGGAAACCAAGGCTAATTTATCACTGTCTTCATTTAAAAACAAAAAAGTTAAATAAAAAAAAAGACAGTACCAAAAGTCAACAAAAATGTAAATTTTCAGTCACTCTGGTGTTGCTTCAATAACTTGCATGTGGAACTTTCCATTGACTTGCTGGTCTATATTGTATTTGTCTAGTTTAAGATTCATCCTACGATTGTTGCGATTTTCATCATTCGTGTAATCAGAATTATCTTTTCCTGGGTAAATGCATGCAAAAGCCTTGTCAACATGAGGATAAAAATTATCACGATTTCTATAACGATTTTGAAAACCTTCACCGTTGACTCGAAACCTGCACAGTTCACTCCTACAATTAATGCAAAGCAGGATGTAAATTACAGTGATTCTTTCCCTTTACCTATTTCAAACTTCGATGAACACACAAAACACACCAAACCCATCATGAAAACTCAAAAGTAAATTTAAATTATAATACACTATATTTCCTGATATATAGAACATCTTAAAACTAATAAAGTTATATCAATATATGCATGAAAGTTGTTCATTTATACACATTATATCAGTGTATGAATTGTACTTATATTATAGTGACATCACTGATCATGAGTTATTATGGTAAATCTGGATGTGTGATAAGGAAAAAAAGAGTATTCATGATGTTATACAGGATACTGTGAAATCAAACAAGTGATTACATCTTCTATCACACAGATATACATAGCCATTCAACACCATAAGAAAGTTGTGGCTTCTAAAGCTACCTGTACTACACAATAACCAAAATCCATATGTAATTAATCCATACACCAAAATAGTAGTTCCTTATAAACACCACAAGATTGTTACTAGGTATTGAGGAGGTATACAGGTGATAATATACACAGAAAGTCAGGTTAATACCCAGAATACACTAATACACAAATTTATCAGATTTCATTTTGGAAAGAGAGGAGTATTATTTAAGGGAAACTATATGTAAATTTTAGATTGTAAACCAGCAAGTCATAAGGATTGGGTGTAATCATGTTTATAAGCATGAATGTAAATAAATATTTAATATAATGTGAATTTACAAAACATGCACTAAAAGTGGGATAAACTGTGCATGTGTTGAAACACTCGAAGAAAAAAGACATAAAGCTACATGCAATTTTACCATATTAATAGAGAATTATACAGGTTAATATACAAGAAACATTATCTATTATTTAAGCCAAAATATCAACATACATTTTTGTAAATAACAGCTCCAGGGTACATAATTCTATAAATAGGATCAACATGCAAAGGGGGTTCACCCTCTTCCTTAAGTATTCTATAATTAAAGTTAGGGTCATGAACAACCTCCTGCAAAACCACACTCATCTCTCTATGCGGTTTTGGTGGCAGCGATCCACTGCATCTAAAAGGGCAGAAAGGTGTCTGTTAAGTCCTCTGACAATCAGGAAACATGCATTTTTACTCATGCTATCTAAGGATTTGCCACATAAATTAAACATCCAATACTATGTGGATTTTTTTTTAATTTTCAATATTCATTGACATCTATTACAATCATGCATTATATGTGTGGCTACTTTCTTAGTTATTAGTTTTACAATGTGCCATCTTCTCCCACAAAAATTTTGTTCATGCAGATTTGAGGTTGATATGATATATGACATCACATATATGTGCTTTTGTGCATTTCTGTGGCCACTAGATTACTAAAAATGACTTTTAAAGTTCAATAACACATTTATACAAAGTGTACAGTAAAAATTTACATTGAAGGTCATATCAAAAATGAGCATTGTGGAATCTTCAGAAGTTTATTCAGACAAACACCAACATGTAAGATGTATATAAATCAGAGATAATAATATGAAATTTGAAGAAAAAAAGGCAGTAAAAACGCAGGGAAAAGATTCCTATAAAATAAACTTAACTACGGTAACTAAATAAAAATGTCACTGTAAACACTTATTTTCAATAAAATAGCACATGAGATGCTGATGAAAAATTAACTGGGATAAATAATTGACTATATTAAAAAGGAAAGAGAGGTGTAGTAAACTTTTTTTCAATTTATTGTTTAAATAAGATTAATACAATATTAGTTGTTTTTTTAATTTTGATTTAAAATAATCTACCCATGGTTTAATGTGCAAAGAACAATACTGTATGTTAAGTAATGTCAAGAGGTTAATTATGTACAGTGTAACGTATTTTCTTTAAATTCAAATTGTCCACTATTAATAAAGAAAAAAAAGTCAAGTTTTACCTGTTTGTGTCATAATCACCAGGACCAGTGAATAAAATGGTGTTTTTAGCATTGCTTTGCTCAATATTCTCCACAGAGTCCTAAATTAAAAATAAAATTATATCAAAATTATTTAACAATTGTTTCCTTTGATTGCAAATTTACTCAGCTTTCAACTTTAAGCGAATAAATAGAGACTCATGTGTTATTAACATTGACATGACATCCATTTCTTGTTAACAAAAGGGGTCATTTTTCAAGTTGGAAATAAAAGTCGCATCTTCTGATACTGTTCTAACATGGACCTTTCGCATGTACAAATATATGTACATAAATGTCTGTCAGAAAGAAACCCACCTGATTACCACCATTCATCATTTTGTCAAGGGCGGCTTTCTTTCTGTCTATAACTCTCTGGCGTCTCAGTGCCTCCATGTGATAAGCGGATTCAGCCATTTTTCAATCCTGTGTATCTCTAGCTCAGAGCCTTCAGCGTTCCGTTTCCAAGAGAGACACGCAGGCGCTAAAATACAGGATGTTGGTGTTAGTTGATATAAGCGATATGTAATATACTTTTATTGATAGATTTTTGTGGGTTATAGAAACATAACATGTTTTGAATTTGGAAAATTTGAATGGTTTGTGTTTTTTTCTATCATAATACCCAGTATCTACATATTTGTTATAAATTAAATGATATAAGCGATCTTACATTTGGGGTTTCAGATTGTTCTGGAAAGGACCCCGGTTCCTGCGCAAAAATCGGCAAAGTTTGACATTTATGCGCATCTGTGCATGTGCTAGGCCGAACGACCGAAAAAACCCTTTCATCTAATATAATAACAAATTTGACTGTAAATTATATCGATTCTAATGTATATATAGTCATTTTGAACCCCCGATCCTTGATTTGAAGATAATTGAGGTAGGTGGACTTTTTTCAAGGAAAAAAAATGGAGGTTACAAGTTAACCTCGTGTGCCTTCCTTGTTCTCTTTTACTTTGTTCTGAATCGAAAAATAAATCTTTCCTCGCTAATGTTCAGCTTCAAAACATAAGTTTGTGATAAATTGTATAATTGATGATGTTTTAAATTCGGATTTCAATTACTTTCAGTTTCTGTTCGAATTTCTGTCGTAACTGATTTGTTTTTTGTTTATTCATGTTTGTGGAGATGGAAATCGTTGAACTTGAGTATATTTTTATATCGTTAAGATCGATAATTGAAAATTTAGATTATTCTTATATGATTATACTTATTATTCTAAAGAAATTTATGAAATAACTCAGAATTTTGCCAGTACAAGCACCCTTTTATAATCCGAGATTCCTCTGACTTGAATCCTGGATGTTACGATTTGACATGTAATATGATGCAAATGGGAGGCATTACATGTGTAATGGTTTGGGCCATGGATATCGGCCTAGGTTGGTCGGTCGAGCATCTGACTAGTGATGCAAGGGTCATGGATTCATCTCCCGGTCCAGCCATAGATTTTCTCAGATATGCCATTGACCACCCCAGGACTTGCAGGTGAAAGTCCTGTCAGGGGTTAATAAGAACTTGGATTGTCTCTTCAAGGGAAAAGGCAATATAAGGAGGGGGAATGTAATGGTTTGGGCCGTGGATATCGGCCTTGGTAGAACAGTTGGTAGAGTACTTGAATAGTGATGCTGGAGGTCACGAGTCTGATTCCTAGTCTAGTCATACATTTTTCCTTTCCTGTACTTCAAAAACGAAGTTCCTCGCTACTGATGCAACTTTTTAGCTCACCTCAACGAAGTTGGGGGAGCTTATGTAATACCCTCGGCGTCGGCGTCGGTGTCGGCGTCGGCGTCGGTGTCGGCGTCCACGTCGGCGTCGGCGTCCCAGGTTAAGGTTAAGTTTTTTGGAGCAGTTTTCTTTTTAAGTACTTCTATGTCCTATATTGATTAAACATGCATGGAAGATGGTTCTAGTGTGTTTCATTGTACCAGTCAAAGTTTCAGATGCTGCAATTTCAGCAAAGGAATGACTAGGTTAATGTTTTTGGAGCAGGTTAACATTTTTGGTGCAGTTTTTGGTGTAAGTTTCATTTCCAAGTAACTATAATCCCTATGTTGACCAAACTTGCATGGATGATACATCTTAGGATGGATACTACCGGGCTTGCTTCGGATGCTGAATCTGACCTACATTTTCCGGTTGAGTGAACAGGTTAAAGTTTTTGGTGTAGGTTTCATTTCCAAGTATCTATAATCCCTATATTGACCAAACTTGCATGGATGATACATCTTAGGATGGATACTACCGGGCTTGCTTCGGATGCTGAATCTGACCTACATTTTCCGGTTGAGTGAACAGGTGAAAGTTTTTGGTGCAGGTTTCATTTCCAAGTAACTATAAGTCCTATGTTGACCAAACTTGCATGGATGATACATCTAAGGATGGATACTACCGGGCTTGCTTCGGATGCTGAATCTGACCTACATTTTCCGGTTGAATGAACAGGTGAAAGTTTTTGGTGCAGGTTTCATTTGCAAGTAACTATAAGCCCTATGTTGACCAAACTTGCATGGATGATACATCTAAGGATGGATACTACCGGGCTTGCTTCGGATGCTGAATCTGACCTACATTTTCCAGTTGAGTGAATAGGATAAAGTTTTTGGTGCATGTTTCATTTGCAAGTAACTATAAGCCCTATGTTGACCAAACTTGCATGGATGATACATGTAAGGATGCATACTACCGGGCTTGCTTCAGATGCTGAATCTGACCTACATTTTCTGGTTGAGTGAACAGGGTAAAGTTTTTGGTGCAGGTTTCATTTGCAAGTATATATGAGCCCTATGTTGACCAAACTTGCATGTTTGATACATCTAAGGATGCATACTACTGGGCTTGCTTCAGATGCTGAATCTGACCTACATTTTCCAGTTGAGTGAACAGGTTAAAGTTTTTGGTGCATGTTTCATTTGCAAGTAACTATAAGCCCTATGTTGACCAAACTTGCATGGATGATACATCTAAGGATGCACACTACCGGGCTTGCTTCGGGGATGTTCCGCTTGAGTGAACAGGTTAAAGTTTTCATCAATAGATGAAAATTCTCAAATTTGCTTCATATGCTGGATTTTGATTACATTTTCATGAAGAAGAACTAGTTTAAATTTTTTATGTAGGTCTATTTCAAAGTATCAGATAAAATTGCTTAAATATTTTCATTTTTGGAATGTACACTTTTTGTTGGTTAATTGTGTGACTTTGCCTTACTTAAAGACAACATTCGTTGAGGTGAGCTCTGTAATCTCTGATTACCTATGTTTTGATATCGAAAATGCACTGTAAAATAGGGCTGTGTATTGAGCAAATTATTTCAATACAATACAGTACAATATTTGATAAATGCAATATGCTATATATTGGATTCTTTAAAAAAAATTATCAAAAAAGTCTTGCAAATCAATTTGAAGGGGGGGAAAAAGTGTTTTATAACCATGTTTGAAGTTCTTGATTGTCTTTACAAGATACCCTTCAACTTTAAACATTTATTGACCAAAACTAACATGTTTGGTGCATTAGATTTGAAGAAAATGTTTTACTACTTCCAAATGGATGTGAATTTTGCCTCTTAGTTATTTTTTCTGGTCTAGCTGAAGTCATACATATTTCAAAGGATCGAAAAATGCAGTGAATGCTGATCAGTCTTATGAGATTAATTTGATCAGGGTCCAAAAATGTAAATAGCGAGAAAGACGCTTTGAGAAAAGAAAAAATATTAGACAAGGTTGTAAAATAACACTATTTAAGATTTATTATTTCAAATTTCTGTCTGCCCACTACTGTTTGTGCTTTTGTTTTCTAACTTGACAAAGATATTTTCACATATATATAAAGTTTGAAATAGATTTGATGACAGATGTTAAGTGCATTTTGGGGATGTAACAATGTTGCTACAATACATGGTGCTTTGTCATAATTCATGACCATGTCATGATATTTATCACAATATTTCACATAACTTATTATATTTATGCCCCCCTTCAAAGAAGAAAGGGCATATTGCTTTCCTGCTGTCCGTCTGGTCCACCATCAGTTTCCGTTCATGTTCTTTGCAGAGATTGCACATATTGAAATGAAATTTAGTATACAGATTTATTATAAGAATATCTAGGTCAACTTGTGTTAGGAGTACAATCAGGCCATTTTGGATAGAGTTATGCCCCTTTGACTTAGAAAAATTCCAATAATTTGCAGTTAATGTTCATTTTTGGATACAATCAAGCCATTTTTGAAAGAGTTATGCCCAATTGACTTAAATAAATTCCAAATATTTTGGGGTTTGTTTGTTTATTCAGGAAAATGGCACATGGAACATAAGATTAGTACATAGAAACATTAAGTTGTCACATGAAATCATGAAATCGTAAAATTTAGTAAAATATACATTGTTCGTAGAACACTAGCATTATATTATAAAAGACAGGTACTTAAGAGAAACATTTAGATCAGTGTATCTAAATGAGACTAAGAAAAGAACTATATATTTTGTGTACTGTGTACAGCCATTTACCCGAGGATGACCCATGAAAGCCATAATATGCTTATTTCCAATGGGGTCCTCTTTCCAATGGGATGGGGGGGGGGGCATAACTGTTTTATAAACATGTCTTGTTCTTTTTTTTCAATTAGAAAGTATCACACTATAAGTATTACACAGTCAAAGGATAATTTTCAACAAGTTCATAAATCATTATATCACATTGAAAGAAGCTCTGAACATAGTTAAAGCACTATTTATGTGAATAAAGAAAATCACTCTTTTTCAGGTTATTCTAAAAAGAAGATAAAATTTTGTTCAAAATGTTTCATATCCATAAATAAAACACAGGTATACTGTTTTTGCACTGGAATACAGTACTTTGTATGTGTTTGCTGATCTTCGTATACCAATAAATAGTTGCACCCTTATTGCAAGTGAATAAATCTTGATTTCTGTGTTGGCATTCTTTTCAGATTACTTAACAACAAAGTCATGGTCATGGAAACCCCAAGCCCACAGTGTGTTGGCCGAGAGTTTGTTAGGCAATACTACACCCTGCTTAATGAGGTCCCACTGCATTTACACAGGTAGGATTGAAATTGTTCAGTTTATCCAGTATTGATAGAAATATATGTCTTTGATTAAGGAAAATTTGGATACTAGCCGCATGTTACATGCAAACATGAATAAGATGTTGCAAGGCATTCAAAAGTAATATTTTAGAAAAAGAAAGCCATGGATAATAATAAAAGAAAATTTCTAGTTAATTATAATCATGTTTTAATATTCTAGAAGTAGTATAAAAATCTCTGCAATGTTGACCAATCTGGCCTATTGGTGTCTGGATTAACAAGTTAACAAAGTGTTTTACGCAGATGATATTAATGTAACTTTTTTTTTGGTGCAGATTCTACAGTCACAATTCAAGTTTTGTTCATGGAGGAGTTGAAAAACCAGGAGAAGAGCAGCCCCCAGTTGTGGGCCAGGCAGTGAGTAGTCAATTCTAATCAAAGCAGGAGTAAAATTAGTTAATGGTGACTTCTGAAGTGTCACTCTTGTTAATTCCCTTTCTTATGGGAGTGATTAATTAAGGAATGTTTTTAAGTTTTGTGTGAGTTATTTGTGTGTGAATCACACAGACTTTCACGTAGGTACATTTCATGAAGCGCTAGCGCTTCAAGAGAAATATGCCTATGTGCAAGTCTGTGTGATTCACACACCAATAACTCACACAAAACTTAAAAACATTCCTTATATTTACATGTTTGGAAGCACCAAAAATATACTCGGTATTTGAATTTCTCGCTGCCCTATATCGTTATACTTTTACTGATGTCGCTGTAGCCTTACTGTGACGTCACGTGAACGCACGTTTCTCCGTGTATATTCTACGCGTGAGTATACACAAAAATGACTTTCAAATCAATTTCACAGTTGGCTTTGTAGAAAAACGCAGCGAATGTAAATATTTATTATTACTGTCACTGGATGAGCCAGTGTTTATTATTTATATAACATGAAATAAACCTTAAAGCTCTATAAAACAGGACCTCTCTATATATAATTTGCATCTGCAAATGTTTTCCATTATATAACACTATTTGAGCAATGTATTTTTTACAGTATAGATAAAGGTTCACTAATGACCAAAAAATCATTGTTAGGTCAGAAATGGACCATTTAATTTCACAGTGATGTCATATGTTGTCATGTTCAGTGCATTCATACCTTATCAGTGGGAATCATTTCATGGGTTTAAACTACAATATGCAAATATTTGTTAATCAGTTACAATCGTGAAATGTATATATATATATTAAAATAAGTCATTATTTTAAAACATAAATCACAATAGGTTAGAGTCAAGGGATGTTTTTCACAATTGTCACACTTCACTTCTATGACACAAGAAATTAAATGTCATTTCCATAACGTCATCTGTTTATACATGTAAATTGATAACCATTTCTGACAAGTGAAAACAAATGTAAGACAAAGCATAGTCACCATAATCCTTTTCTTCTTAATGTAGCATTGATAATTGTGATGGTTTATGTTATAGGAGATTCATAAGAAGATCATGTCTCTGAATTTCCGCGACTGTCATGCTAAGATCCGCCAGGTGGACAGCCAGGCAACTGTTGGAAATGCTGTTGTTGTTCAGGTAAAGCTTATATCACAAGAAAATGGAAATTCTCAGACATTTGTGAACACATTTTCATCTTGAATTTGAACTGAAGAGAAAGGAATAAAAATTGGTTAATTTTGTTAATTCATGATTATATCTGCTTAAAATAGATTGTTTCATTCAGAGACTGTGAGTGCATTATCTTTATCACTGTCTATTTGTGCATTTAAATATCTTTCTAATCTACAAATTTAAGCTTTGATGTCCATTTAATTCTTTATGGTGTATTTGAAATTGACAGGTCACCGGAGAGCTGTCAAACAATGGTCAGCCTATGAGGAGATTCATGCAGACCTTTGTGTTGGCTCCTCAGTCACCTAAGAAGTATTACGTCCACAACGACATCTTCCGTTACCAGGATGAGGTGTTTCATGATGACAGCGACATGGAAAACCAGGAAGAGGGTGTGTAATTTTTGTGTGTTTATGTAGTTATGTATGCTTAATGCAAATGAAGTAAAATGGTTGCAAGATAAGAATAAACATTGTGAAGTTAAAAAAAACATTGTGAAGTTAAAAAGGAGGAAAGTGAATTGAATAATCATTTATAGTACCATGTAATGGTTATTATCTCTGTATGTGTTTTTTAGATGAATCCACAAAAATTGCAATTTTGACAGAGTTATGTCTTTTGGGCTAGGAAAAATTGAAATTATTGGGTGAGGTGGGCATAAGTGTTTTACAAACATCTTTTGTTCCAGTAGAGAAAATGAGGGATAAGAGTTTTGTGATGGGAAATTATGTGTAATACAAGCATTTCGTAAGTTGAAATGTCTGACAAGTCGCGTTTGCTTTCAGATTCTGATGTTGAAAACATGGCATCTAATCCAAATGTTCAAGAAAGCTTGCAAGATCCTGGAGTGCAGAATTTTTATGAGCCGCCACCACCTTTGAGGTAATTCCCCCCCCCCCCCCTCAATTTTGCTATGTGAAAAAGATTTTGTTTAAAAGTCAGAGAGAATAGATAATTTAAGTAATGGATTTTTCAAAACTTTGGTGAGAGTAGGATATTTTATCTTTGGCTTCAAAAAGAAAGAACAGTGAGTCACTTTTGGTAAAGAACTAAATACTAGTATACATTTTGTTGGAATATATAAATTGGTTGTTGAATTCAAGGCTGTCTTGCATTTTGATAAAAACCCAGAACTGATTTGTAATGATGCAGCTATAATGTTTCTAAATTTTGGAAAAGTTAAAAATTGTACCTACTGTTGTACTGTTCCATCTGTTGTACTGTTCCATTTGTAATAGTAAATAATTCTACAGTAATATTAAATTTTGCAGTAATGGAACATCTCACTTGGAGGATCGTGTAGATTCGCCTTCACAGAAGTCAGCGGAGGAAGAGAAGGAGGAAGGACTCGAACCTGAACAGACCTATGAGGAGAAAGAAATGATTGATGAGGAGGTTCCAATAGAACAAGAAACTGAGGTACAGGAGGAGGAGCCACAGAGTTCAGGTAGACATGCTATAACTTGCTTTTTCGATGGGATGTAGTTTTAAAAATTATTAGCTATCCTATTTTATTATTGAAAATACTACTACTTATAGGTCCAAAAATAGGGAGCTTAATGTCTGAAGGTGATAAGAAAGTTTCATCTTTTTTTATTACAAAAGATGAATTCAGTGTGTTGTATGTTACATGTGTATTTGATTGTGCGACTTTCTAGATATGTGTAGAGGGTAAAGTGTCTATTTTTATATAATGAAAATATTTTTTTTAAACAGGGGATGTAAAACCCTTTTCCTGGGCTGCTTTGGCCAGTAAGAACACCTCCTCGGGTCAGATGAACCAACAGTCTACAATGCCATCCCCTCCTCAGCAGAAAACATCTGGTGGGGCAGGTTTCCGTCAAGACCAGGGAGCTGGCCCACAACCTCAGCGGACTCAAAGGTAGGGGCTTCTAAGACTTTAAAGTAAACTGTTACTTCCAGAATAAAATACATGATAAATGATGGAAAAGATTCTTGGTAAATATTTTGCTCTGAACATTGCAGATCCAGAGAGAGAAAAGATAGAGACAGACTGAGTGCCAGTCGAGATGATGGGGATGTTGATGCCCAGAACAACAGGAGACTGGGGGGAGGTGGGGGAGGGGGACCTCAATCTCGCTTCCCTGACAGTCATCAGCTCTTTGTTGGAAATTTGCCGCAGAATGTAATGGAGTCAGAGCTAAAAGTCTTCTTTGAAAGTAAGATCTTAACAAAATCAATAAAAATTGAAATTCACAGGGATTGTATATAAGGGTTTAATTTATTGATACAAGATTAATAAAAGTTAATACTCACATTTAGAAGTTTAATTTCTTGATTTCAATTTTGTGTTTCTTGATTACAGAATTTGGAAATGTTGTTGAAGTAAGGATAAATTCCAAGAGTGTTCCTGGCAAATTACCAGTAAGTTAATCAATCAAAAAATACAATACAATGAATAACGTGTAGCACTTTTGTATGCAATACAAGCAATATATTACTAATGAATTAATAATTACAATTTTTCTTGGCTAATGGGTAATATTTTTCCAGAGGGGGATGAAACTGTACCTGAGTTATATGTGTTATTTTGCAATGTTACAGAACTTTGGATTCGTGGTTTTTGACAGCCCTTCACCAGTTGGAGAGATCTTGAGGAAGCGGGTAAGTTCCAAATTTTTGTTATATTGTTTTGCTGCTGTCTGTGTGTCGGTCGGTCCACTTAGTTTCCATTCATTTTCTTCGCAACCGTTGCACATACTGAAATGAAATTTGGTATACAGATATATCACATGAATATCTAGGTCAAGTTCTGTTTTGGGTACGATCGCACCATATTTGACAGAGTTCTGCCCCTTGGACTTAGAAAAATTTCAATTATTTGCAGTTTCCGTTCATTTTCTTTGCAACCGTTGCACATACTGAAATGAAATTTGGTGTACAGATATACCACATGAATATCTAGGTCACATTGTGTTTTGGGTACGATCTCGCTATTTTGACAGAGTTATGCCCTTTGGACTTAGAAAAATTTCAATTATTTGCAGTTTCTGTTCATTTTCTTTGCAACCGTTGCACATACTGAAATGAAATATGGTATAGTGATATATTACATAAATATCTAGGTCAAGTTCTGTTTTGGGTACAATCGCGCCATTTTTGACAGAGGTATGCCCCTTGGACTTAGAAAATTTTCATTTATTTGCAGTTTCTGTTCATTTTCTTCGCAACCCTTGCACATACTGAAATGAAATATGGTATAGTGATATATTACATAAATATCTAGGTCAAGTTCTGTTTTGGGTACAATCGCGCCATTTTTGACAGAGGTATGCCCCTTGGACTTAGAAAATTTTCATTTATTTGCAGTTTCTGTTCATTTTCTTCGCAACCGTTGCACATACTGAAATGAAATTTAGCGTACAGATTTATCAGATAAATATCTTGGTCAGGTTCTGTTTTGGGTACAATCACACCATTTTTGACAGAGTTATGCTCTTTTGGACTTAGAAAAATTCCAATTTGGGGGGGAGGGAGGCATAAGTGTTTTACAAACATCTCTTGTTGTACAATGAATCACGTTTTAAAGGAAAGGTTTGTTTAATGTGGTTTTAGTAAATCTACATGTAGATAATAATATATACTAGTATAAAAATGGTATCTGAAATAGAAACAAATACATTTTGAATTATCATGTAAATGTTCATTTTCAGCCCCTTCTGTTTAATGGAGTGAATGGAGAGCATCGTCTGAATGTTGAAGAAAAGAAGCCAAAGGAAGGCAGACCATCGAGTGGAAGAGGAGGTGGGCCGCCTCGTGGAATGATTGGGCGTGGAGGAATGGGGAGTTCTGGGCGTGGAGGAATGCGCGGGGGGATGGGTGCTCGATCTGAGAGAGGCAGCATGGGAGGGAGGGGTGGGATGGGGGTTCCCAGAAGATGAGAATAGTATAGTATTAGTGGTGCTTAGGAAGGTATGCAATTCTGACATTGAAGAGCATTAAATGCACCATGGTTCCTGTGCAATCTGCAAATGTTGGTTGTGTGAAAGAGAGAAAGTGACTTTAATTTATCACAGTAACTGATAGCAAAAACATACATGTCTGAAGTATTTTTGGGCTGGGGTTCCCATGACCTACATTTCCCTGTTGTAAGATCTGTGTTATCATTCCTGTCATAAATTAGTCGCGTTACTACTAGTATGTGATGAAGATGTATATATGAGTGAATAAAACAAGCGTAAAAGGACGGGTCTCAGTTTACCATGTATTTATTTATAACATACAGAATTGCATATTTTCTGTACTATATTCTCTGCATTCAGTGAAATAATGCTTTAGGATTCTATCATTTACTATATTGGCATAATGATGTCCTTTCAAGGAAGTTTTTGAAACCTTGTTTTAACTTACAAAGTGATTATTCTTTTTAGTATTATCATGTTTAAAATGTTTAATTCTTCTTTATTTTATGTTTTCATTAGCAAGAGTTTTTCTATGCAAAGTGATTTGTCATGGTTTGAAATGTTTTCATTTCAGTATAAATCAACATCATTTGCAAGAAATGCATTATGGGGGGGAAAAAATTAGTATTTAAGAAAAATTTAAGGTTTGTGTTGAATATGATATAGTGCTCATGTTTATATATAAAGACTGCGATAGTTGATATTTTGTTTTTTGATATGTATGATAATGGCTACATTCCTGTAAGTCAGCAGCTGTACTAGTCCCATAGCAGGTGGTGCAGGTCTTCTCTCTATCTCTCCCTAGTCACTCATGTAAGAACATTGGTTTTCACCAAAAAAAAAAAAAAGATTTAATTAAATGAAAAAAAGAATCATTTTCTAAAAATTAAAACTGAACTTTTTCTCTTTATATTTCATTTTTGTTGCTGTAGTGTTGGACTGAGGGGATCAGTGCGTTGTTTTCTGTTGTGACTGTAATGAATGTTTAAAAAAAAAAAAGAACAATATTTAAATAATAAAAACAATGCTATCAGAATGCCGTTAGTCTTTCAAGATTTAATCTCGATGTGTTAAATAGTTAGTACATATTCAAATTTTCACCATTTTCAGTTTGGTATTTTTATATATCTTGAAATTGCAGTGTTTTGATATCAGGTAATTTCACTGTCTACAATGGATATAAAACTGATATTTGAACGGATTACAGAGTGAATTCCATGGAGATTTAAATCTGTTTTCGTACAAAGCCAGTTGTGTTCCTGTAACAGTGATTTTGTGGTTTTATATACTCCTGTGATCTCATCTAAACTAACTGTAGTCCTCGTGACCTTCCGTCTTTGGCCACACTCAGAAAGTGCCATAAACTAGGATGAGATTTGTGGACAATGATGTAAGATCACGAGATGTTTTTTTTCCGAGTTGCTGCTACAGAGTTCAGTGAAATGTTCCTGTTATCAATTTGTAATGGAATCCAGGCCTCATCTGTTTGTATTTGCAAATCTACCACCATTAATTCAAGGGAAATTACCATTAGATCAGTTTATATTGAAGTTATACTTTTGAATTGAATGTTGCAGTCTTGGATTTTGTCAGTTTTATGTCACAGATTCTTTGATTTTCTCTCACAGACGTATTATTTAGCATAACTCAACTGTGCCAATTGTTAAAGAAATCCTTTTTCCATGAAGAAATGCGGTTTAGATTTGTAGAAACAAGACGGACTGTTGTTTGGTACCTGTGTAAATAAATACTTTTTGAATTGTACAGTTACATTTCCATCAGTTCTTATCAAGTTCCATGTTAACATCAAGATGTCTGCCTGCACATGTTTTGACAAATAAAAAGTAAAAAAAAAAAAGTCCAACAAGTTTCTTCACTTATTCAAGGAATGCAAAACATGGAAATTCTAGTACAAATGCATCTGATTTTGTTGAATTTTTGAATCCTTGGTATTTGGATGGAGATAATTAATTTGAATGCACTTTTTAGCCTTCGTCAGTGCAATGGAAGCAAAACAGGGACAGTACTGCGTGGAAATGAATCTGATAAAGAATGGGATTCTTTCAACCGAGAAGGTGTAAATAATGGTTAAAAGATTCAAATATTGGCAAAATAGCCACTTGCGGATTTTTACGGTCTATGACCACCTATGAAATACGTGTACCGGTATCTTGACATGAAGTCTAAATGGGTTTATTTTAAGGAGCCGTTCTGAGCCAAAGACTAAAATTATGAAAGTAATGGACAATGTGCGTAAACTTTAGAAGATGGGTCATATTTCAAGAACCCTTTGGCTAAGATTTGTTGCAGAGTAACCTTGGCCAAAGGTCCCTCAAATCAATAAAACTTGCTACAAAGCATCCTTGGTCGCCTGCGTGGCACAGTGGTTAGAGCTTTATAGTCGCGAAGTAAGGAGTTGATCCTTATGGAGGTTCGAATCCCACTGTGGGACATGGAGATTGGTCCTTCAGATCCGAGGTCCCATATCGCAGTAGGTGCTGGCACAAAAAGATCCCTCCATGCTCAATAGCCCTGAGTGCCGAGTTTAGGACAAAATTTGTAGCTCTCCACCGGCAAGTGGTGGCGTCTCCATATGAGTGAAAAATTCTCAAGAGGGGCGTTAAACAACATCAATCAATCAATCAAAGAATCCTTGGTTGAAGTGGATTTTAAAAGTTTCTTCAGGGGAAGTGCCACACTCCTTTTTAAGGGGAGATTTAATAAGATTTTTTCCCTTTTTATTTTGATGTTAATCTTAGATTCACTATTGTTACTCGACCTAACCCTGGGGTTTGAACTACTTTGAATTTTAAAATACCCAGAATGGCTCAAAATAAGTTCCAGTTTTTCTCGCCAAGTGGATCAAAATGTTTTTCCCTTTATTTTTTAGTCGAAAACTTGGATTCCCTATTTTGGCTACAGGTACATCCTAACCCCAGGGGCAATGGTTTGAACAGTTTAGTGTCTTTAATAATTCAGAATGCTTCCACGTAAGTTTTCAGTCAAGTGAGCTTTTTATGCCCCCAAACGAAGTTTCGGAGGTATATAGTTTTTGTCGTGTCCGTCCGTCTGTCTGTCTCTGTCTCTGTCTGTCTGTTTGTTTATCCACAAAAACTTGAACCTTGCCCATTACTTTTGATTAAGTGGAGCTATGACTTTCATATTTCACATGTGTATTCAATGTGACAAGACCTTTCTTTTGGTACCACCAAATTTGACTTTTTGACCTTGACCTTGGAGTTTGACCTACTCTTAAACAAGGACTTCAAAATTTTACCTTAGCCATATCTTTTGAACAGTATATACCAGGACTTATATATTTCATATATGTATTCTTTGTGGAAAGACCTTTTATTGAGTACAAACAACTCTGATGTTGACCTTGGAGATTTTCGTACCAATGAAAAAACTTTAACCTTGGCCATAGCTTTTGAACAGTAAGGGCTAGAGCTTTCATACTTCACATATGAAATTCTTGTGAAAAGACCTTTCATTGGATAATAAGAACTTTGACCTTGGCCTTGGAGTTTGACCTACTTTTAAAATACAACATTGACCATAACTTTTGAAGGGTTAGAACTAGGGCCTTCATACTGCACATATTTAATCCTTGTGACAAGACCTTTCATTTAATATCAAGACTCTTGACCCCTTGACCTTGGAGTTTGACCCATTTTTACACAAAAAATCCCAAATTTTTACGTTGGCCCTAATTTTTAAAAAGTAGATACTAGGAATTTCATACTTAAAATATCAATTTTTTGTGGCAAAACCTTTTCATTTGAAATCAACAATCTTGACCTTTTGACCTTGACCTTAGAGATTTCAGTCCTTACGAAATAACCTTAACCTTGGCCATAACTTTTGAATATTAAGGGCTGGGGCTTTCATTCTTCACATATGTTATCCTTGTGAAAAGATCTTTCATTAGATATCAACAACTTTGACCTTGACCTTGGAGTTTGACCTACTTTTTACAGACTTTAACCTTGGTCATAACTTTTGAACAGCAAGGGCTAGAGCTTTCATACTTCACATATGTAATCCTTGTGACAAGGCCTTTCATTGGATTTCAACAACTTTGACCCTTTGACCTTGGATCTTGATCTACTTTTTACAAACTTTAACCTTGGCCATAACTTTTGAACAGTAAGGACCAGCGCTTTCATACTAGTACTTCTCATATGTAATCTTTGAGACAAGGCCTTTCTTTAGAAACCAACAACTTTGACCGTTTGACCTTGACCCCGGAGTTTGTCTTGCCTTTAAAAACGTTAACATTGGTCATAACCTTTGCACAGGTGGTGCAAGGGTATCATATTTGACATTTGTATTTCTTGTGAAAAAGCCTTGCTTTAGGCACCAACATATTTGATCTGCATTTGAAAAAGCTTAGCCTTCGCTATGTTGCCATACGGGGGGCATCATTGTTCCACAAACACATGTCGTTTTGATCACATTTTGTCCAGAATCAGTTTGCCTGCTTGTTCACCGATCTGTAAACTTTTCACATTTTCGGCTTCAGAAACACTTGGCCAGTTTCAACCAAACTTGCCACAAAGCATCCTTAGGTGAAGAGGCTTCAAAGTTGAACTAGGGCCCATGAGCGACAATAAAGAATAAGTAAAAATTTGGTGGCATCATTTTAAAATCTTCTCATGAACTACTGTGCCAGAAAAGTTTAAAGTTATGTGTAACCTTTTTTTACACTAGATTCACTGTTCAAATCATGCCCCCCCCCCCCCGGTTAGGGCAGGGTCACAATTGGGGATCAAAGTTTTGCATAGGAATATATATGTAAAAATATTTTAACATATCTTCTCAAGAACCACTGGACCAGAGAAGCGGAAATCCTGGGGTATGGGGTATTGTAGGTTCTAATTTGTTCAAATAATGACACAGTGGTAGGACTTGGCCACAATAAGGGATCAACGATTTACAATGAGATATATAGGGAAAAATTAATCTTCTCCTCAAGAACTACTGGGTCAGAAAAGCTGAAACTTATGTGGAAGCACCCTAGAAATTATGACCTCCAGGTGTAGGGTGGGTCCAAAATAGAGAATCAAATTTTTAAATTGAAATACTGTATACAAGGGTATTTTGTCCCCGTTTTATTCTTGCTTCTTTCGCCCTACCTTAGACGGACTTAAAACGGTTTGAATTCAAAGAATACAGTTATAATTAAACATAACTCTTATTAAGGGGCGAATTTTTACAAGGGGCAAAATTGTTTGCAAGTGTAGAGGGGCCGAAAATAATCCTGTATACAGTATATAAAAAATCTCCTGTAAAAAATGACAGGGCTAGAAACTTACGTGGAATCACCCTGGGTTATAAATTGTTTAAATCATGATCCCCTGGGGTAGGATGGGGCCAAAATAAGGAAGCAGAGATTTACTTTGAAAAAAACATATAGGATAAAAAAGGGGGGTACTGGTGAAGAACAGAAAGGTCTAAAGAAACTCATGTGAGCTCTCATTCAAAACTTATGACCAAAGTTAAAGTGTTTGTGACACGCAGACAGACTGATGGACAGACAGACGAGTAAGATTTAATCTCCCCTCGCTTTTGCGAAAGAGCGGGACAAAACTTTAGAATTTAGAACTCAGAATGTAGTCACCTAAGTTTCATGCAGCTATTCTTGCCCAGTGGTTCTTGAGCAGAACCTTTTTTAATAACCCACCTTATTTTCATTTTTATGCCTCCCCCTGTAAACAAAGTTTCGGGGGATGTAGTTTTTGTCTTGTCTGTCTGCCTAGCTGTCTGTCTGGTTGTCCTAAAAAATATTAACCTTGCCCATAACTTTATTTTGATTTAGTGGAGCTATGACTTTCATATTTCATAAGTGTATTCCCTGTGACAAGACCTTTCTTTGGGTACATGTACCACTAATTTTGAGCTTGACCTTGGATTTTGACCCACTTTTACAGCTGGACTAATTCCAAACTTTTATTTTGGCTCCATCTTTTGAACAGTAGATACCAGGACTTTTATACTTTACATATGCATTCATTGGATACCAATTACCTTGACCTTTTGACCTTGACCTTAGACATTTCCGTACTTATGAAAAAACTGTAACCTTGACCATAACTTTTGAAAGATATAGGCTACGGCTTTCATACTTCACACATGTAATCCTTATGAGAAGACCGTTTCATTGGATACCAAGAACTTTGACCCTTTAACCTTTTCCTTGGAGTTTGACCTAATTTTGAAAAGCCAACCTTGATCATAAATTTTACAGAGTTGGGGCTAGTGCTTCCATACTTTACATATTTAATCCTTGTGACAAGACCTTTCATTTGATATCAAGAACTTTGACCATTTGACCTTGGAGTTTGACCTACATTTAAAAATTTTTTAACCTTGGCCATAACTTTTGAACGGTTAGGGCTAGGGCTTCCATACTTCATATATGTATTCTTTGTGGCAAGACCTTTCACTGGATACCAATTGCCTTGATCTTTTGATCTTGACCTTGGAGATCTCCTTACTTATGAATAAATAACCTTGGTCTACTTTCATATTTCACAATTGTATTTCCAGTGGGAATACCTTACCTTGGGTACTGATATATTTAATTTGCATTTAAGAAAAGTTTAATCTTCACTATGTTGCCATATGGGGGCATCAGTGTTTCACAAAAACATCTTGTTTCTTGATTATTTCCCCTTGTAAGGAGGTTTGATCATTCATTTTTGTCCCCCAATTTTGCAAAAGTGAAGACATTAAATCTCATTTATTGTCCCCCGGTTTCGCGAAAGCATACCAACAACTTTGACATTTTGACCTTGGAGATGTTTGTATTTATGAAAAAACTTTTACCTTGGCCATAAAGTTTGAAGGGTTAAGGCTAGGGCTATCATACTTCATATATTTAATCCTCGTGACAAGACCTTTCATTTGACCCCAAGATCTTTGACCCCTTGACCTTGGAGTTTGACCTATTTTTTTTAAAACTTTAACTCTGGCCATAACTTTTGAATGGTTAGAGCTAGAGCTTTCATCATTCACATATGTAATACATATGAAATGACCATTCTTAAGAAACCAACAACTTTGACCCTTTGACCTTGGAGTTTGACCTATCTTTCGCCAGAACAGGTGGTGCTAGGGCTTTCATATTTCACAATTGTATTTCTTGTGAGAAGATCCTACTTTGGGTACCAATATATTTTACTTGCATCGAAGAAAAGTTTAATCTTTGCTATGTTGCCATACAGGAGCATCTTGTTCTTTATAACTTTTGATTGAGAAGAGATAGGGCTTTCATATTTTTTGACATGTGCATTACCTGTGACAAGATATTTCTGAGCATGCTATGATTTCTGACCCCTTGACCTTGACCTTCTTTTTTGATAATAATTTTTTAACATTTTAACTTAGGTGATAATATTTGCATGACATATGATAGGGTGACAATTAATTTGACACAATATGCCATAAATAATGGCATCTCATCCGCTAAGAGACTGAAAACTCTCCTTCACCAAAGACTGCTTTGTGTCAACTTTGGTTAAAATTGGTCCATTGGTTCTTGAGAAGTGGAAAATTTGAAAAGGCTTACAGACTGATGAATGATGAACAAGGGATAATCATTAAACTGTAACTTCAGCTAATCAGAAAAGCTCACATGAGCCTTCCACTCAGATTAGTTAAATATTATGTATACAGCCACACATTCATTATGATGATCATAAGCTAGAGTACATTTTCTGATTCATTAGAAGATGATGCCTTTAAAAAAGAAGAATATAAACATAATACAGATTAACATGATTGTTTTATTTGGGAAGGGTAAGAAAAAATGATGTATCACAGAAAAAATCACAATGCCTACCATACATAAGGCAAAAGTTATTATACAACATCATTACCATTTGCTGCCAAAACAAATAACAAAAAATACTCAATGCAGTACACTACATAGTACCTAATAACAAAGGAAATAAATTAAAATCTAACAACACTATTTCTCATTTTTTGAGAATAAATACACTTTTAGGTTTAAAGAATACAATAATTTTTTGCTCAAAATACATCAGTACAAGATTTGTCTATAATCATCCTCTGGTTCTAATTCATAGAGAATACCGTACAAAAACATCATAACTTTATCGACAAACAAGCAGCATCAGTAATTAAAAAAAATAATAAATTCAAAGAACAAATTTACATACAGGACATAAAACATTTATTAATACAATCAATGAGAATTTGATAAAATGCTTGGGACTGGTTTTGTGAATTTATATGTATTTGACTATTAAATTAATTACTCTAGCAAAATTGAAATTAATACATGTATTCCCATATCCATTTACTCTTACCTTCGCTGGGGTTTGCATTTATTACTTGATTATGACTTTTTAGCACACCTACACTATGCAGCTTCATCTAATTAACCATATACCAATATTAAACATTACAGCCGCAGCAATTTCATTCAATATATTACATCAGTCCAAAAATGACCTCTTGTTTTCTAAGGTACTAAGTTAAAATGACTATAACACTATTAAATGGGTATAGAGACATTATTAAATTATATGGTAGATAAAACTCTACCCCTAATGGCTCAAACTTTAAAAATCAAAAGTAACAACTTTCTTAGATCTGTGTACAGTACAACATAAATTAAACATATAGGGAAAGGTCATAAAAGGAAGAAAAATTATTGGTTATAAGCATTTTTGGTTCATAATAGTTCATAATATGTATGTTTTATAGAGAGAGGGAATGAAAATTATCTCTTTGCTATGAGCGTGAATTAAGTCATTACAAATATAAGATTGCTCTAACTGTGGTTTACTGTATGACCTCAAATCAGAATATAATGATCAGAAAGAGTCAAAAGTGAACTTGGTTTTGTATGACCACAATAATGTGCCTTCTTGGTCACAACATATTTTTAAGGTGTTAACTCAAACACGGGTATCTCCCATACTGAGGGAGTTACTGAAGTGAATTGTCAGTCCTAAACGCTTTCTTTAAAAATGTTATATCAAATCCTCAGATATCTTTAAGTTTCATTTTGGTCCCATTAAATTCAAGATAAAGTTTAACTGTTGATGTACTTTTTATGCATATCATACAGCATTAATAATCACTACTGCAATTGGTACGAAAGGCCAAATTGCTGAAAATACATTTTTGAAACTATATAAGTGTCCTGGTCCAGATAAATATAGCTTCACTGTAGATATACATACATTGACTTAATGATGATACTTTGCTTTTTCTCATTCATTCAACTGAACACAGTTTATAATATCATCTTTAACAATACCCCTACTCATTTTGAAAAATACACCTGAACATTAACCTGAAAATTAAAAAATGGAGGCAAAGCAATAATATCTTTCTATACCCTGTGCAGATTATATAGTTATGGTATTATAATAAGCACATTTACCATTTATAATGAAAAAATTAAACAATCTTAAATTCTTAAAAAATTCCTTAATTCCAAGCAAGCAATATAGGTATACATTAATTGTTGAGAACGAAAAGGCAGCATATTAATAATGGCGATTAACTGTATATGATGCAAAATACATGACCTGAAAATAATTTTCAACTACCAGTACCATATTAAATATTTATAACCTTATAAAAATGATGTACTAGTATGTTAATTTGTATTAAAGTTTCTTCACTTTCACTGAAAATGAAGCCTTTAAACTCAAACCAACCACTCAAAGAAAGGTGATTTCTCATACATAATTTGATGAAAATGCATTGACATTTAATAAAATAAATTAATTAGCATGGTAAAAGCAAATATCACAATGGCTGATTTAATGGATTGGTCACAAAACCTGCACTGGACTTCATATACAGCTATATATCAACCTGTCTCAGATAACCCACCTAGAGACCCTTAAATACTTCTTAAGTCAACCCTGAGACACGACCGGGGTCATTTGAGACAGACTGAGTTACAATGGGACTCTTGAGAAAGTTATAAAAATAAATTTAAATTGGTTGGTTTAAATGAACATTCATTAGCTAACTGCTATGTCCTCTGAATCTTCACCACTTTCAATGTCCATGAGATGAAGATTTCCATCTTCACTTTCACTGTGCATTGCTTTCTCATCCATACTTTCACTTTGATCCTGAATGTTGTCATCCTTACTTTCATTTTCCTTTTTGCTTTCATCAACAACATGCTTGCTGTTGTGCTGTGACATACACTGCCAGTTTTGTCGATTCTTTTGACAACCATCCAACAACGGTTGTAGTCTGGGAGAAATCTCAGCTATAGCCTGATTACGACAAAGATCTCATTTAAGTCTCGTAAAAATATGATACAAATCTGATATATATGAATAAATGAACTAATGACCTTTTGATCTCAAAATTAATGAGTCTTAATTCAAGTCAGAGTTAATTAAAATTTTCAGTGCAAAAGTTGGACTTGTAAAAATATTATCTAGCTTATATTAAAGAGCGTACAATAATAAAAGATATATTTCTCTGCTTAAGGAGAGAAATAATACTCACATGGTACACAGGTAAACAAATGGAGTCAATGAATCCAACCTGCATATCAGGAAGATGGTCCTTTTTATCTCTGTCCATCATTTCCTGGAAATCACCACAGAGAAAAGTACAGTCAGTATACAGTTAGATAATTTAAAACATCATAGAAATCATCCAAGAGAACTTGTCTCAGAACGATTAGCTACATTATATTCATCATAGCATTTACCAGATAGATCAAATCTTAGTACAATTAGACACATTATATACATTGTACATCACGAAAATCACCAGAGTCTTGGCTCATCTTGATACAATCAGCTACATTTTACACTCTTAGTAACATATGGAATTCCCGAATGGAATTATATTTTAGTTCCATATACTGAACACTTATAATGTAGCACAGATATCTATTGATTCATCTTACATAATGGCATCTGACATCATCAAAAAAATGTCTCTAAGACCTTTATGAAGATGCATTATCCTTTTTCCAGTTACTAATGTAAATATATGAAAGGCACGATTCAACCGGCTATTCTGAAGAATTTACCAATACAAGAGAAACATAGAAGTAGACACTAGAGACCGGCCCATAAATGTCTGGCAAATTATATGCAATATCATAAATATATGAAATCCTATTCAGACTTTTATTCATCTATCAGAAAATGCCAGACAATGTTTTATCCTATAAATGCTGACAAGTTATACACTGCAAGAAAGCAAAATCCCTAGGTACTGTCATGTAACATCCATTGAAGTTTTGTTATATCAAGTGTAAAAAGCCAGTATGGTATGATTTACAGTATTTCTAAGATAATTTTTTTCTTACTGCAGGTTTTATGTTCAGCTGTGATTTTTCCAAGTCTCCTTGTTCAAAGAATTCACTGGCTATCAGATCAGCAACCTTCAATGAAAGAAATCATATTTTTCTTCAAATAATCACTGATTTACCTTGTAGCTCTCAATTAACTTTGAGTAACATGGAAAGACAAGCAAGGTGAAACTGGCCATGCATTGTTGCACTAAATATATATTATTTTAATCTTGGAGCTCTCTTTTGACTTATATCTTCATCACCTTGAATAGAACCTAAAATGCTAACCATGACCTTGAAGTAGTCAGACATGCTAAGAGCTGTAACAATTTTAGAGACTGGTGACAATATTCTATTCCAGATTAGAATCCCTTGAAAGAGAGCTCATCAAGCAGCGTTAATTAATTAAGTTTACTTAAAGTGCTTCCATTTTTGTATTTTTGGTATAGTTAACCAAATCAAAATACATGGAAAGTCAAATGTTGACAAATAACCAATTAACATCATAATAATGCTAACCTAAATGGTCCATATTCTGAGAAAGGCAGTAAATATGGTTAAAGATGGTAATCAATGGTATCAAATTAAGTAAAAAAGATTACACTAAGGTGTAAACCTACATTAAATATGAAAAAGTTTAGAAATGGGCAATATAATGTCCTGTGTCATAAATCTTTTCATTGGAAATGAGTCTTTATGTAATTATGCCCATATATTTACCTTTAGCTGTACTTCCCAGGGCTTAGTAATGGCGGACACATCTGATGCAGTCATCATCATGGATCTCAGCAGATCTCGATCCCGCTCTCGATTCCAGTCAGCCTCACTGCTCTTCACCAAGTTGAAGAATTCACCTCTAAACCTATCAGAGGAAAGAGATAATTGGCATTTTTAAAATAAGTAGTGAAGCACCCTCTAAGGCTCTTGAAATTTGCATTAAGGTAATTTTGTATCTGAACAACGAAGGCCTCCTTCATTTTTATAACTTGTTAAGACTAATTTTTTTGTCTTATTAGGGCCTGCTAAAGCTGATTCAAGAAGATATCCAATGGCTCTATAAGGGGTTAATTATCTATTTTTAATGACAAGTTGGTGTATGAAACACATCTCCCAGAGATGATGGTCAATGCTCGCCTCAGTTTTCACAATTACCATTAAGTCTCTTGCCAATCCAATTAAATGGAAAGGCTTTGGATGCCATGAAATCTGATTTTATGACTAAAGCATACACTGACGTAGCAGACCAAGCTAAATCTGTAGAGAGCTTTACTATATACCTATATATCAGCTTTAGGTCTCAGTAACTATTGCTCCAATCAGTAGATCACATTATATAAAAAGATACTTCACATCTGGACTACTCAGTTACCATCCCTTAATCTTTTTATGTCTCAGAGCTGATGTTTTTTTTTTCAGAGGTGTGAAAACCATGTGATTTCATCCTCACGTTTCAGTTGTTGTGGTTAGAAAATTAGCTAGCTTAGTTTAAAAACGTAATATCATGATCGTATTTGGATCTTATTCTAGCAAAAAAATAAACATTTTTGTGCCAACCATGCTCTGTGCTATCTATTTATGTAGCTGAATAATACTATTTCTGTTTGCACCAATTCATGATTGCTTTGAGTTCTTATAAATGGAATATCTTCAATAACTTGACTGTGCCAAAATATAAATACGATTACTGAACTCACTAGGAAGTTGTGAGATGCTTACTTGAAGTACAGAGCCAGATCTGTGGCCAGTATGGCATTCTCCAGCACTTGTATGACCTCTTCATACTCATCTTGTCTGATGTTAGCCAGAATGTCATTGCCCTATAAAAGAGACACTTTGTTCAGCTCAATTCAGAGAACATTGAAATTATGACTCTCTCTCACTTAACATTTATGGTTAATGGATAAATTGATGAGGAAGTCATGAAAATATACTGGTACATAAATTTTCTCTTTAGAACCACCATAGATCACTCTTTGTATGGAAGAATACCTGTTATCTTTAACTACTTAACCAGACTTACTTTTGTACTGAGAATCATGATGCACTGGTCAAAATGGTGGTGTTCTAGTGTAGAGGTAGAGTAAAGATCAGCCAAGGGGGAGGATGTCCTAAAATCAAAAAATGAAGACTGCATGCTAGGATGATTTAAATCATAATTTTCCCCAATTCATCCTGGTATAGTAGTAAATAAACTAGCTTTAAATATCAAAATCTAGTGTTCAAATACACTTGACAAATAATAGGCAACATATGCACAGAAAGGTAATAAGCATGTGTTTTTTAAAAAAAATACTAAATGAGATGGTTTAAGCGTGTCTGGATGCGTACTTGATCTGGAACTGGTTGTTGGTGCCGCGGTGATCCAGATCATGACACAGACAGGCAACGATCAGAGCAAGTTCTTCTGTTTGTGTGAGTATGTTGTCCATTTGACCAGACTGAAACATAAAGCATATGTTAATTAAACGTTGAAACAATGAATGAAAACAATGCGAATAACCCAGGGAGATTGACAATATTACTTGTCCCCTGAGGACATTGCAGGTCTCTACACATCCTCAAATTCAAAACATTAATTGATAGCTCTTGCACAAATCTTGGCACAGTATAGCCTTAAAACTGTGGAGGCCAAAATATAAAGAAATTTTACAATCACTGTAAAACGATGAAATGAGGCAGACTTACTTTTAGCATACAGAACATTGTTTGACAGACATTGAAGGCATGCCTCCAGTTGTGATAGGTCACATCTCTGTAGTTCTTCTTCACACTTAGCAGCCAACGACAAAATGTCTGAGGAAAAAAATAACATTAGAATATTTAAAATCATTATCAAAAAAATAGCAAAGACATTCTGTTTAAGAGTAAATGGGAAAAGAGGGTGTAACAATGGGTGTAAGGGTATGAGAGGAAAAACTTTTCTGTCAAGCCAAGAATCAGAATTTCTTTTTTAGTTTTTAATTTAATTTTTTAAATTTTATTTTCAGACTAATAGAATGTATTGATAAATTGGCCTTTTTAACATTTTTATTGATTGAGCTATTGACCATGACGAAGTTAGTATAAATCATTGCATGTGCAATGTGTGATAGTGCAAATCCTTACTGTATTAGCTACAGCAAGTTGGGGGAAATATCCCCATAATCAATAACAAAGAGGCTTAATTCAGTGTTAGAAAGTAAATCTGGAAAAGACACATTATAAATGGCTAATTCTGTACTATAATCAATAAAGCATGAACAATTTGAGGTTTGTTCTCATCCACTAACCCTAAATGAAACTTGTTAATCTTGATATATGGTCTTCGGGCATGGGAATTAAGCCAGAGATCTAAAATTGGCAAGAGATTTTTTTTTTTATTCTACCAATCCTTCTCAGTCGGAGCTTAACCTTTACTTGCATGCTCGGTCACTTGCAATGTTACAATTGATGGTAGATAGGGTATCTTGTGAATACTAATCCACAATAATACAGTATTTTTTGCACATTAATACTTATCAGTTGCACAAATTCATGGGCTTGTTTGTCTGCATAAATGACATGTGTAAAAAGATATTTTAAATTATCCAGAATTTTCTGCCATGACAATTTATCAAGCACAATCAAAAAATGGGAAAAAAAATGAAGAAAAAATCAGATTTTGATATAAGTTGTTCAACTATGTGTTTTGCCAATCATATCTGCTCTGGATAAGAAATGCAGCACAAAAACTTAACTAAGCAATTTTGAATGAGAAAATTGATGTTTAGAACATGTAAATGAATGGCTGTGTGTATATAAATTAAATCATCTCAAAAATAAGAATAATTCAGAATGTAAATTGTTGTTATTAAAATAACACAATTTACCTGTGATTTTATGCTACTGTTTTTCATATCAATGATTTCATGAATCTAGACATGTGTCTAGACCCCACAAAAGTAAAATGTGATATTTAACAAAAACTTTTTGTTCAATTTGAAGGCACTATTTAAAAAAATTATTTATTCAAATATTACAAATTAAAAAATAATAAATTCCTTATTATTTCAATTCAGTTAAGCATATTTACATTTCAGAAAACTTTTAACTCTCTTCCTGCACTTTCACAGGTCGAGGAAACTACCTTATATGGATATTGTTGTCATTGCGCACAAAGATGCTCACAGTAAACAATGGTCCAATCCAATGAATGAGCCGAAAAGCATGATGGTCTACTACATGTTTATTTTTATTACAAACACGTGGGTTAAGGGAAATTTAGGATGCGATTTCAAATGACTGCTGGAAAATCAATTTACAATTTTTTGAAACGTGTTTGAGAAAAATACGAAGAATAGCAAACAAAGTCAGTTTTCCTTGTTAAATAGTACTTTGAAATAGAATTTCCAATTTAAAAAAAAAAGGCACACATTTGCCATGTAAACTGAATTAGTCAGTTATTTGTCACTAGAAATTTAAAGTTAGCACTTTTAAGTTGCACGTTTTTTTTTTTTTGACCTCTAATACGTGAGCACACCCGAATAGCCAAGTGAAATTGACTTTTCACTGAAAGTACAGCACGAGGAAAGCTGTAAACAAATGGACTTGTACAATGGAGTGAGGAAAACCCTAATTTTTATCATTGTTAATCATTTGTATGTAAATTTGGGATTAGTAATAACTACATATTATATTAAGTGTGTAAAATGCTTGGAAAAATGCATCACATCTTTCCGAGAGCGATTTGCTCAGTTATTTGTCACTAGAAATTTGAGAAAAAAGCCATTGCCATCAGACCACAACTGTAGAAGAAGTAGCTTTTTAAAAAAACAGACATTTCTATTTTTAGTAACAATGGCAACACTGTTCATCAAAATCAAAAATATATATCTTATATATCTTAATGTAGTCTACTTGTGTGCCAAGATATATTGGAATCAGACCAAAACAGAGAAAATTCTTTGTTTAGTAACCATGGAAACACCGTTCATCAAAATCAAAATCCGATGCACTATTCTATATATCACATATTGAAATCAGATCAAAATTGTAACGTAGCGTAAAGGAATTTCACAGAAAATTCTATTTTTAGTAACCATGGCAACACCGTTCATCGAAATCAAAAACCAATGCACTATTCTATGTATCTTAGTGTAGTCTACTTGTATGCCAAGTTATATTGAAATCAGATCAAAATTGTAGGAGGAGTAGTGTTTTAAAGGAATTTCACAGAAAATTCTATTTTTAGTAACCATGGCAAGACCGTTCATCGAAAATCTAAAAACAATAAACTATTTTATGTATCTTTGTGTAGTCAACTTGTATGCCAAGTTATATTGAAATTGACATAACTTTCACTTAAAGAATTTACAGAAAATTCTATTTTTAGTAACCATGGCAACAGTTCATTGAAATCAAAAACAAATGGACTATGCCAAGTTATATTACAAAATTGTAGGAGGAGTAGCGTTTTAAAGGAATTTCACAGAAAATTCTATTTTTAGTAACCATGGCAAGACCGTTCATCGAAATCAAAAACCGATGCACTATTTTATGTATCTTAATGTAGTCTACTTGTATGCCAAGTTATATTGAAATCAGATCATAACTGTAGGAGGAGTAGCATTTTAAAGGAATTTCACAGAAAATTCTATTTTTAGTAACCATGGCAACACCGTTCATTGAAATCAAAATCTGATGCACTATTTTATGTATCTTAGTGTAGTCTACTTCTGTGCCAAGTTATATTGAAATCAAATCAAAATTGTAGGAGGAGTAGCATTTTGAAAAATTGTTTAAAAAAACTATCGCATAAGCTCTTCTGGTCTCTGACCAGTAGAGCTAAAAACTGGCTTTTCGAAACACACGTGTAGTATTTTTGTAGTAACCCATAATGCAACTCATTGAGCTGATTGGTCGATTAGTCAGTCACGTTGGTTCTTCACTTAACATGTAAATTTATTCCAACGTCACAGAAAATAGTTTCCTCGACCTGTTTCAGGCCAGTGATTTTTTTCACGTCATTTCTACTTCAGACTCTCAAACAACAATTCATATTTTTGAAGAACCTTTTTTTTATGAATCTTAAATTATCAACTTTGCTGTTTGCAAATAAATTAATCATAAGAAGCTGTTTAAAGATTCTCTAAAAAAGTTATCTAAATTTTCCCCAAATGAAATGCAGCTATCAAAGAGAAACCAACACTTGGATTTGAGTTTTAAAAAATTCTATAATTTTATCAGATGACAAATGAGACTGACCTCGTAGTTGATTCTGAACCTTTCGAGGAGATTGAGATCTATGAACATTCTGATGCTGGCTTTCAGTGTATCATCATCATCCAAGCCAAAGTCACTGAAGCTGAAGTCCAGCAGGTTGTAGGTGTAGGTGGAGGGGATAACCATTGACTGTAAACAGACAATAGATCCACAATAAAGTATAAAAAAAATATAAGGCTAGAAAATATACTTAGTAAGTAGGCAGCATGTGATTTATCAGTCCCTTGAAATACAAGGTTTAGATATGTAGCTCACTGCTCTAAACTAATTAAAAAGGAGCCATTTTTTTACCGTAAGGTTTTTCTAGCTTTCGCTATTGAATTACCGGTAATGGTTTTCTGCCTTGTGTGAAATCATACATTTTTCGTGGGGTTTAATTTTTGTTATTTTCAAGGTGTGAAGAGACCCATGAATTCATGTCCACCATGAAATGTAAAATGTGACTATACTCAACAATTCTACATCCACGAAATCAAATCCCCCTGAACCAAGAGTTTTTCCTCAAGCCTCCAAAATTTGACCTCATGAAAATATGTGATTTTACAGCACTTTACTTTTCATGTTATTTTCATCTTTAAATCATTTTCACAATTTTTTATTTCATTTGAAAGTGACTGCAAATATAAAGCTCCTTCAAAAATAGTTTTATGTGGTAACATTTTTAGTTCCTAAATATATAAATATAATAAGAATACTGTAGCAACAGTTGCAAATTGTTCATTGTAACCAACACTGTGCATGTATTGCCAACATTACAAGAAACAAAGGCAACCTTCATCCAGCTGTGTTTCATATATGTATACAAACATACAAGATGTACTTTTGGTAACCTTGATCTTTAAAAGTATCACGGCAAAGAGGAAGGGTATCATATGAGGAAGAAATGTTTACTTCGGATGCATATAAAAACATTGCACAAGAAATTAAAAGGTAAACTATCTCTATGATTAAGAAGTAACTTCAGCACAAAGTTTCTTTTTATGAAGAGAGATGTTCTTAAATGAAAATTACCTCAAAAGAGAGAAAGTATTAGTTTTCATTAGCAATTCAGCCCAGTTTCAATTTACGTCAAGACATATGGAAAGAAACATTTAGATTTTTGTGATTGAGGAAGTGACTCCTTCCTAACAAAATTAACAAAACAAATTAAATTCCCTTCCCTTGATTATTGAAGATTTTTACCGGTCTCTGTTTCTTCACAGGAGTTCCTATTTTAAAGTCTAATCAACTTTTGACTTATAATCCACATTTCATATTTTACTTGTTTTTGATCCATTTTGAGAATATGTACATGTACAATGATATTAGTTCTTTGATTACCTGGGAAACAATATCTCCCTGCTCTTTCTTATCATGCAATCATCATAGACCAAATCACAATATGAAAACTACGGTTCTCTCTAAAGTTTGCATACATTTTTACAGAAATCATGCAGTTAAGCTTTCATTTATGCTTCTTTCCTAGTAGATCAGTTCTGCTTTATAATTTTTTAATGAATCACTAATGCTGTTTTCCATGCTCTCTCCTAACTTGCACTACATTGTTAATATTTCTTTGCTTCTTTAAACTGGATAAGCTTATTTCCTATATTTCATACTGAACACTATTCATTTCATACTATATCTGTAAACTTTATTCAGTCTTTTTGCAGCAGTATGATTATGCTCCCTGCTGTACGACAGCATTCCTTACTAAGTCTTCCTTACCTTAAGTCTGCGGGCTTCATCTGCTGGAGCCGAGGCATGATAAGACAGACATTCCAGCGCTATACGCTGCTTAGCCATCGCCTTCATTACTGTCTCGTAAGTCTGCGTGTTGTTGATTCCTAACCCACAGAATATAGCAAAAGCCTGAAAAATTTAAATAAAATTACATGTACTTAGTTTTCAAGGTTTTCTCTTTTTTCTTTTTTTTTTTTTACATGTAGTGCAGTGCACTAATGTTGCAAATTTATCCTTTTAACATAAAAAGCGATGTGCACTTATTTGATAAGATCATATAAATCAATAAATATTCAATAAACAGCAGAATTTGATAACCGGCCAATGTTTTACAATCTTTTAGAAATTCTTTTAATTATAGGAAATTGCCACAATACACTTTGGCATTCATAAAACACAAATATCTCAAAAAATCATTGTGAAAGCAATGAAGGCAGAGATAACTTTGATAAAAGAAGCTGCTTTACACTGTTTTTCAATTTCATTTGCACCGCATCTAAATCTGCATCTTTTCTCCTACCGCGACTCTTACATTTTTCATAAGATGCTTTTCGTGTTTAATTAAAAAAATATCTCCTTCCTGTCTAACCCAGGACTTCCTGAAGTGACATTAGACCTTGACCTTGTGTAATTACTTTTTTCCTTATCTTAAAAAATTGCTTCTTTATCAATCAATACCTCAAACAGATTTTCATCGTTCTTGTTGAAAATTGAACCATCCAGCTTGTTGATCAACTGGCTGACACCAATTACTTTTCCGTGAGCATTTTTGATTGGCATGCATAAGATGGCCTTCGTCTTAAAGTTGGGATCAATATCCACCTATAACATAATCAAATTAATGAGACGCGATCAGTCTCTAATGCGTCTGTCCTGTCTGACTAGATTTGCACTAGATGTAGAGAGAGAATAATTGATGTAAAAAGTGCACGTTTAATCTGTCTGGCAAGTCTTTTGGTAACTGGAGATAGAGACATCAAATTAATAAGAAAAATCTTCACAAGAGTGCATATCTATGTAATACGTCCTTTGTATTCATGATTAAATAACATTAAAACGACAATATAACTAGAACCTTAATGCGCAATCCTTAAAAAACATATCTGTCTTAATTATTTTTATCACATTTTCAGCAAATGAAAAAAATTAATTGATGCAGAATTAGTCTTTCAGGAGAAAATTACAATGTTATTAAAAGCTGCACGATTACTTACTGAAGGGTCGAATCTGTTATCTTCATAAGCATTGGCAATATTTAAAGTCTATAAATAAAAGTAAGGAACTTCAGAAAAAATCATCAAAAACAAGGATATTTTGTAAATGTGAATTATGTTCTGCATAAAGAGTTTTAATGGGGGGTGGGGTATCTCTATGCTCTCTCAATTCTATATGCAGGTTGATTGTTTGCTTATAACTTCATGGGTGTTTGCATTTTTTTTTCTCTGGACTAATTTGTCCTTGTGTTGTTGATTATTTTTCATGCAGATTTATTCTGGTACTTGTATTTCAAAAAATAAACTTGCATAAAATAAATAACCAGAGGGACACATATACTTTGTCCATTTATACAAAAAAATATTGATATTTTCTAAACTCAGTTAATTTTGTAAGAATGAAATGAAAAAAAACAAAACATACTTTTCCTTTACTATGTAAATTTGACCCAGTTGCAACAAAACACAATGATGATACTCTTGAGAATGAACTCAGAAACATGCAGTAATATATATACAAATGTATAAAAAAACAATTTTTTTAGCGCTTTTGGCGGAAAGCAATCACATCTAATTCAAGATCAAGGCTAAATGTCTAGCATATATACCATTCCTTTAAAGAAGAACATTAAGATATGCGCTAAATCAAATCCACGCTAACTAATGTTCAAAATCCAATTTCCACCAAATATTGTACGCCCTAAATATAATACATTTATAATTTTGGCAAACCTGAGCTTCTTCAAAATTGTTTATTAAAAAAAATTGAAAATTAGCAATGTTAACATACCTATGTTGCACAATTGGCAAGTGTAATACACAATATATGTATTGCAAATGGCAGAAACTTTACACCAAGGATTATATTTACTGAAGATTTTCTAGAAGTCATTTCTAAATTCTGTGGTTTCAAGCAAAAATGACAACTAGAGAGTGTATATAAGCCTGCAAGATATACTGCCATCAGTCTATGAGAGCTAACTGAATTCTTGTATAACACACATATAACAAATTCACCTGAGCACTGTGGCTAGGAAAAAGTAGAAATTGGTTTATTATTGAAAAGTTTAAATGTCATGGTTTTGGTACAATTGGCTATATATGTCCTTGTAAAAGCGCTTTTGGTCATGGAAAAGCAATCACATCTAATTCAAGTACAATGCTAAATGTCGTGATATTTAGCATTTACCAGTAAGATTCAATTTTCCATCAATTTTACATATATTAATAGCGAATAACTGCTTTTCTGATTATAAAAACATGGTTTAACAACATGGTCTTTGTCATTTTATAATACCACAGCGTTTTGGCAACCTGACATCGCTTTTGTGTTTGAAATCTCTCTCCAGCGATAAAAAGCATGAAACTAATGAAATCTAACTGTTAAATCCAATTTCCATTTTCATAATGGCAAAAAATATTGTAAAAATCCGTACCCTAAATATAATACATTTACATGGCTTTGTTATTCTTGAGAAGAAAATTTTTAAGGCATATTTCTATGTAAAACTTTGGTCGGCCAGGCCAGCACAAGCCTGTGAGGATGTCTCCTATAAATATGATCAATTATGGCTTTGTTATTCTTGAGAAGAAAATTTTTGTTTATTAAAAAAAATTGTAGCCCTGAAAATTGAACAACAATGTTATCACCATATAAATATGATCAATTATGGCTTTGTTATGAGAAGAAAATTTTTAAAGAATTTTCCTATATACTATGTAAAACTGGATGCCCTGCCCTACACCAGGGTCATGGAACAAACTGCCTGAATGGCAAGTCAATTAAGCTTTGTATTCTTGAGAAGAAGATTTTTAAAGAATTTTCCTATATATATATGTATTGCAAATGGCAGAAACTTTACACCCAAGAATTATATTTATTCTTGAAGAAGATTTTTAAAGAATTTTCTATATATTTCTATGTAAAAAAAAATGAAACAAATTTCTAAATTCTGTTTCCCCATAAGTTTCATCTTTCCTGGCACAGTTTCCTGAGAAGAAGAGCAAAAATGAAAACTAGGGAGTGTATATAAGCCTGCAAGATATACTGCCATCAGTCTATGAGAGCTAACTGAATTCTTGTATAACACACCTCAGTAGGAATCAGAAAAAGAGAAGAATTTATGGCTTTTGATCTCAGAAGACATTGGACACTTCACAGGGACTGTTATTACAATAAATTGAAATGCTGATCGTATCCATCATTTTGATTAAAATTTTCTTGACTAATGAAAGGCTTTCCAGCTACCCAAAAGAATTACATCACAAACACTGTATCTCTTTAAAACCCGGTTTTTCCTAATAGGAAAACTAATCTGTTGGCAAATTAATATCTTGCCTCTAAGAATTTAAGAGAGAAACCTTTCAAATTGTTTATTGATTTTAGAATACATATATATATGATTTATGTATTGCAGAAAATTGTAGCTAAATTTGATCATCCATTTCTTTTTCTGCATTAAGAGATTTAAAAAAGTATGTTTTCAGGGATCTATATCTTTATATCTCCCATCCAGTTATTTCAAAGATGTATAATTATGTAAATTCCTTCAGCATACCTTTCCTGTTGCAGCAACATAACCAGATATGCCAATATGAATAGGAAATCTGGGTTCTGCAGGCCTGAAATAAAAATCATTAAAATTCTAAACTCAGACTTAGAGAAACAGCTGGTTTAAATCATCTATACTCCATTTACAAAATTATTGATTTGTTTTATTTCTTAATTTAAATGCATAAGAAATTATTCTCCATGTACTACAATAGAAGCTCAAAGCATGGGGATTTAAGAAAGCCAGGGAGAAAGATTTCCACAAATAGCTTATACCAACCCCCCTATTTATTTGTCATTGGGTAAAATCCCCCCCCCCCCAAAAAAAATGAAAATTCTGCATTAGTACCACATGTTATTTTTAAAATTGTTTGCATTAAAAAAAAAATTACTTAATTTATCCGCTGGTGTCTTTAGTTACTTCGAGTACATGTACTATGGGAATGTTAAAAGCTAATTTATCATGGTATATGTGTATATTACTTTATGACCATGTAGTTTTAATGAGAGCTACTGAATGAAGAATCTATAAAAAGTTTCAAATCTTACACTTTCATTAACAATACTTTCATGTTAAAGCTCTTTATGCAAATATTGACACAATTAAAATACACAGATTCATCAATCACTTTTGGTTCTGTTAATATAATCAGGTAAATTTAAAATTGGTTCCAAAAGTGCAAATCGATTCTTCCGAATCCCTTTAATTTTATCCATTACAACAGAATTCCACTTCAAGACATCAGATTTTGTTTCAACATTGACAAATTATCTGGGGAAAAGTAGTCCTGAGCAAAATTAGGAAAAACTGAGAAAAATTTCGATAAAATATCATTGAAATGTACCTTTGTTATTTGATGTATTTGAGTAGTGGCAACAGAAAACAATATAGCCACACAACACAAAATACTTGCCATTCTCTGTTAAATGTATCACTGTTATCAAAATCTGTGTTCTCCAAATCAAAGACTTGTGAAAAAATCCCCTGCAAAGAAACAAAATACATTGGATGATATGAATACTATGTGTGTGTGTTTAATAAGAACTAAACTTTACTAAAGTTATTTCTCTCATAGCTTTACATATACGTGCTAACTTAATTATATTAAGATGATTAATCATGTTTTAATGCTTTTACGTGGTATTCTGACCCCCACCCCTTTTTCTCCTTAATTTTTAACACAAGTTAAACAAGTAAAATTCACTTGAAAACCCACCCTTATTTCTGTAAATAATATTTTAACATTGAAATGCAAGAGTAAAATTATGTTGTCAAAAATGCTAACTGTTAATTATTAATCATTCCATTGGGTAAAGAAATTGAGATGCAGCATGCTAATCAAATTTTCTTTGATGATTTAAAGCATTAAGTTTTGTGATGTTTGTGCAGCTGTAAACTTTAAAAAAAAAGCTAAATCTTTATATTAGGTTGAAAATTGTAGTGTTAACTCTCTATAAAGAAAAAAAAGAAGTGATTTTTTTTTCAGGAACAGCATACAGCAAAGTTATTTTTATGGAATATTTATTCTGGATAAGATCGAGCATATCTAAATTATTAACGGATTATTGAAGAGGGACTAAGTACAACCTGACCCTCCTTCTTCACCATTCCTTTCAGGAAATTCATATATGACCCTCAAAATGAATAAGAAACACTACCTGCAAGACAATTCCATGTGATCAAATGAAATTTCTTGCAGCATTTGTGATTAACACTATCTTTGATAACAGAACTACAACTGACATTTTCTTAATGCCGAAAAACAATAACTCAGGCTTTGATATCGGACCCAATCATTATTACACAAGATTCACTTTGATCACTTTAATACCGGGGCCTTTGAATCAACATAAAATTTTCATTTAGATCATTAAAAGCTAATTAGCTTTCCATCTGATAAAAACATGAAAAACCAAGCATTGTCTTTTTTAAGGTAAAACAAAGCTGATTCGTAATTGAAACCATTATTCCTGATCAAAGGTATGTAAAACGCAATTAATCTAAAATTTCAGGAGGGGTTTATGAGGGTTTAATGACACACTGTACCCAACTTGCTGGTACTTCAAAGTCAGGCATACTGTTTAACTAATACAGAAAACTGCAACACCATTGTACCAATGCAGGACAAAAACTATAAAACGTTTAGTCTCTACTATGAAGCAATAACACAATTGAATTAGAGTGAGTACTATGTGTACTACATGTAGTAGTGCCTTGATCTTGCAGTAAAGTTTCATGTATTATACATGTTTGAAGGACCTTAACAGTCATTTAGTTTAATTGAGACAAATATTTTCCTTACTCAATAAATGCATAGAATATACAGTAAATGTATAGCAGCTGCCAACTGTAGCTCTCCGGAAAAAAATATATTGACAGACTGGAGAGCTACAACTGTACAGTAAGTGCCACCCATTGAAAATACTGTATATTTATTGCGCACAAAAAAGTGAACTGTTTCTCAATTTATTTCACCATGTTTTTAAAACTGTCCCTCAAAATATTACTAACCGTGTGTTCCTAACATAGTCTTTCAGTTTCCACAACAAAAATTCCTTATAATTGTTGTTAATAGCCCTTCTGGGCCTGACATTGAGATCATCGAAAATTTCGTCTATTTATTCTGCCATTTTGGTTTGCAAGATAATTCAGTCCAACACGCTTCGTGCAAATGTAAACTACGAGAGTACCTGATAAAGGAGTAAAGAATATTTTGAAATTTAGCTTTTTCGCAATTGAGGTAAGAATTTGGAAGAATTAATCCAGAACCAAGCTCAACTTTTTGTGTGCAATAAAGATACAGTTTTTTCAATGGATGGTACTGTAGCTCTCCCCTCTGTCAATTTTTTTTTCCTGAGAGCTACAGTTCTACAGCTAATAAATGTACAATAATATATCTTGCAACTGTTTTTTGTTTACAACATCTTTCAGAGAAGTTCCAGTCAAAAACAACCATGTTGAAATAACAATTGCAAAAGCCAAACAAATTCCAAGGATTCTTTCTGTTTTCTTTTCCCCCCCCCCCCCCCCCCCCCCCCCCCCGCAAAAAATAAAAAAAATAAAAAATTAAAATATATATGTCTTGAAAACCGCTGACTCTGGGGAAAAAAAAATGTAATTTCTACAGAAAATAATTTTTCCTCAACAACAAATGCTAAAATCTACAGACTATATGATATTGCAATAATAAGGAATCTACATAATTCATCAATAGAAACTATGAATACACCTTATGGTAAAAATTATCTGTCAATAATGTTGGAAAAGAAGTACTAATTACATAAAAATTCCATACTAAAAAATGTGCATGAAATTTTCTAAGAAGCATAGTGAATACATATGCAAGATAATCAGCCTGACACAGTAAGGTAGATCATGGGCATCTTCGCTGGCCATGTTTTTCTGATCCATTTTCCTCCTCACTATCTCTTGGTCTATTAAAGGTGATCTTAAATCCAACCTCATGCACAAAAATTACGTCACTGACAAATATCAAAAGCACTTTTAAATTGATTAAAGAATATTCAACAAGGCAGAATTTTTATTAGGATACAAGAATTAATGTGTCTTCACATCACATTAATCATATTTGCATTCCAGCTTTATAGACCTATAAGTCTATGGCGAATTGGCGATCCAGGAAAATGCTTTTGTGAAAGTTCAGTATCTATGAATTCAGAGAGACTGAGGGTAGGACATTGCAATTATACTTTTAAAAAAATACAGTATTTTGATAGTACAATATGCCAAAGGTTTGTGAGGAGTGTAACAGATCAGAAGCACTTGGCTAGCAGCAAATATGAATGGGTAAAATGAACAAGTTCATAACCTGCATGCATATACGAAGTAACTTAAGAAGATGACCTTCTAAAACTGCCATAATATTTTTATTTAAACAAGCATATATTCTTTATTCATCTGTTTAGGTAGTGCTGCTAGATTTTGCTTACTTAGATTTCAGGGTGGAAAAATTTAGACTTCCAGAATAAAAAAACCCCACCAAAATCAAGAAAAGGGAACCCATTTAACAGTAATATAAAAAAAAAATTTCTGATTTAGAAGATGGGATACATTCCTTCTCATATCCCCCCTCCCGTGTCCCAACTTTCCAGACACCTGGTGATGGACCTGAGACTGAGTATACAAATGTTTATTAAAATTTTCACATATCCATTTTAATACACTATACAAGTCATCAAAATTAATCCTTTATATTAAAAGCTTTATAGTAAAGTTGAATGTTCTTGAATAAAACTAGATTTTCACTCAATGTCTTATCCAAATTAATAAGGACTATAGCTCTTGTTTTCTGAATATATTAGATCCCTGAACCAATAAATATCATAACATATCAAGAATGGAAAGCAAAGAAATACTAGTAAGTGTAATTTTTTAATCTTAGACAATATTTTCTCCATAGTTTAGTCTAGTTGTAATTCATACTTCTATGACTAATCTCAGTTAATCTCACTGCAAACAGTGATGGTGAGGTGCTAAATATCAAAGTGTTATAAAAAGGGAGCAAAGTTTAAGTGCAAAAACATGTCATTCTCAAGGAAAGATTTGTTTGTATTGTGTTTCCAATTTGCTGGCATTAATCATCTTAATTTACATAACTTGTTACAGAAAATCTATTTTGAAGTCGTCAACATTTCAAATGCATGAATAGGCTCAAAAATGACATGTCTAAAATATTTTGAATTGACTATGTGCAGATTGAGTTATTGGTGCAAAATCTCCTTAAAATAGTCACCATGCCAAGCGGACAGTGTTTGATATTCTTCTGAAAAAGAAGTAAGCATGCCCATGTTTATATATATATATTGTCATGAATGGTGACAACTTTTTAAATAAAAATTCTACAAGCATAGTATACTTTATAAATGAATCATATAGAAATTGAATTTTACCTAAATCTAGAAATATTAAAAAAATTAAAATACATCTCTCTTTGTTTACACAAAAAAGTTAATTTATAAAGTGATAATCACTTTTATATAGAGAAACATGTATGATCTGACAAATATACATGTAGGTATTTTTTGCTATTTAAATATCTCACTACTTGAAACAATGCATTTTGTTCTACGGTTAATTTAGAGTGACAAATTTACTTCTAAAATACCTGACACAAACTATGAAATAGTTCATCCTTTTACTACGCAGTGTCACATTACGTGTTATATCTATGTGTGAACTAGGTCAAATGTTCCAAAAAACAAAATTAAAAAGAAAAGTGTAGATAACCTAGCATAAACATAAATAAATTTAAAAAAAGAGAAAAACAAAACATGTTGTATTAATGAACTGAATGATTTGTATATAATTCATCCTACAATAAGTATACCAATACATGTATATGACAATCCATACAAAGATTCCCAGAATTGGGAGATACTTTCACCAGTAATCTGTTATATATATGAGCCATGACAATAATACATGTAACTGAATGATCTGATGTGCCTGTGTATGTGCTGGTACAACACTGGGGTCCCACACTTAGGTTGTCATGACAAGGGATCTATTAATAGACTGACCTTGCAGAGGTCATCAATAAGCATGACCTGGCACCTTTGACATTGTAGAAGGGACTGAGTATGCATCATTATCTTGTAGATTAGGTTTGCTACATTGTTCTGCTCTTCAAATATCACTCTTGCCAAATCCAACAGTACCTGGTAATGAAAAAAAAGGAAAATATAATTGGCTAAATTGTTTGGTTTTCAAGATGTAGTAAATTAAAATCTTACTGCTTTAAAATTTGAAAATTAGGTTTTAAAAAACTGGATACACACGTACAGTAAAATTTATTGCTTATAAAGAACTCTAATTATAAAAGTAATCTTGACTAGAAATTATATCTTTTCCTTGGCAATTCCTCATATCATTACACTATCCTATACATTTATCAGTTTCCACGACTTCCTAATAAGGAAGTTTGTATTGTAGTGAAGAATACATTATTAAAAATTTCTGATTGCCCCTCGGCTAACTCCTTGATTGCTCATAGAAAATGCAGTATCTTTTGTGTCAAGTAATTTTTTAGGATTATATATAGGCATCTACAAAGGGAAAATAGAGAAAACTATAATATAGGCATTAATATAAATAACATGATAATGCAAAATGTCACATTATTTTTAGAAAAAGGGCATCAATTATCTATAAGAATAGAAGTTTACAAAATCTATATCTACAAATACACTATTAGCAGGATTTTAAGGAAGGATTAATTTCAGGCTCTATATAATAAGCTCCTTTTTGAAATCTATATAAAATTTCAAAAAATATTATCACTTATATTTCATTTCTCATAATAGGTATAGTAATTGTAAACTTTTTAGTCATCATAAAATTGTTAAAATGTCTTCTCACTAAATATATATAATAAACAGGATTTTTGAGGAGGTATCCCTAAAGTAGAATCTCACTAAAAATATGGCACTTTATTATTAAATGTCCATCCATGCACACTGACCTGATTTCGTCTATTTTCCAGCAGCGATTTCTCATACAATTGAGCATTTTTCAATCCTATGCCACAAAATGCCATGTAGTTTGAAAAAATCTGAAATTAAAAACATCAATTGGATTAACTTAATTTAATTTTTTGAAAAATAAAAACCTGACGTAATCACTGTATTTTAGCTGAGTTAAAGCTAGCTAGAAATAGAAGAGTGGTTTGAAATGAGTTGATTTGTGAAATTGAAAATTAAATTACTTCAAGAGGCTGATCTTTACAGCTAGTAGAAAGCATCTGCATCAATCCTTAATGTGTAAATAAATAATGAATGAATTCTATAATTGTGCAAACTTCACCATTTGTTCCCCTGAGGTATATACATATTCATCACTTTTTAGGCTGATGACCTTTCACTAGTTAAACTTAAGCTAGATTTAGGACTGTATAAGCTATCTTTTGAATCATGCAGCCAGTCTCCAGCAAAAAATCAAAAACCTCATAATCCTATTTCAACATTTCCTCCAACATTTAAAGTGTCAATAACTTGCTTCTCTGTAAATCTATCATTGTTTCTAAATGAATGATAACTTAACCATTGAATCACCTTCTGTATTAAGAGGGCTGGGTGGCTGTGGCCATTTTTGGACTATTTTGATCTCTTTTAGAAGAAGAGCTCCATGGAAAGATATACAAAAATGATCAAATTCTAAAACTAAAATGTATGAAAATTTTATTTGCCAAATGATAGATGATAGCTTAAGACATCATATCTAAAAAATTAAGTTGAAATTAAGTTAAATCTGATGGTTTGTTTTTTTGACCCTCAGACTTAACTAAAGCAGTTACCCTGAAAATCTAAACCATTAGAACCAGTGAAACTTTCTTTGCCATCAAGCATTGTAAAAGTTCACCCACCACCCAACAATTAACATGATTTCATTCACTTTGTGGGATGTCTATCTCATAACCTTAATATGATTATAGCAATCTATCAAAGCATCTCTGCATTCTTTCATTTTTTTAATGGAAACTTTCTATTTTAATGTGGTAAGATAATTTCATTTTAAGGTTTTCAAGACTGATAGAAGTTAAAACTCCCTACATGATCATTAAAGATCCTGCAACAAAGAATATTGTCTTCCAAAATGGCTTGCAATGAAAGAATAATGAAGATGTATTTCATGCCAAGCCTGAGGATTTCTGCACTGAGATTAGATGTGGCTTTGTAATTATTTTACAGATTTTACTTTTTAATTTATTTCTAGATTTGCAACAAATTGGCTATTTGGAGAGGAATTCCAAATCAATTCCCTTGCAATCATCTTTCATCATGCTCAATCATAAAAAATTGAAGACACCAATTTCAGTTCCTCTGGGTATTTTCTTAGGAGAAACTGGGGAAAATTAAAGAAAATGACAGAGGGAGATTTTAACTTCTGGAGGCAGAAAATGTAGAAATTCTATCAACTTGCCAGTTTTACAAAAGTCATAGAATTCATATTGCATATGAAAAAGTCACTAAAGTAAAGCATATATAGTAAAATTCAGTTACTATATTATTATACCTCATTATAAATATTCTAAACAACGCGTTATCTGATTGGTTCTAAGTTATCACATGATTGGGCCGTAAAAACTTCATATTTCCCGGCCGTCGGCATGCTTTTCATCATATTCCACCTCTTCTGATACTTAGTGCATTTTCCCGCAAAAATTATTGTTCGTTTAAAGAAAACTCCCGAGAGTATAGTAGACGTCACAATGATCTGGTTTACGTCATAAAATTGATGATAATGTGTTGACCAAAGAGTTTTAGTAACGTTTTGTTAAAAATGAAATGAATTTGAGAACGGTGTCGAATTTGAAAGTTTATGTTTATTTCAAAGGTTTTGCTTGTTTCGGTATAATAAACAATTCATTGCATGAATGTTCGGGAAACATGAAGACTTATTCAGCCAAGAAATATGATTTTTCTTGGCTGAAAAAGTCTTCATACAATGAAGCGCATTGAAGTGGTAAAATTTTCCGTTTGGATGAAATGTTCTGAGTCATGTTTTGAACGTCAATAATAACATAATGACACGCCCATTTTTTTAGAAACGAAAAAGAGATATTTGTCGTAATGTTGAAGGACACCCCACTCTTCGTGACAAGCAACATAAGTTACACCGAAATGGAGATTTTTATATCATAAGAAAGAGAGTTAGAGAGTTCCAGCTCCTGTTCAACACATTTTGCAACAAATTTGTCGATTATTATGAATTTATCATGTTCAATATGATCACCATAATACAGGTATCGGTCGAACACGTGCTTATTCGGTGTTTATATGTAGACCGTCAATTTGATTGCCTATTATATTTATGGAATACCTGTTCTACAGGTATTGGAATGAACTATTTGACCGATTTTTTCCTTTCTAAAGAAATGGGCAAGTCATTGTATGACAATCATCGTTCTAAAGATAGCCCAAAACGTTCCAGTCAAACAGAAAATTTTACCACTTCAATGTACTTCATTGTATTTCCCTCACTATCATGCAATAAATGTATAATATCAAAGTCCTTAAGGGACCTGAAAATTTACTTCGCTAGATCTGAAAATTTGTTATTTCAGTGTTCATGTGGACTACTAAATTAGTACTTATTTGAAAACATTAATTATTTATAGTTATATAAATGATACAAGAGGTCCATGGGAAATAAAGCTTGCCTGCTTCACTTTTGTTCTGCTGTTCTTTGGTGGCAGAATATTTTTAAAAATGTTCCTCATTAATTTCATAAAATGTTGACTCTATATTGGGGACTTTTAAAAATCTAGCCCTATTAAAGACTGCTATGATTTAATCATAATTGAATCCAAACAATACTGGGAAGCTTCAATATCATTACAATATACATGGCCCTTTCAGAGATTTTTTATTTTCATGTACAATTGTACACACAGGCATTTTGTAAAATATGGATCTTTGATTTAGACCTGCCTATAAATAAATGAGCTCATAATAAAAAAAAGTTTCCACTTTACTTAGGTATGTTCTCCTTTTAATATGATTCAATGTAGCCTTGTCACTCTTAAAAAACCTTGTGTTAAACTCTTATTACCTATTACCTAATGTACAGTAGCCTAAATCTAATACAAAGGGCCCACAATCTATTCCTGATTTGAACAAACTTGAATTAATTTTTTTAACTACCTGAGGATGGTTGCATATCGATATGTGTCACCTACAATTAATGAATTTTCAAATTAAATTAAGTCAAGTTCATCATTTTCAGACTATAAATAGAATTTACATTTAGGTGATATACATGTGTGCAACTTATGTAAATTTACTTGACACAAATATGATTTTGCCCTCAGCGTCTTATGATCATCATTTTTTTTTGCTAATTAACTCAAAATTATCATAGCTTTTAGCCTAAACTCCTGTATCTTTTTTCCAGCACACATGACTTCATTCAAATGAATCAATGCACAGTTGTAGGACTTACAAAATAAATATTTTTTTTACTTTTACTAGTAATTAAGAGTAAATTTTTGTTCAAGTTCTCACAGAGAAATTTCATTTTTGAAAAAAAAGGTGAGGCTGCATTTTCAGCATTCCCCTAATTAGGGTGCAAAGTCTTTTATAAAAATAACCATAGATTGAATTTGAACAAATTCTCAACCTATGAACCAAGATATTTCTGTTTTGAAGACTGCCTTAAAAAAAATTATATGACATCACTTTCAATTGTGGCATCTGTAACAAGCATCTTTAGAGGCTAAATGTGGGGTAGAAAAGAATAAATCATAAATCAGATAATGCTTATGTAGGAGAAAGATAGAAATGTCACAGAGCAGCCCCAATTCAAAGCTGGCCCCTTAACTATACAAAGTTGTACTAGAAACTAAGCTATCTATCAGTGATCAAAACTGCAAGCCCCCATAAATTCACCCGGCCTCAAATGACTATATCCCTACAGAAGCACAGTCCAGATTGTTTTTTGGGTCTTATATGACCCTGCAGGTTCAGAGATGGTTAATGGCACCAAGAGAGAAAATATGACAGACCACTGATCAGGCCTGGGGGCCATAAAACTTAGACGAGCTCACTTTTGATCTCAGTCTCACTTTTAACAAAGGAATACTAGTGGAAAAGTGAGACTGAGATCAAAAGTGAGCTCGTCTTAGTTTTAATATGGCCCTAAGGCCTGGGCTCAACCCCAGGACCCTTGACCTCTGGATGGTAAGTCTACAAACTGGGCTTTTTTGCCACCTTGCAGTGATTGAACCTGCCTTATACCCACAATTAAAAATGTATCCATGAATACCAGTTCTTGGACATAAGTGCTCACCTTTTCATCATAGGCATTAAAAGGCTCGTCCTTGCTGTTGATCCTATTTATAGCCTGAGCCACGCCTATGACTACCCCGTCACTGTCTTTAATTGGTGTACTCAAAATACTGCGAGTCCGATAACCCATCTGCAGGTCAATTTCATTGTTAAAACGTGGATCCTGTAAAAAAACAAAATACATCCATATAGCTGACTCGATCCTTATTAAATAACTTGGAATTTAATAAATCATGGATAAAAGAGGATAGAAATGTGTTTTAAAAGTTATCTATTCAATCCATTAGATACCTATATATTCACTTTTTGGTTCAATTTCTCAATTTTCTTATACAGTAGTTCTTTTTTGACCTTAGTGTTTGACCTTGACCTCACATGAAGCCTTGCTAATAATAGAAGAACACTCTATTTTATTTTGAAAGTGTACTTTTTTTCAAAATCCACTTTACAATGTCTGAAAAATACAAACTGTTATAGTGTTTCACTTCTGTTACAAACAGTGTGACATTAAAAGATGAAAAAAAAAGATATTTTATAACATCCCTTATAGCCATACATAATGATTTCTTCCTGTCATCTCTTGTGTTATAATGATTTACAATTTGATGCAAATCTAACATTGTGACATGGTAGCAAAGACATCAATTTCCAGAGAGCATCAATATGAAATAATTTAGGATACAAGAGAGATTTTTTTCTGTCCTTTATAAAGTCTGCTAATGTGAGATAAGTTTTTCCGGCAGCAGTTGTCACTGCCACACTCAAGAGGTAGTTGTCCTAGTGATCAATTCATGGCTGCTTTGTCACTTCTGCTCAGCAGAGTGTATTACAGCTAGCTTAATGTAGAAGCCATCTTTTATGACATTTAGAATTGCCATCATAACACAGTGATCTCCATTTTTTCTCTTTGGTTCCTACTACACTGGTTGGCTTTTATGTCATAGACATGATGCACCACTCAAGTCTATTGTAAATAGTTGTCTAGGTCATTGTAAAGCCAATAAATTGATTTTCATGTCATTATATACTTGTACTTGAAATAAGTTCCAGCCCTTTTAATGGATTTGTCAAGTTTCCAGCCATAGATGATGCTTTTTACATTATTAAAGGTCTGATAAAGTTTAAAAGTTTGGAAAAAATGTGAAATGATAGGAGATCAAAGGAATTCAAACTAACATATTTTCATTAATTTTTAACACAGTAAAAGACAAGACTCCTTCCAAACATTGACATTGGTAGATATTTCTACATATAAATGTATCTCTTCTGTACACAGTCCTCTGTAGCTTCAGATTTGCCTGGCTTAATTCTTAGACTTAAACACAATACTGTAATTTTTTAATCACATATTTTTGAGGGGTCAAATTTTCATGGTTTGAGGAAAATATATTGGTTCATGGGGATTTGATTTCATGGTTGAAAAATTGTACAGTAGTTATAGATGTGAAAAATTGCACTTCGTGGTGGACATAAATTCGTGGGTCTCTTCATAAGTTCATACCTTGAAAACCATGAAAAATAAACCCCCTCGAAAATTAGTGATTTCACAGTATGGAATTTGTTATCAACTTTGGGGTTCATGCATTTCAATTAATAAGCTATGTCAATACCATGGAATCTTCATTAATTAGAAAGTACTAGCTTGACTGTTTCAACTTACTGATCGATAAACAGACACATACATTTTCATTTAAAGAAATGCTGGAAATTATTCAAATCTCTTCTTTTAAAGAAAAGATACTAATGCACCTACTGAAGAAAAGATATAACTTGTGTTTTAGTGCAGATGTTAAGTGCCCCATTCTTAGATTGCGAAGATCTGCATGTTAAATTTAACCTTGAAAATAAAACTATATATTCCGGTATGTTTTAATACTACAGACAACCCTTTTTTTTTTTTTTTTTTTACAACAGAGAGGTAGGGCCTCTTCAAGTTGACAGTCTACGCCCATCAACATAAAAGATGACAGCCTTCCCACATGTTTGGAGAATTATACAGCCATTTTCAAGCACATTATTAAGACAGCAATTAAATTTCAACAGCATTAAATGACTTAATAAAAGCACTGGAACCTGACTGCACAAGATTTTTACAGAATAAATTGGAACACTAAACTTTTTTTTCACACTCATTTCATGTGCAACAAATGTAATTTTTTTTCTAATTTATTGCCTCAACTGTCTGTGGTCATCTGGGACATCTTTCATAGGAGAGTTTTTCACCATATAAAAACACTTTTGGAATTCAACCTGTTCTAATACCCAAGAGGTACTTGTTGCTAGCACATACATGAAAAACCAATATATAAGAGTTCCTTTAAGGATGTATAACCCGCTTTTAAGGTGACCATGCCTATCATCAGCTTTATCAGACCTATCATCTATACTCTGCCATGATTGCTAAATCATTCCCTCACACTCACCGCTAACCAACAGCTGAGTTTAACTTAACTGATATATGGACCACTTACTTCAAACATGACCGAGATAACAGTCCCGTCTAATACCCGAGCATTTCAATATACTTTTTTTTCCTTAAAAAATGTCCTGATATAATAGTGCAAGCAGAGATTGGTTCAGTAAATATTGAATTTTATGTTTAAAGCAAGATTGGTTTGAGCTAGTGTAAATCAAAGGGAATATGCACATAGTAAATTTACTTCTGGCTGACATTCAAAGACACTGGTACACAAAAACTTGAAAATGTCATCTAAATGTCAGGAGGCAAAGATAGTATCATTTCAAACAGATAGCAGGGTGCAATATCTTTTTTAACTGCCTTGTGTCTATATAAAAATGAAATTTATCTGCATTTATGCACCAGTCCACTAGTGCTGCTTCAAACTATGAAAATATTTGAAATTTTCATGACTGAAGAAGTGCAAATTAATTTTTCAATAACAAATGACTTTGGATGACAGAGAATGTGGGTATATCATGGTAATTTTAAACCTCCAGAACCACCAACACATTGGTTTCTCTATGTATGTACGGAAACTAAAAACTAAGAAAAAAGACAGGCATAAGAATTGCGTAGATTTCATTTAGCTGGTAATTTATCTTTCACATGGATTACTAATTCACAGTATAGAATTAGCTAGCAATGTTACATACTTTTTACATAAAATCATTACCGGTTACATTTGTATTTGCTATTAAGTTGTTAAAAGCCTGTTAGATTAAACTGAGGTGTATTTGAACATCATCTAATCCTATAATATGAATTTTCACTGTGGTGTCCCCATCAAAAGAACATTTTCTTTTCACAAAAAATGGTAATCTCTGCATGAACAAAATCAGGATAGAATCTGCTTCAGTAATACTTTCTTCATTCTGCGCAATGCTTGAAAGCCTTCTTAATGTCTGCTGTGACCACCAAATGATGTGTGAACTTTTTACCCCGTAGGTAATGGCACTTTTCAATAAAATGAATTTTTCGTTATCTATACCCACTGAACTCTTTAATGTTAGATTCAATTTTAACAATATTGCTTACATCAGACACCAAACTATTTGGTTCATGCCCATTAGGTATCAAGAATCATATCAATTTCTGATAGAGAAAGGACAATCTCTGCAGTACTTCTATGGAGATATAGGTCTCCAGACATTTATACTTGAATTCTCTGATTACCTAATAAGAATCTGGAACAAACCATTGCAGAGCACTTTCACAGTACAGCTACCAATCTACCCTTTCAAAGTAATAAAGAAAACACCTTCCAGCTGAGAAGATGGCATCAATAACATGCATTACATTTTTTTTTTTCATCTCTTATTAATCTATAAGCAAAATGTTAATAAAATCCGACAACAAATGTGGCTACCATCCATGACGAAAATTCTGCCCCTCAGAAAAAAATTAAGACAACTCCCATTGGAGTCTGCCTTCTATAATCTCGGATAATCACTTTCAATTAAATGCTTTAAGCAGAAGATAATAAAGATCACATCACAGAAGTCTAGAACTGACTGTATACTGTAAGCCAATTATTATACGCGTCATTTTTTATTCGCGACTGACCGCCAGAGAACTTATCCGCGACGATTTATTTCCGCGAACGAGTGATCGCATTTTTTTTTATTTCTACGAGTATTTTTGAATCAAATAAAAATTTTATATCCGCCCATAAACTAGGTAAAATGGTTGCGTGAGGTCTGCTTACGCATTATTCAAAACATTCTGTGCATTGCGTCCATTTAAAATCTTGTATCCGCCCCTAAAGTAGGTAAAATGTTTACCATGAATATACTTCATTCGCATTTTCACAACGCTTTAACGAAAATCGGGGAAAAATCTAGGAGATTAAAATTGATTTTAAAACTCTCAATTGTAAAAGTGCCTCATACTAATTGGGTAATTGAATCGACGCTTTCTAAGATCTACACGGCCAATGGGCAATTATTATAAATAATTGGGACAGAGCAGGACTGGGCCATAATTAGCCGTAATTAACCAGACTATCTCTGACTCGTCTGTAACAAAAAATGAACAATAATTACACAAGCTGAAATGACTATTGACATTTTAATCATTTTTAGACAAATAGTTTTAGATTTGCCATTCGTTTTTATTTTTTCTGAATGTTTGTAATTAAATTTCAACTGCTTCTTGTACACTAACAGAAAAGTTCTTCCGTGATTACTTGTTGAATCGTCGGGATCGGTATTGAAAAACGGGCAAATAACTCTAAATAAATCATGATATGGGAATATAATGAACAAATGGTTCGCGACGATAAATATCCGCGAGCAGAGGTTACTCGCGGAACTCGCGGATATTTATCGCACGCGTATTATACTTGGTTTACAGTATTCTGATAAAGCTAAATTAATGAACTTCAGACATTGGCCAAAATAATGAATTGGTATGCAATACATGGAAAGTTATCAACCATCCTCTTGCCTCTACCTTGGAATTTATTCTATTTCCCTGTGGAATTTGCTGTAAAGCTATATTAATTTGATTATAGCTGATTTGCAATTATAAAGATAGGAGCCTCTACAGCCTCAGTATTATAACAGCAGACATTTATTGATCAATGGGACACTGTTTCACGTCTGCTTCACCAAGCTCAATATCAAAGCTAAACCCCAGAGGAAAAGTGACACATGTTATCAATATTGCATTTTTCATGATCCAATGATGACAAATTTTATAAC